TTTAGATACTAGCTTTTAATCATAAACAAGCTTCTGTCCAAGTTTGGTACAAATTCAGGATAGTTTAAGAAAGTTGTTAAAATTTTAAAAACTTTAACCACAGAGTGAATGTAATGTTAACTGGCAGAAAAACTAAGTCCATTTATAAGTAAAATACGGAAAAAATGGAATTTTTTTTTTACAAAATTTACTTCTGGATACTATCTTATGATCACAAACAAGCTTCTTTCCAAGTTTGGTACAAATTCAGGATAGTTTAAGAAAGTTATTAAAATTTCAAAAACTTTAACCACAGAGTGAATGTAATGTTTCCTGGCAGAAAAACTAAGTCCATTTATAAGTAAAATACGGAAAAAATGGAAATTTTTTTTTACAAAATTTACTTCTGGATACTATCTTATGATCACAAACAAGCTTCTTTCCAAGATTGGTACAAATCCAAGATAGTTTAAGAAAGTTATTAAAATTTCAAAAACTTTAACCACAGAGTGAATGTGATGTTTCCTGGCAGAAAAACTAAGTCCATTTATAAGTAAAATACGGAAAAAATGGAATTTTTTTTTTACAAAATTTACTTTTGAATATTATCTTATGATCATAAAAAAGCTTCTGTCCCAGTTTGGTAGAAATCCAGGGTAGTTTATGAAAGTTATTAAAATTTCAAAAACTTTAACCACAGAGTGAATATTTGTGGACGCCGCCGACGACAACGACGACGACGACGACGACGACGCCGACGGAATGTAGGATCGCTATGTCTCGCTTTTTCGACAAAAGTCGAAGGCTCGACAATAAAATCGTAAATATTAAGGAAAAAAGTACCAACAGTTATTACTCAGCCGTTCTTGGAGATCATGCAGTCATTATAAATGGACATGGCGACCCTGCATGTGGTCACCTTTTAGCGTCCGTTAGTTGCATCCGATTTATCATAGTAATATAATAGGCTATCAATAAATATCTTGGGACCAGTTAATTAGTTAATAATTTAAAACAACATTTGGGCTGACTTTGAATTAGTCCCGGTTTACTTTTTAATCAGGCAAATGCGGGACAAGCACGAGAAAATAAGAGTACCGACACGAAACACGGAAAATAATTAAGGGAAAACACGAAGCACGCACATCGAACCAAACACGAGAAAACGAGAAATAAAACGTCGAAACACGGAAACACGTGAAATAAAAAGGCCGAAAACGCTGCACGAAAATAACCCTTTACCACCCTCTAAATAGGCCATACTAGATGTCGACACCTCATATTAGAACTTAAGTAGATGGTAAATTTCGTTTGCAAGGTTAAAGAAATCTTCAACTTGCTCTAATTTGTCTGTGAAGATCATAAAACCGTCATCCCTATTGATAGTGTAATTTGATGTTTTCTCTCCATTGGAACTTATCTAAGATTTTAATGAGTACAAATTAATAAGCCTGGTTGGTACGCTCCTATAATGTGTTTGTATAACAGTCCATTAAACTTAAATTCATTGTTTCTAAGAATTAATTTAACAAATGCATTTAAATCTATTTGTTGAGAATCTTTAAAGTATATTCTCCTGTGTGTCGATAAATTCTAATGCATTGATAACAATTTTTTCTAAATTGTCAATGATCATATTTGTCTACATTGACGTACATCATAGGCAATAAGAATGCATACTTTTTTTACCTCGTGTGACTCTATTTTATTAATGAAATTTTTTGTATCTTGAATGTAAAAGTTATGCCTCTTCAATAATTGGATGTTGGATGTGTACTAATTGATAATTTAGTCTTAGATGCATGATTTTTTTAATTAGTTGTTAGTGGCTTTGAACTAGCTGTCAGTAACTGCGAGTACTCTCACATCTGTGCTTAGTGTCTATTTGTTGTTGGGATATACAAGTACCCGGCCACGTCCACTCTGTGTAGTATCTCTGTTTGTATCCATCTGATGAGTTAAGCCTTTTTCAACTGATTTTTATAGTTCGTTCTTATGTTGTACTGTAACACCACTGTCCGAGGTTAGGGGGAGGGTTGGGATCCCTCTAACATGTTTAACCCCGCCACATTCTGTATGTATGTGCCTGTCCCAAGTCAGGAGCCTGTATTCAGTGGTTGTCGTTTGTTGATGTGTTACATATTTGTTTTTCGTTCATTTTTTGTACATAAATTAGGCCGTTAGTTTTCTCGTTTGAATTGTTTTACATTTGTTATTTCGGGGCCTTTTATGGCTGACTATGCGGTATGGGCTTTGCTCATTGTTGAAAGCCGTACGGTGACCTATAGTTGTTAATTTCTGTGTCATTTGGTCTCTTGTGGAGAGTTGTCTCATTGGCAATCATTACACATCTTCTTTTTTATATTTATAATTAGATCAAGTAAGTATCTCTCGCGGGAGAGTTACACTTATTGATGATTGGTCGGTAACGAACATTAATGTGTCCTGCTAGCTGACCAGTTCGCAATGCCTCATTACTTATTTCTAGATTAATTTAATGAATTTTTGGAAGAAGGTACATGTGTCCTCCATGTTTTGAATTATTATTATTCTTTAAGAAATTATACGTCTGGGAATCTTTTTTTTCCTCTCCTTGCTTTAAATTTAACACTTCTCTCAACATGCCAAAATTGTAATGATTTATAATAAAAAGAAAATATTATCCTCCACACACATGGCCAAGATAACACTGATATATAATTTCTTATTCAGTTGAATTAATAATTAGAATAAAAAAGTTCTAAGGTTCACGTATTGTCTTTTTTTTTTTAAAAGCAACTTGTCTTGGTTATTTTCCACTCACAATGGCTCAAATTGATGAGGTCAATTGTCTTTGTAGTTTGTCAGTAATCGGGAAAAGTGCTTTCAATACCGTCCATAGTGTATCGACTTCGTCATATAGGTTTGTCTGATGAATAAATTTAATAAACCGCTTTCCTCATTTTTTATTTATTCAAATAAAACTACTTTTAATCATGATTCAAAATATAAATTTTATTATTGATGATCAAATTGTTCTTTTTTCTTTCTGTTACGGTAATGTTATAATTATGTGTGCGCCCGAAGCAGAAAGAAAAGAAAAAAACGACAGTAAAAGTAAAATTATGCGTTCGCAAAGGGTACGTTTTTTGTTTTGTTTTGGTTAACCAAAAGTTATGCATATATTTTTTTTGGTTGGAAACCATTCATCACGCCAATGATTTGTATAGTGACAAATCCTTTATCACATTTTTTCTGCATTAGGATATTCAATTAACAATGTTATTACGTTCCCCCTTTTTATGTAAACAATTCAATTCAATATTTTATTTACGTCTCACCTTATGTATAAAATTTAACAATACAAAACATTTATTGGAGGCTGTTGTATTAGTAATTAAATTTTGAAACCTATAGCATACTTGACCAGGTGAAAGGTAAGAAGGCACCTGTAGTGTGATTTGGTCGCGTGTTATGTTATTTACCTTGAACTACTGTAGTCTTATGTTGAAATAATTAATATAGTTCTTCTTCCGTTAATACCCATATATCAGAACCTCATATTATTCTCATAATAATAATAACAAGAAATAGTAAAGTGCAATACCACACGACAGAGCCGATGGCAGGTTTAATTACCATTTAATAATATATTACATATACAGAATCCTAAACATCTTTATAATGTCCTCATATAAATATGTAAATAGTTCAATGAACACAAACACTTATGTAAAGGGAACAAATCTCTTAATGCATGATACAAAAATCTGAAATAACGAGTATTAAAAAATTAACGTGACCGATCGAGTAGACCCTGTCGTGCCGAATGATTTAACCGCCAAATCACATAAAACACATAACCTAAAAACGCCACCTATAGGCAGACAATTCAGAAGAAAATAATTTCATTCTAATTCTTAAAATCAACCGATTGAAATTATATTTATATTACACTTCTAAAGTATGCAATTCCATCCAAACCCTTATAAATCTAACTTCAAATTTAAGGAATTACACAAAGTAAATTAAAGTTCACACATTTCCACCCTTCTCTTCCAAATATCATTTAGCAATCAATTTGTTTATTGCAACCAGCAAAATGCTTGAGTCCAGGAAAATATTCACAACTTAATATTTCTTCAAAAAGGGGTCATTTGAATAGATGTTAAATTTTCAATCGTACTGAGCATGAAAATGTTTACATGTTACATACTTCAGTCTTCGAATACATGAATTATGTATTATTTGTATTTGGCTTTGATCTAGCTTACATTATTTGTGCGTTATCTCTATTGTTTTTACGTTAGTGGTTTCTGTACTTCGTACCGATCTTTTGAGTTAGACTGGTTTTTATAGTTCTTATGTACTGCTGTAAGACCGCTATCACACGTTTGGAAGGGGGGGGGGGGGGGGGGGGTAGGCGCTCACAAACATATATCCCCCCACCGACACATTGTGAATGTGTCTGTCTCAAATCAGGAGCATGTATATCAGTGGTTCAGGTCTGTCAAATTTTTTCTGCAGAAATTATTTTGTTATAAATAAGTTAGTTTTATCGCTAAAATTGTTTCACATTTTCATGTTGAGAACTTTTATAGCCGAATATACGGTATGAAGTTATAGACTTGCAAGGAAGCATACAGGAATATTACTTTTCCATCTCAAGAAGTCAATTAAAAAAATGCATCTGTTATAAACCTTTTTATATCTGCATATTCTTAAAAGCAATAAAAATAAGATCTATATACAGGTTGTCTATAATGCGCATATATGTGTGTAGAACGGTAAATTATTTTTCATGTGTGTTGGTTGTTATTGTATTTTTGTTGTTTGAATTTTTTGTTGTTTTTTTGTAGTGTTTAAAAATTTACGGTCGTATTTTCTAACAAATTAACAAAAATTAAAAAGGAAAAATATAGCAAAGTGAAATTATATTGAATACACGATATTCAAAATTAAATAAATGAATTCTAAAATAAGGTTTATTTTTAGTTCAGGTTAATGACCTTTCTTCGTGTAAAATTTCCATATCAGGATGTTTAAATGAAGTAGAGTATGGAGTCCTTTGATAAATTGAAAAGCGTTCTTATGTCATTTACAGGGAAAGTCTGTACCGAAAAGGATATTGATCTAGCACTCGGGCTACTGGATTCCATCCAAGTCTATACCAAAACTCTGGAAAAAAAGGGAACCTTACGTTATATCGACGAGAATGATCTGGACCCAAAATGGACAGAGATTGGGTCTGGTCATTTTGGATACGTATACGCCAGTAGATATGGAGGATCGAAGGTTGCTGTAAAAATATTTAAAGAAGAATCAAAATCAAAGATTCGAGAGGGAAAGATACTGCAGGACTTGAGCCATGAAAATATCATAGCATTTCGAGGAATTGGATATATGTCAAAAACAAAAGCGGAAGAAATAGATGTACGTGTAAGTGAAGAAAACGAGGGTGAAATGATGTTTCTAGTCATGGAGTATATTGATCAAAATCTATTAAAGTATGTAGATGGGATGAGAGTCCATGAAAGAAAAGGACTACGCGACGATATGGTTTGGAATATTGGACAGCAGATCATTAGTGCATTGGACTATCTTCACAACTTGAATATTGCTCATCGAGATCTTAAACCGGATAACATTCTTCTGGAGGTAGGACCGAGGAGAATCGTCGTAAAACTGGCAGACTTTGGGCTTGCAACGGACGGCAATCAAATAAACACCAATCCTCAACGAGATAATAAAAAAATGTCTTCAGGGATGAGTGGGTCCAGAGCAAGCTCCAGTTCCAGCGTTGCAAATGTAAGATGGGGTGCACCTGAAGTATTTCAAGAAACTTTGGGTCGTGTATGGTCATTTGAAGATTATAAAAATGCGGATATATATTGCTTTGGGAATGTTTTAACATTTATGCTGACCGGTGAGCGACCTTATAGTAAAATATCTACAAAAACACTGGTAGACTACAAGGATCCAACGGACAACATATCAATTCCAGATTTGCCCAAAACTTTAACTGGTAATTTGAAAGATGTGATTCCAAGGTGCCATCTAGATATCCCAAAGGAGAGGCCTACAGCCGAAAACATATTGAAAGATTACTTCAGTTCGGAAAATAATCCATATCTCTTGCAGACACACCCGGAAACTGAAGCAGAATTCTTTAGTTGTGGCTTCATGGATAGGACAGATATATTTGTTGCTGACTCGTGTACTGACAAGGAGGCGTCACAAATGGGTTTTTACGAATCTGGAATAAGACCTACCGGATACGACCATTGGGATTTAAATTGTCTCATTGAAGTAGAAAAAGTTCCATATCGAGACAGACCAGTTGAATGGTCACTTGAGGAAGACTATATAGATAATTTGGAAGAATTTCAAAAAATGACAAAAAACAAAGTAATTGATAACAACCCTACTGTAGCTTTGAAGGGGTTGACATTTGCAAGACCCGGTGAAGAAGAAAATCAACTTATTGAATTCAAATTTAAGGAATCTGATTATGTTCATCACAGGGCTATGAGAAAAATATGGATTGATTTTTCAAATCAGCAGAAGATTTGGGAGCTTCCCTCAAAGTCAGACGTGCATCCATATTTTAGTAACACGTTCGGTCTGCATGTGGCAGTCCTTACAGATGAAGGCCCTGACAAACCACAAAAATTTTTATTTCCACGTCGTGCACAAAGAGAGGGAATGGCTGCACCGGGAAAATTCACTTGTGGTGCCGTCGAAAGTGCATCTAAACCGGACTACAAGATACACAAAGGTAAAACGTGTGTTGATTTAGTCAATACTGCAGCACGTGGACTGAAAGAAGAACTTGGGCTAGAACTTTCAGGGAGTGACTTAGATGCTATTTGCTTGACCACGGTATACTTAAAATTTGACACCCATGAATGGGGACTATGTGGTTTTGTCGATTTGAAAGACGAAAGAATAGATCCAAAGCACAGAATAAGTGCTAATAGTTTGAAAGATATATTTAGCACTGGACCAAAAGACAAATTTGAACACCAAACGCTAACGTTTATAGATTTCAATTTAAAAACGATGGTTGAGTTCGTTTTTAATAACCATGAAAACTTCGCAAGCTCTGCTAAACTCGTTGTTGTGAAAGTTTTGCAAGCTTTCTATGGATGGCAACGAGTACAACAAGAGTTTGAAATTATGCGCTATGGTAAATAGAAATTTTAATTTGATTAAGTATATTTCAATATACTTGCGTTTTAATGTATATAAAAATGTGGAAAAATAATCTTCTTATAACACTTTTTCTAATTTTAGTAAAAATATCATCAAATAGAAATTTTCGTACCTGTAAAATAAATTGTTCATTGTAGATATGTTTTATTCCTCTATTCAAACGTTACACAATTGGCTCAGTGGGTCTTTTAGCAAAGTTTACAGACGGGTGATGACAACACACATACCAATATTGTTGACCAATCATGTATACTTACTAAGAAGAGTTAACAGCTCATCATGAACAATATCCATTATCAATTTTGTTTTCCCCAAGTAAAATAAAATGCTCCGCGGGGCGCAGCTTGATACGACCGCAGAGGTCGAACCCTGAACAGTTGGGGCAAATATGGTCACTACATTCAAGCTTGATACAGCTCTGAATTTGGATTGTGATTAAATATTTGACACAGAATGAATGTGGTCAAAGAACTGAAAAATTTGGAATTGGACTTTTACCTATTATGGTTCAATATCCAAAATCTAAATACACGGTTAGATTCAGCATATTCAAGTACACCAAAAATTTGTTGTATTTATCTATTAATGGACAATATTAGCTAGGTTTTTAAAGGGGTTCACTTTATCAAAAACAAAAATATATAAAGCATTCGGAAAATTAATTTATACAGAAAAAAAAACAAACCTACCATGAAGTTCTTCAAAACATTTACAAAAAAATGAAAAAAACAATTTTCAAAATATTATTCCTCATTAATACAAAATCTTTAAAAAATCTATAAAACTTCCTCTCATATTTTTTTTTCAAAATATCTTATAATAAACAGTAAATATCAAACTATATTTATACTTAATTTCTTCTCTAAAATTAAATTTGATCCTGTATCTATTTTTTGTGGAGCCTGCGACATAGCGATCCTATATTCCCTCGTTGGTGTCAGCATCGACAGCGTCAACATTTAGATTCAGTCTGTGTTTAAAGTCTTGTTAGACGTCAATAACTTTGTCAAACCTTCGTGGACTTTTATGAAATTTAGACAGAAGCTTGTTCATGACCAAAATACAGTATCCAGGGCAAAATTTTGAAAAATATTTATTTTCAATTTTCCGTATTTTACTGATAAATGGACTAAGTTTTGTTTACAGTTAACATTCAGATTCAATCTGGGGTTCAAGTTTACAGTCATCAATAACATTGTCAAACCTTCGTGTAATTTTATGAAATTCGGACAGAAGCTCGTTTATGAACAAAATACATTATCCAGAGCAAAATTTTGAAAATATTTATTTTCATTTTTCCATATTTCACTGATAAATGGACTTAGTGTGTTTTTATTACAGTTAACAAGTAGATACATTCAATACAGTCTGTAATTAAAGTTTGTTACACATCAATTACTTTGTCAAACCTTCATAGAATTTTATGAAACTTTGGCAAAAGCTTTTTTATGATTAAGAGATAATGTCTGAAGCAAACTTTTGAAACTATATATTTTTCATAGTTAGTTTTTTACAGTTAACATTTACAAACAGACAGTCTGGGATTAAATTTTTTCGACATGATACATTTGTAAACCTTCATGGATTTTTATGAAACTTGGACAGAAGCTAATCTTCAAGACCAAGAAATAGTATCTAAAGCAAAAGTTTTAATTTTTTTTTTAAATTCTGTATTTTACTGATAAATGGACTCACTTTTTAAGTCAACATTACACTTGTACACTGACAGCAGCAATTGCAAGCAAGACACAGGGTCCCGCGGAACCCCTTACGAATTTTATACTATGACTCTACTTACAAGTTCTTTTAATTGTGCAATACAGCTCTGAATTTCGATTGTGATTAAATATTTGACATAGCATAGTTACTGACACAGAATGAATGTGGTCTACGAACTTAAATATTTGTAATTGGACATTTACCTACTATGGTCCAATATCCAAAATATAATACATGGTTAGAATCAGCATATCAAAGAACCCCGAAAAAAACAATTTTTGATGAAATCAAACAAAAAAAAAGTATAATTTTGGACACTTTGGACCAATTTGATAACAGGGCCCAAATTCCAAAATCTAAATACACGATAAGTTTCAGCATATTAAAGAACCCCATATATTTAATTTTTTTTTAAATCATACAAAGTTTTAATTCGAACCCCAAATTAGGACCAACTTGAAAACTGGGGCCAAAATCTAAATACATGTTTAAATTCAACATATCCATACCTGTCAACTGACCCGTATTCTGCGGGTTACACCCGTGAATTTCCCCTTTCACACTAGATTTTTTAAATACTTGCCTGCAAGGATTTGTATAGGAAGAAGAGTATTTGTAGGAAACTCAGCTGTACATGTTTATGTTATAGTATATAAAACTAGAGGCTCTCAAGAGCCTGTGTCGCTCACCTGATTCTACTTTGGTTTTGGAAATCATGTTAAAATAGATTAAAATCATTACAGATACCCTAATAATGAGTGAGGCCAAATTTGGTTTAATATTGGCCCTGTAATTTAATAAAATCCTGGTGGCCATCTTGAACAGTAAATCAGCAACAAAGGAGCAACACTTCATCATATGTTAAAGGAAGTCCCCCCGCTGGCGGCCATCGTGGATGAAGGATCAGCTTCAAAGTAACAACACTTAGTTAACACCTGATAAGTAACATTCATGCTATGTTTGGTTTCAATCCATTCAGTGATTCTCTAAAAGATGACATTTGTATGTATTGTCCATAGGGTCCTTTGTTAAACACTGTCCCTAGCTGGTGGCCATCTTGGATGATGGATCGGCTTCAAAGTAACAACACTTGGTCAGCACTTCATAAGGAACATTCATGCCATGTTTGATTTTATTCCATTCAGTGGTTCTCTAAAAGAAGACATTCGTATGTATTTCCCATAGGGTCCTATGTTAAACTAAGTCCCCCGCTGGCGGCCATCTTGGATGATGGATCGGCTTCAAAGTAACAACACTTGGTCAGCACCTCATAAGGAACATTCATGCCATGTTTGGTTTCATTCCATTCAGTGGTTCTCTAAAAGAAGTTCAAAATGTAAAAAGTTAACGACGACGACTGATGCCAAGTGATGAGAAAAGATCACTTGGCCATTCGGGCCAGGTGAGCTAAAAAAACCTCTAAAATTGAACCAAAACAAGTTCGTAAGCGTTATGACCTGACATTTTCTTCTTCAATGCAGGTCATGACCTGCATTTTCAGTTTCAGAGGTTGACAGGTATGAATATCAAAGAACCCCTTGAATTTGTTAAAATCAAACTATGAATAATTTTGGACACTTTGGACCTCAATGTGGACCAATTCAAAAACAAGGCCCAAAATCAAAAATCTAAATACACAGTTAGATTCAACATATTAAAGAACCCCAAGAATTCAAGACTTTGGATTAAACCACATTGAAATCGGTCAAGAATAAGCAATTTATACAAAGTATTAGAAAAGTATTGTTTTTGGCCCCTTTTTCCTAAACTATTAGGGCCGTATCCCCTAAAATCAATCCCAACCTTCCTATTTTGGTATGGAACCTTGTGGTACAATTTCATAGAGATCCATAGACTTATACTCAAGTTATTGTCCTGAAACCAGAAAATCCTAGTTTTAAAAATGAGGCCCAAAATCCAAAAATACGGTTAGATTCAACATATTAAAGAACCCCAAGAATTCAGAACTTTGAATTAAACCACATTGAAATTGGTAAAGAAATAAGCAATTTATACAAAGTATTGGAAAAATATTGTTTTTAACCACTTTTTCCTAAAAGGTCAGAGCCATAATCCCCAAAATCAATCCCAACCTTCCTTTTTTGGTATGGAACCTTGTGGTACAATTTCATAGCGATCCATAGACTTATACTCAAGTTATTGTCCGGAAACCTGAAAATCCTAGTTTTTTGCCCTTAATTCCTAAACAGTTAGGAAAGTAACCCCCAAAATCAAACCCAACCTTCCTTTTGTGGTATGGAACCTTGTGGTGCAATTTCATAGAGATTCATACACTTATTCTCAAGTTATTGTCTGGAAACCAAATCTCTTAGGACGACGATGACCACGACCCTGACAATGTCATAACATTATACGACCCTCAGAAAGATTAAATCTTTTACAAACGTTTGATTTGAAGTACTTTTTTTTTTTTAACAATATGCACTTAGACTTTCCAATTTATACTGTTTTAAGCTGGTCATATATACTAGAGAACAAGATTTTTCCAACATAAACTATAGGGTTAGTTAAAAACTGATGAAATAATGATCTTTAATAGTTTGACTTTTACTGTACTAGTTTAGAATAAAGGAAAAAAACAACAAAAAGACAATGATTTCATTCAATTTATTTGATTGAGAAAATCAAGTACCACAACCATGTGCAATACATCAATGACAATGTTATGTTCCTTCATAAACATACTCTAAAAACAATGTAAAATTATAACCTAAAACATAATTAATAAAAACTCTATATGTTCCTCAATTAAAAGTTTTCTTATTTTGACTGATTCAGTAATAGATGCAGTTGGGGATGGGGCACACTTTCTGCTTTACTTCATCATGCAAAAAGAAGAACTATAGGTTTGAAATAAGATATTCAGAAACTGAAATAATCTATCAAATTAGCACAATACAATTATATTTGAACATCAGCACTCTTGCTTTAATACTGACATCAACTATTGAAATGAACTAAAACCAAAATTTTTGTCATTGCTAAAAGGCAAGGAAATAAGCCAACATGAAATAGATTCGTCTATCTAACTTTCTCATAAGTACATCAGATCTGTGAAAAGGTTTCAAGTTATTTATCCATTATTCACACAACCACTTAGTCATGGGGACAAACATGGCATAAAGTTACCCTTGACCAGATGATTTCTATGAACCAGAACAGATTTTTTTTGTATACTACAACAACAACAAATATATATATTGAGTGGTTCAAGTTAATGATTTATGAAATAGTTTCAAAAATTACCCTTGACTAAAACATATCTGAGAACCAGGACAACTTGTGTATCCTTTTATAAACATAGAGATATTGAAATATATAATTAATTGAAATATAACTTAAAATACTCTACAATGCTGATTTATTTCTCCTCCATCAAAACACATATATACTAAAACTAACAATTTTAGCTATTCTACTTCATTTTCTCTCTTTAACAATTAAATAAATTTTAATTTTCTGACAACTATATGTATACTATTTAGTTAAAATCTTTAAGAAACATTCACAACAATAGCACTTAAATTGAGTTTTCTTATTTATAGGGTAGCTATGTCATGCTGGTTGTTAACTGTTGCATAAAAGCAATCTTTATAGAAAAAATATTTATGCTTTGAAAATTACATACAATAGAAAATTTCATAATTTATAGGTCCATATCAAATTTTTATTTCGTTAAAATTTATTGATGTTATTTCTGGTTTCCTATCAATAGAATAGAAGACATGAATTGAATTTTAAATTTCCATAAAAAAAAAAAAATGACCAGAAACTGTTTGCTCTTTTTCAAGTAAGAGTTTATTTGTGAAAAGGAAAACTGTTTAGAAACAGATGCAAAATTGAAACTTTATATAAAAATGTCATGAACAGATATCCTTGTTTTACTCCTAAAATAATTTAAACATGTAATAATGTTTTTATATAATTTTTTAGCTACTACAATCTTTATTTTTGTTTTGCACAAGCTAAGCCCCTTTTACAAATTATGACATTAATGCACCAAATCTAATAATCAGCCGCTTTCTAGAATTATACAAAAAAAAAATAAACATGATGTCTTTCATCCATACTGATATTCATTCTGTTCTATCTATGAAAAACAAACGATTGTACTTTCCATTACCATAAACATGAATAAAAATTCAGCAAATGCTATACTGTAAATTCAGAAATTATTGCAGGTTTTTATTATTAATTAAGGAATGACTGTAATATTTTTTCTGTCTATGAAGGAATAACATAAAAAATGTGGTGCACACTTAATAACCTGCATAGCGGGTTATTTTAAAGTGTGCACCACATTTTTTATGTTATTTCAAATAGACAGAAAAAATATTACAGTTATTTCTTATAATTTAATTCTAAATTCCATTTTAAACCGTAGTAAACCATGAAAAAACGTTGATGACGTCACGGTCACATGACAAAATTATGTCTATGAGCTGATAAACAAAACAACGCCAGCCAATCAGAAGACGCGTTACATCCAAAATTAAATTATATGCCAATTATGTGACATGGTGATTATCACAATAATAAGACCTCACATTCTGATATCAGATACATATATCTATATGAACCTTTTCAAGAAATCGCAATAATTAATCTCACATTTTAGTTCAGTCTTTAAAAATAGCACTAATAAATGTACACAATAATTTCTGAATCTACAGTACTTCTTAGCTGGAAACATGATATATGTATAATAATAATCACATAGAATCACAACAGAGAGCACCAAATATAAAACTAGCTAATTTAATTATGATCATCTATAATTATATTACAATGATTTTATTTATAGCAGTAAGACAGAGTTTCCAATTGTTACATAACTATACAGGAACATTCCACCAAATAACATCAAATGAAAACCATGAGGTTTAACCCCTATGTTCTACTATCAGCAATTGATGTTATTTGGTAGATACAACTTAACAGGTTGAGTGTCAGAACATAGAATGTCTATACAGAATGCTGTAAAATTTTACAAAGTGTAGTAAATATTACAGAAGATTTTGACATATCCCTGTAAACAAAAAAGTTTGTGACTACCTTCAGAAGTGCTCAAGAAAAAAAAAGACTATTTTGTTAAACTAACTATATTACAAGCATCAACTACATGTATATTCAGTGTCATTCATACTCTAAAACTGTTTCAGGTGAAAATACATGGAATGGAATATATAACTACTGTTCAATCTACATTGATACTTTATCAAAAGTCAAACTCTAAGAAGTACTGCAAAATTAAACTTCCATAGGAAGAATGTCATTGAAATAAGCATCCTCCTTATATGTCTCTCCTAGAACAGCTCATAGTTGACCTCTTTAAACTAAATCATTAACAATTATTAATTTAACACATTATTACTTTATGATTTTCATAAACATTTTTCTCAAAGCATTAATTAATACAAATATTCTATTACAAATTCAGACAATGTAATATCATTTATCCAACAGCAAAGTTATAACTGTATAAAAAGACAAACTTCCAAACATCATTGTATATGTAAAGTAAAAAAATTAATTTACATGTAAAAACAATGGATGGACTAGATAATGACACAAAAATGTCTTTCTGGCAAAATTCCTGATTATCTGCCCTAGTTAAATAATTTTTTATAGCAATATAAAATTATTAAATTCTATTTGTTGAATTTAGTCAATATCGAAATCCTCAGAATATGGAGTGATAAACCTGCTTAAATAAAAAATGTCTAAAGTAATAGATGGTTTGTAGGTCACTTACTTGAGAAATCTGCTCTTAAGTGTTCATATATAAATGATTTTAGTGAATTATCTCCCCTATTTGAGGTTTTTTTTCTCATAGTGCTGTTCATACAGTTTATATAACCCAAGTTATAAGCTAAATATGTAACCAAGAATGTGTTTGCACAATACTGCATATTGTGGTTCAATTCTATATAAAGGAACTTCAATGAGACAGCAACCCATCAACAAAACTTCACAAACATTACATATGTAGAGCTCAACATATTCTGCACCAATGAGCTCACATACCATATAGCAAGCTCTAATTTGCCTAAATTTAAAACTTGTACACAGTTTCTTCCTTATCATACAACTAATTTTTGCTAAAAGGAAAAATTGAGTTGCTATACAAAAGTATGGAAGTTAAGGATCCCTTGGATTAAAAATGTTCTTACTTAAAATTCTGGACACAATCAAACCATTTCAAGAATATATGCTTGATACATCTTCAGATTATACATGAAAAAAACGAAACATGAAATAAATGTCTGAATAGGAAAGCAAGTTCACAACACAATGCAAGTTAACCATAATAAACACATACAATTCACCAAAAGGTCTTCATAAATAAAAGTGACCACCTTGTATGGCAGATTATAAATTCCCCCAAATATACAACACCAAAAAAACTTCAACCAAATCTTTAACACAAGCATAATTTTTCAATAAATTAAAATAAGTATAATAGACGACTTTTGAATTTGTGCACTTTCCTGGAAATTTCCTGTCACAATGCTTATGTTATTATGTCACAGTAAGATCTGATTGGTCCATGACATAGTCTATGGCGTTGTAACTCATTCATAAAAAACAACTTGAGATTTGTGTATTGGAGTCTACTCTTGTGAATTCTAAGACACTTATCCAAATGTATAATGTAAAATGTACACATGATTTGAGACCTTAATACTACAAAAAGTGATCGAGTATTTCAAGGAAGACATGTGTTGCCTTCCATCTCCAAATAATATAAACAGAAATGGCAAAATCAATGTTTTGGTATGGGAAACCACAAAAATCACGCAAATTTAAGTCATTTTGAAGATTCTGTGTAAGTTTGGTTGAATTCTGTCAAGTAGTTTTCAAGGTGTTGTTGATTAACAAAGCCTGTGACAGGGACAATGACCTATGACAACAGAAGGTGATCCCATTGTGTCAACCAAGCTAGAAGCTGTCAGGTGACAAACTGAAAATTACTGCTTTCAAGATTTCAATTTGTTAGTACTGAAAGAAACCTTTATAGCTAGATAAAATATTTTCCTGGTTTCATATATTTTTGTAATACAACTACAAATATGTGTATCACCATAAAATGTTTCGTCTCAAGGACTTCCCACTGCTTTTATTTCGAGACCATTAAATTATACATTCATAATTCATACTGAATAAAATATCTATCATGATCCATGAAACCTGGTTGAAAATAAAATCAGTATATAAACTTCACAAATAATCTGTTTTTGTGAGCATTTTGATTTTAGAAAGAAAACCAATCATAAGTATAGCTATTCAGCATTTGCATAGATTAAATTGTTTCTAATAACATGATTTGTATTTTTAAAACTGGCAATCATTCCTTTAAAAACTGACAATCATTCCTTTAAATACTTGTTTTAGGCATGCCCAATGGAATAAAACTAGATTATTTCATCTATAATATGACTAGTACCTGACAATTGAATTTGGTTTTCCAACCGAGATCAAATTAAACAATGTTTGAATGAAAGATTATAAAAATCATCACAAGTTAAACATTTTCACATAATAATTACAACCTGAAGACAGGATAAATCATTTAAAATACAATGCAATTATATACTATATCCTTTAATATTCCTGTGTATCTTATTTTGGCTAAATTCCTAAAGAACATCTTCACACAAAGTGTTCAAAGTCTTCTTAATATAGCTTAGAAAATAATTATGAATATTAACAATAATAAAGTCAGATAAAATTTAGCCAAAAAAAAAAACAAACAAGAAAGCAAATGACAACTTAATCAATACCAGTATTTGTTATCATTGATATATAGTGTGTACTGATAATGATTTTTTTTCTATTTGTTTGGTATATTATGAATATAACAAGGATATATATAGATTCTAAAAAACATTGTTTGTCAAAATATGTAATGCCATATTAAAACAAGCACCTGCTTTCAATTTATAAATTTAAAATACAATGTACTGATAAAAGCAACATATTAATTTATTTCACAAAGTAACCCTATTAAGTACTATAAAAAAAAATCTATAATTAAAAATGCCCTATGACAAATTTTAAATGAGTAATTTCATGAGCCAATTGACCTCCATGTCCAGTAATTTTTAAATACATAATAATTACTAATTTAACAATAAAGTTCTGTTTTCTAAAAATAAAAACACGTTTTCCATAAAAGCAAGCAAATATTGTTTCTTGGAAAGCACCCTTGTAAATCATCATCTTCAATATGAAAACTTCAAATTACAGGCCATGTGACAAAAATTTTCCAAACATTGAAAACTTTTATACACAATGTCACATTCAATAAACTGTAAGATTTTGCTAAGATCTGTAAATCAAAACAAGGTTTAAAAAGCACTGATAATAGATGGGGATAAAACACTTGCATGAAAGATCAACATCCCATAATTCATAATTAAAATACATAAAACACACTGCTATTGGTTGGTAAAATCTCCAGTGTTCAACCTTGGTCTTGGTCTTTCGCCAAATATGTATCTTTCATCATTATGTATGCTCTGTGCTAAGGCTTGCATAGATGCTGCAATCTGTTCTGGGTCAGTTGGTAGAGACTAAAATGTAGAAATATGTCTGTCATCAGAAGGTTCACATTATGTTTTATCTTCAATGCAATGTGGAAGTTTTTGTCATAAATATAATCATAGTTTGATACTTTTTTATTCCTGTTAATTTTACAAAATGCAGTGTACCAGAAATATAAATAATAAATTGGGAATGTGTCCATGAGACACAGATGATGCCCCCGCTTGCATTTAACGAAAAAAAGGGACATAACTCAAAAACTGTAAAAGTGATGCTACCCAAATTTGTACTTGATCTGAGTTTTGTGGTAATAAGCATTGTGTATACATTTCATAACATTTAGTTGAGGCAAACCTAAGTTAGATAACGGAAACGAAAAATTCAGCAATATTTCCATTTGTAAAGGGGCATAACTCTAGAACGATAAAAGTGACTCTACAAAAATTCAAACTTGATCTGTGTTTTGTGGTAATTAGCATTGTGCATAAGTTTCATAACATTTGGTTGAGGCAAACTAAAGTTAGAGAACAGAAACGAATATTTCAGCAATTTTTCCATTTGTAAAGAGGCATAACTCTAGACTGATAAAACTGATGCCACCAAAATTCGAACTTAATCTGTGTTTTGTGGTAATTAGCATTGTGTATAAGTTTCATAACATTAGGTTGAGGCAAACTAAAATTAGAGAACGAAAACGAAAAACTCAGCAATTTTTCCATTTGTAAAGGGGCGTAACTCTAGAATGGTAAAAGTGACTCCACCAAAATTCAAACTTGATTTGTGTTTTGTTGTAATAAGCATTGTGTAAAAGTTTCATAACATTTGGTTGAGGCAAACTAAAGGTAGAGAACAGAAACCAACTTTGGGACGTATGGACGTACAGACGGACAAGGGTAAAACTTAATGCCCCCTCAACTACGGCGGGGGCATAAAAAGAATGTGTCCATAGAACACGATGCCCTGCTTGAAATATCATATTTCCAAGATCAGTGAACTTTCAAATCTGTTTTTTTAAATTGTTTTAAGTTTTTATATCATGTTACTATGGAAATTATACTTACTCCATCTTCATCAAACTCTTCTATGTCAACAGTTTCCCTAATACCAGGGCACCAAGTGGGGACAGAGATTGGCACAGATGCTGAATATATTAACTTATTCTTTTTCACTGTTGAAGGGGCTTCTCTTTCACCTCTTTCACCTGCAATAAAGTTGACTAAATTAATATCCTCATTCAATCAAACAAGTGTCTATTGTTATGGTTATATGATTTTTTTTATCTGAATGCTTATTTATTGATTATATGCTGATACAGTTAATCAATAGCATACCAGTAACTTAGATATTTGTCACAGGCATACAAACATCTTGTAAATTTTACGGTTGATTAGTTATGAAATTGACCAGACCTTGATGTACTAATTAGGTTATATGCATGTCAAAATAGAGGATTGCCTGATTTTACCAAAAAGCTTGTTCCCAGTATTTTTGATAAATTAAAAACAAACACCGAGGTTGCTTAAACTAATTTGTATATAATCCACCTATTGATCCAAATATTCAAGATATCTTATCATATTGCAAATAAAAAATACTTTGAGGTAACTATAAATATATGCATATTAAATCTTTGTTTAACTTCAAATCAAACTCAGATAACAAGAATTAACCAAATATCTCTCTTTAAAAAAGATCATTATTTAAAATATCTTTTTGGATTTTAGTGAGGTGAGAATTTTGCTCCATGTTGAAGACCTCACTGTGACTTGGAAATGAAGAACAGCAATAAAAGTACTGTTCCTTTGCTGTTGTTTTTCTTAATATGGGTGTTGTGACTTTGTTTTATGGATTGATACACAATATTGTTTCTTTTCCTTCAATAGAATATTTCTAAAGAGTTGCCTGAGCAATAACTACACAGAACCTTTGTAAAAATCCCAACACTTTTCCACAACAATTCCTCATGATAAGATCTTTTATATCTATATTTATCATCTGTATTTATTTTTTAAGAACTTACTTCCTTCTTCAGATTCCGATTCATCTTCTGACTGATAAAATTGTTCCTCACTGTCAATATCACCTCCATCAAACATAAACATACCTATCAAAGGGAAGTAATTCATTTAATTCTATCTACACTTCTACTTTGTTAATTATGGAATTCTGAAGAGAATTTAAAAGTTACTGTTTTACCCTAAAAAACTTCCTCTTTTATGTAATAAAAAACATGTATAACACCAAAAATTAAACAAGAATGAAAATTAACTTTCTTTTTTCTTTTTTCTGTTTATAATGAGCTGTTTTAAAGAATGAACAAAGTATTCATTCAAATTGCTGGGGTGAAACTCAGCAAAATCAAAGTTAAAAGTCAATAAAAACCCTGAACAGTTGGGGCAAAAATGGACACAATATTCAAGCTTGATACAGGTCTGAATTTGGATTGTAATTAAATATTTGACATATTATAGGTTTCTGAATAAATGTAGTCAAAGAACTTGAAATTGGTTATATGAATTGAATTTATATTCAATTAAAGATTTCTTGCTGTTGTGCAATACACTGTGCTGTTGTGCAATACTTAGTAAATCTGTTGTCAGACTATAAACAAATAAAGTTCAATTTCTTCTCAATGTCATATTTGAAATTTATGAAAATGAATAGGGAGATTACATCAATAGCTATAAATAATTCACCAAAGTTTCATGAGAACTGCTGAAAGCATTTTTGAGTTATTGTCCAAAAACTGGAAAATCCCCCCTTTTTTAATGAATAAAACCCCATAACTCAGAAATGTAAAATCTAGAATTTATAAAATTCTAAAGGGAGCTTACATCAACAGATATAAACAATTCACCAAAGTTTCATGAGAACTGCTGAAAGCATTTTTTAGTTATTGTCCGAAAACTGGAAAATCACCCTTTTTTTTATGAATAAAACCCTGTAACTCGGAAACATAAAATCTAAAATTTATAAAAATTGAAAGGGAGCTCATGTCAATAGATATAAACAATTCACTTAAATTTCTTGCAAGTTGGTGAAAGCATTCTTGAGTTATTGTTGGAAAACTGGAAAATCCCCCCTTTTTCAATGAATAAAACACCAAAACTCAGAAACGGTAAATCTGAAGTTTATAAAAAACGAAAGGGAGCTCACGTCAATAGATATAAACAATTTACCAAAGTTTCATGCATATTGGTTAAAGCTTTTTTGAGTTAATGTCCGACATGTTGACGACGGACGGACGGACAGACAGACTGACGTGAGACGGTCAACGGTATACCATAATACGTCCTGTAAACGGGCGAATAAAAAGTTTGTAGCAGTTCATTTCCAACAACCTTATTTTTATGCTCTACATGCAGTTTGATGTAATAGTCTTTACAAAGATGTCAAAAGAAACATATATATTAAAATCAACAAACAAATGACATCTCGCTCCCATTTGTTTAATAGTTTGGAAATTATGTGCATCTTAAAGTTACACTGCATATGAAATGTATATAAACCTCAGTTAAACTTATACTTATACAAAAATGCTTAATTTTCTTACCTTTGTGATTTTTTTGGAAAATATTGGCCTATGAAGTAGCTTTTTTAATGTGTTGGTGGCAGAGAAGCCTTAATTCTCTTTATTAAAAGGAATTTTAAATTAAATGAATACACACCATCAGCATTTTGATCATAATCCTCCAATGACTGTCCTCTTGGGACTGGTGTTGATTTGGCCCTTGAAAGTGCAGTTTTCTGAAAAGAAATTTAACAATCTCTTTTTATCTCTCTGTATCTGTGTCATAGATGGAAAAAGAAGTTATCTTCTGATTGAAAATTAAAAAAAATAAATGAAGAATGTGTCCATGGGACACAGATGTCCCGCTTGTAAATATGACATATGAGGATAGAAAGGGACCTCCAAAATCCCCCTACAACCAACACCCCTTCTTTGAGTAATTCAAATTGATATTCAACAATAAATGACCCACCAATCATGTCTAAACATAAAAGTTCCCTTCCTATCGGCCCATATTCATTTCTCAGGCTTTCTTTAAATTAGGCACATCTTTTCAGCATTTATAAATACTTTCCTTAACCCTTTAAGACCTCTAGTACATGTTACCAAATGGCAGACTGGCACATAAAAAAACAAATCAATTCCATAGAAGTTTTTATCACCAAGACTTACCTGTGACATCATCCCTTTTGGCTTTAACCTTTCTGGAGTCTTTGAAACATTTTTTGACCCTAAAAAGTAATCAAATGTTAATAGTAACCAAACTGAACTAAAACCAAATGTGTTAAATGTACCAACTCTCATATTAAGAGTATACAAAGAATATTTGATAATAATTTACTAGTAATAATATCAGATTATTACATGGCATTTTTCATATCAAATGTATTATCAGTCCATGAGACCAGGGCTGATAATACATCTGATATGAAAAATAACATGTTATGATCTTTTTATCATATGCTTCAACAATGGAGAAAAATAACGGTTTAATGTAATGATCCTTTTAAGTGGTTCTCAAGTAGAAGTTCAAGAAGTGAAAAGTTTATGGACGACATACACCAAATGTAATACATCCAATATGAAATCTTTCTATCATATGCCTCAACAGAGGAGAAAAACAACAGTATAATATTATACACCTATTGACTGGTTATGAGGGTAATAGCAAGTTTGTTGTCCCTGAGATACCAACTATTGCTTGAGGCGAAGCCGAGGGCAATAGTTAGTATCAAAGGGACAACAAACTTGCTATTACCCTCATAACCAGTCAATAAGTGTTTTATTATACCAAACAAACCATCTTTCTAAAAATTCTACATACATCATCTGAAAGAAAAGAAAAATGTCACATAAACAAAATGAACTATAAGTTTTTTTTATAGTCCGTGTTGTATTTGTAAATATTCTATTTACTGAAATCAAGACTAGGAATACTTGTGTAAAAATTCCTGTGCAAATGATAAATTCTTCTATACTAGCTAAAGTACTGTACACCAAAGCAATCACATTTTCTGAAGACGACGACAGACCCGTATTATACATTTACTATATTTTAGATCTTTTAAAAATGTGTCGCGAAGATTTTCTTTTTCTTTTTTAATTGCTTCTGGTAAGTGATATATTAATTTGAAATTACGACAGACACAAACAGATTATACCGTTTACGATATCAGAGTTTGACGTTGCCAAGCACACAAATCCAAGCAGAATAGTTAATGACGTCATTGTTGTCCAATGAAAAATAAGTATGAAAAAGTACGGGAAATATGATTATAAAACTATGAACCAGGGTAATAGTCTTTGAAACTATTGACTGGCAAATAGTCTGTGGAATGAAATAGCACAACTATTTCAGTATTTTTTATATAGAAAAAACATACTAAGGTATAATAAAAAAATATATTGACGATAAAAAAAATCAACAAAACATAATGAATAGTGTTTGGAAAAGTCAACATTTGTAAAGTAACCTGCTAAATTATGCTGGAAACATTCAATCAAAGCACTGTAAGCGCTGTAGGCAGTTAACCAAAAACCAAGGCAAACGTAATTATGAAAACTGTGGGAGTCTTGCTTCAATTTTTTTTTAAGATTTGAAAAAAGAAACATTAAACATTTGTATATTGTACATTGTTTATTTAATGAAATGATTACTAAGGCAAATTAATTAATATTTTATCAAGGTTTTCAAAAGCAACGCATATATATATCATTCAGTATTAGTGGTAAAAGTTGACGAAGAATGAGTTTGTAATAGTTTGAACGGATTTGCTTCCCTGGAAGGAACACCGAATTTGGGTTCTTCAGTGCAAAAATTATGAAAAACAAATCAGACAAATGTTTACTACTCCAGGGATCAAAGGTGAGGTCTGACTGACCTGCCCATAGTAAATGTAAATTACCCCCACCTTCACCCCAAGTCCATGATGTCACTCCATACCAAGTTTGGAATAAAATGACAGGTGATTATAAAACAGTTGGTCTAACATTCTTGGGCTTTACACTTCTTGAAAGATTCATATGTTTTCTTTAAAAATGAGCCATAAATGAAATAATTCATAAAATATTTTAAGTAAATCCAATCAACCTAGACTCATTTTTAGCATCAATAAAATTTTATAATGAACAAGAAATAATTGTAACAGGATGCTGTGACGAAGTTTCCCTAACAAAGCTACCATAATTCGTCATTCCCATGGTCGCCTGGCATTGGACAGTTCACATTGGTTTGGTCTAGTAAAGTGATATGCATATGTAACGCCTAGGAGATTGACCCTGTTTGTCATTCAAATCTTTTTGAAATGACGAACAGGAATAAATAGGGTTTAGGAGTGGGCATCTCGACCGTTTACAAGTTCTCAAACAGGAGGGGGTGTGGTGACCCCCAGGGATTCCCCCCTTTATTTCCTTTCATTTGTTATACTGTTCCATACATGAATATATATAGTTTAGGGGTGGGGATCTTAACCGTCCTGTTTGTCATTCAAATCTTTTAGAAATGACGAACAGGAATAAATAGGGTTTAGGAGTGGGTATCTCGACCGTTTACAAGTTCCCAAACAGGAGGGGGTGTGGTGACCCCCAGGGACTCCCCCTATATTTCATTTGATTTGTTATATTGTCCCATACATGAATATGGTTTAGGAGTGGGGATCTTAACCGTTTCAAAAGTTCTCAAACAGGAGGGGTGGAGTGACTCACGGGACTCCCCCTATATTTCATTTGATTTGTTATACTGTCTCTTCCATGAATATATATGATTTAGGGGTAGGGATCTCGACTGTTTACAAGTTATCAAACAGAAGGGGGTGGGGTGACAACGGGGACTCCCCCAAATTATTTTCATTTTGATTGTTTTATTATCCCATACAAGAATATATATGGTTTAGCTATAGGGGTGGGAATCACAATTCACCCTTTATTTTATTTGATTTATTTTATTGTCCTGTTCTCATTAATGAAGACCGTGTGTGTCTATCACTTACTGTTTTCGAGTAATAGTCATTTGAAAATTTAAAAAAAATCCCATATGGTTCTACAGTAAACCCCATCCCTTCTTTAGGCCCCTCAAAATACCCCTAAATAAGGCACAAACGAAAATTGATGGCTTACATTTTATGAAACCTAAGTAAATCTGACAAGCGGTCCGAGTTGTCTTGTTAGATGGGCCGAGTAGACTCTGTCCTACTTGTCTCCGGGACGAGATGTTCCGCATTTCTTAAAACATCGACCAGTACGTCAATTTCCATAAAAATAACATCAGAATCAAACGAACTTACGTTTCGTGTACGACTAATACCTGCAAACTTTCACGGTTTAGGCGTGAACTACATGATATTGACCCGCTGTCCTGATTTCACGATCGTGTTCGTGAAAATAGATAGCCCCAAAACACGATACTTTGAAAACTACACGCAAAATATTTTTGTTTTCCCAAGGGAGGCAACTCGTGTTTAATAAATTTAATCCAATCAAAAGTCAGTGGTCACGCATTCACCAGTTGATTAATGGTACTATAGTAAACAATCAAAGAATAGAAGTTTGTTAAGTATTTAGAGTTGTTTTTTTGGGCTTGGGTGTTAGAATTATTAAAATCGGAATCACTAATGACGAGCTATCACTTGCAAAACTTGTTATATTGGTATATATGTAACGGAAACCAGTCTAGTAGTGCATTACTTGACAAGGTCATTTATGTAAAAAACGGAGTAATATAAAAGAATGAAATTCAAATGTGATTACACAATTTATTAACACTCATCTCAAACAAAAAGAATTTCATGATTAACAATAATTACCTTTCTATCATCAGAATCCTCAAAATTTAAAAGTTACGTTAATTTCGTCTTCTAATTTGAAATTGCCGCCAACTTATTAATAGACTACTGACGTATTTAATACGTATCGACGACAAACAATATCCCTACGACTTTTGCCATTTGGGAAATGTAAACGACTTGTCTTTAGAGATTTTCGGCGATTAAATATTTCATACAATTGTTCTTTGACATCTTAGCCAAAAGTACAGTGGAAAATAAACTACATAAGGATTTCTATTGAGCACTACTTCCTATGTGCAACTTCAAAAATTTTGGGTTGTTCGACGATCATTTAAGGTTTTTCTGGTCATATTTTTTGTATTCCAGAATTGATAGTATGAAAAAAGTGCCCAATTAGTTATTAATAACATACTAAGCCAGATAGATAATAACAACAGCACTTTTTCACTATTCAGTGGGAAGAACACAAATCTAGGGTGCTAGCATATGGCAGCTTAACTGCCAAAAAATGCATTTATAGTATCATTTGTTTTGCATTTTACATAATATGTTTTCCTGTTTATAATAATAATATTTGTTTTGTACCCTACTTTGTTATGTTTTTCACTGAAAACGTCCCATTGAGGTGTATTTTCCGGAATTTGCCGAGTTACGTCGGAATGCAATGCGATAAGGTAACGGAAAGGCATGCTATAATAGCCATAACAGTTGATAAATTTTTCATATCAGCCCGCTAAGCACCATTTCGGAAAATATGGAATACACATAAATTTAATGCTATTATCATACTGTAAAAACTATAAGTTATTTACTCTAAGTATATGATAAAGGAATATATATTCATGTACTTTAAACAGACAGTGATTGTGTGATAGAAACAATACAATTCACCTACTGTGAATTCATTGTTATTTGTGGGATACCCATGTTTGTGGATACAGGTGAACCATGAATTTAAATGTTTTTGTGGACACAGGTGAACCATGAATTTAAATGTTTTTGTGGACACAGGTGAACCATGAATTTAAATGTTTTTGTGGACACAGGTGAACCATGAATTTAAATGTTTTTGTGGATACAGGTGAACCATGAATTTAAATGTTTTTGTGGATACAGGTGAACCATGAATTTAAATGTTTTTGTGGATACAGGTGAACCATGAATTTAAATGTATCAGGAAAATTGGTATCCATGACAATAAATAAATCCATAGTATTATGGATAGTGCTTTAAAATCTGCCAATAAAAATGTCACCTTTCTTTTGAAAGCCCCTGAAACTGGTAAATTGAAGAATAATATAACACTTATGATGATTTTGTTTTCATAACTGCAAAAAGGTTATAAAACTTTTTGGGGATGAAATAACTCACCTGTATTATCACCAGCAGATTTCATCTTTTGTGCTTCCAGGAGAACACTGAAATTACAAATAACAGAATGATAATATAAAATGGGAATGTAAGTGGCCTACAACTTGTGCTTGATGGTTGATAAAGAAGTTTTGATGCTGTAAATTTAGTGCAGATGTTGTTGCACAATGGATATCAATGTGAGATAATTTGTAATTTTAGGAAATGCTGCACAGAAATAACACTATGAAATTTTAATTAATTTTATATTATTTTAGTAAAACTTTTCTAATGACTGTTTTCACAATAATACCAACATCCCACAAATTTCTGAATTTACAGTATATTAGTTAAGGAATATAATTAAATATGTTTTAGGTAGGTACATATATTATTACGTAGTGCATGCACTAATATGTCTTGCCTGTTTACTGTTCAAGGATGTAGTCAGGTGAAATTAAAAATATCTACAATTTAAAATTGATACTATAAGTCAGAAGAGCACTAGTTTAGGAACAAAATAAGCTAAAAATATTGATAGGGGATGGAACTCCTTTTCGAGATATTTGATTTAAAAATAAACAGAGAATGTGTCTATGGGCCCCAGATGACCCCGCTTGTAAAAACGCACGAGGCAACTTCCACATACAGATGCAGGATTCATGTAGTTAAGACCGTTTTGTGATTATAAGCATAAGTTTCATAACATTTGGTTGAGGCAAACTAAAGTTACAGAACAGAAACGACAGATTTAGCAATTTTTCCATTTATAAAGGGGCATAACTCCATGGACAGTAAAAATGACACCACCCAATTTCGAACTTGATCTGTGTTTTGTGGTAATATGCATTGTGTATAAGTTTTATAATATTTGGTTGAGGCAAACTAAAGTAAGAGAATGGAAACCAATTTTTGGGGATGTTCGGGACGGACGGACAGACGGGACAGACATGGGTAACACTTAATGCCCCTTCCGCTACGGCGGGGGCATAAAAATGGCGGGAAAAGGCTGACTCTGACTTTACCTTATATTTTGCATTGGCATTATTTTGGTCTCAAAACGTAAGAAAAAAATCTAGATTCTGCTTAAATTTTGGTAATGACATTTTATGACCTACATGTATTAAAGTCTTTTATGAAAAGAAAAATGGGTGATATGGGGCAAAAACAATTACCCTATATCAGAAGAAAAAATTCAAGGAGTCTGACAAAAATTCCTAAACCTGACATGACTACATCCTTAAGAATGATTGTTTTGTGGAAAGTCTAAGGTCAAGGTTTTACTACAGGAATCACAAACTTAACATTATTAATGATCCTTATAAGTAAGGTCAGTACGGGTTAATCCTGTCTGATTTAAATCTATACCTTGCAATGATTCTTTATACTAAATATAGTTGTGCTATTGTAGCAGAGTTATTTTTAGGATTATTTTGTATACTGTAAAAATCATCTTTTTGATTACTATACTAAAAATAAAAGTGTACATATTTTGAATATTGAATCTGAGTTAAAATGATTACTTGCAAACCTTAATTTTGTGTATAGTATTATGCACTATATTTTTCTATTAATATACATGGGGTTTTCACTTGAATCGTTTTGAATTTAGAACATTTCCACAGGATGGTAGCCATGACAGTCGTTTAGATTTATGTCCTGTTTATATTGACCCAGGGCCGTAACTACCTTTATGGCAGACGAGGCAATTTCCTCGTCTGATTTTCTGGCAAACAAAAATAATAATTAGGAAAAAAAAAAAAAAAAACCGAGAAAAGCTAGGCATGCAGGGGTAGAATATCTGGAATTAATTAATGCATACTTTGGATAGTATAATTAATAATGATGTGCAGCTTCTGCACGCACAGTATCGAACTCTCTGCCTGATTTCCATTTGTCAGTAAATCGTCATTTGATGTGTATTGATTGATATTTTATTACATGATTTTTTTATTAGTTGTTATTGGCTTTGAACTAGCTGTCAGTAACTGCAAGTACTCTCAGATCTGTACTTAGTGTCCTTTTTGGTATTAGGGATGAGGGATGGATAAATACCCTGCCACCTCAGGTCTGTGTTTATGTTTGATGTTTCATTGTATTGATCAGATGAGTTAAGCCTTTTTCAACTGATTTTTATAGTTTGTTCTTATGTTGTGCTGTTACATAATTTACCAGGTTAGAGGGAGGGTTAAGCGCTCACAAACATGTTTAACCCCGCCACATTTTTTATGTGCATGTCACAGACAGGAGCCTGCAGTTCAGTGGTTGTCATTGGTTCATGTCTGTCATATTTGTTTTTCATCAATTTTTTTGTTATAAGTTAGGCCGTTAGTTTTTTTCAATTGATTTGTTTCATATCTTTCATGTCGGGGCCTTTTATAGCCGACTATACGGAATGGGTTTTTCTCATTGTTGAAGGCCGTATGGTTGCGTATAATTGCTTACATCCACTTAATTTGAACTTTGGTGGATTGTTGTTTCATTGGCAATCATACCTCATCTCCTTATTATATATTTGGTTCTGCAACTATTTCTTTCCCCACAAAAAAGTCTCTTTACAAGTTCGACCGTCAGAGATTTTGGTTGCTGGTTGGTTCTTGCTCATATGAGAGATCGTTTTCTGCCCTTCGATGTTTAACCACATGGTGCAGGTCAACAATGACCAAGGACAGATTATGTGGTTTAGCCATGCTTCACGTCCATCCTACGGACAACGTCGGGCAAGTGAACACAGAAGCTGTTCCTAAACGATGGGATCTTAGTGGCACAAGAAAGGTCGAACTAGCATTCACAGACAGTGAATAAGTTCCACTTTTTGGGGTTTATTAAAGTGTTATTAAAATGTGTGTTATTTTTAATGAAGCGTTGACCATGCATACTTGTCCCGTTTTTTCTACTATCAAACATTTATCATACTGTATATGGATACATGTTTGAAGGTATTAAATTCGATAGCAAGTATATGTCAGCCAGCTCTGATAGCCTAATGCAGTTCTTCATACGGTAAATATCAAACAAAAATGGATGTAATAAGTTGTATTTCGGACCCTAATAACATAATTTTTTAGAAGGGGGGCTTATTTATATTTTTTAACGTAAATAACATTCTCTTATAGTTTCTATTTTCTTGTCCCTTTCTCCTCAGATCGCATACATGTAACACTTGTACGAAAGATGTACGAGAGTATTTTTGTCTTAACATTGTCTTACTGCAATACATATTATTTGATACTTAGTTAATAATGTATTATTTAATATTATATTTCTGTATTATATAATCTGTGATATTTTGTAAAAGTACATACTTATGTTACATGACATAGCTAGTTATTTATATATGTTATTTTGCTATTTTCGAATTAGTTTTATTTACTGGTAATAAACATCAGAACCCTAGACTTAGTTATAGTTGTTCCTTAGCATAGGAAATCCATCTACTACACTATTACTGATAATAACCGAAAAAATCACTTGACAAAAAACCTATAATCCCTGAACCATGAATATGAGGACAAGGACAACAGACATTTGCAAGACAACAACTTCAGAACATAAATTATCTGTGAACAAGATATGAAGTATCCAGGTCTTCTACCTTGTAAAATATAAACATTTATGCAAAGAACTAAAGCTGCAGAGATACAAAAGCCATCAAAGTGGCATTAAATTATACTAAACTAATATACTGATAATATAAAAATAAGAAGAAGTGGTACATTGTATAATTGCCAATGAGACAACTCTCCACTAGAGACCAAATGACAAAGAAGTTAACAACTATAGGTCACCGTACGACCTTCAACAATGAGCAAAACCCATACAGCATAGTCAGCTATAAAATGCCCCGAAATGACAAATATAAAACTATTCAAAAGAGAAAACTAACAACTCGATTTATGTAAAAAACAATGAAAGAAATACAAATACTTGATATACAGCAACAAACTAAAACCACTGAACTACAGGCTCCTGACTTGGGACAGGCACATACAGAATGTGGTGGGGTTAAACATGTTAGTGGACACCCAACCCTCCCCTTACCTGGGACAGTGGTGTAACAGTACAACATTTGAAGAAACTTATAAATCAAAGTATCGTGGATGTTGTGATCCAGCCAATTGTGTAACTAGTCTGACATTTTTTTCTGACCATACTTTAAATATTTCTTTTGTTATTTTCATTTCCATAATCTCACTGAAAAATTTCTATTCTATTGCCCAAAAGATGGAGAATTTTGTAATGGTGATGCAAATTATTTTGGTATTTAAATTGAAGACTGTGACTGTCAGATGTTTTTACATCTTTTTTTAATTCAAAAATTTTGAAAAGAATGTTAAGGGAAAATTTTCAAACGAGTAGCATATTTTTAAAATGTCATTTAAATAATATTTGACTGAATAATTTCCTTGCAGAAAGAGGCATTGAAAATGCCCTTTTAACAACTACAAAAATAAATAACTAATTTTTATTTAAATTGGTGTTCTTTCTTCATTAAAAAAAAAATACATTTCCTGTATTCAAATAACCAATTCCAATTATGGTTTAATCACAATATAATGGGGAATATACAATAAATTTAATGCAGAAAATGCTCAGGTAAGAGTTATGCAATTGTATTTATTGTTTCAACCAAATTAATGATAATTGTAACTTAAAAAGACCTTAATTATTAACTTATGACACTGATTTTACAAGTGAAATAAAATTTGCATTTTTTATACATATTTTATTTTTAGTTTTTTCTTTGAAAAAAAGAAACCACATCTCATTAATCAGTCAGCTTTCACACAAAATTAACAGAATAATTTTATTTAGTGTTGATCAAAATAAATAATAGGTACACTATTCAGGTCAAGATTTTGTGTATTCAGTTAGATGTGTAATAAATTGAATACACAAACTCTTGACCTCAATACCAGTAAGTTTATCAACTGTCATAATATATTACATTGTAACTGTGGTTAATTAAGACGGCACTTGAGTGGAGTTGATTCCAATTAATACTTACACCTTTGAGTGTAATTGTTTGAAAATCATGACAGTTGATAATTATACTGATATTGTATCAATACTCTTATGTGCCTAATGAAAGAATGGGGATAATAGCATTTCAAAAAAGTGTGGGAATCAACTCTGATATCAATATACATCTTGAACTAAATTTTATTCAATGGCTTACACAAACATAAGATACTGATTAAACACTTTCATAATTCTTTTCAACTGCTTAAATTTGACAAATCACATTTTCACATTAATTAATAAATGGCAATTTGATATAAATTTTGATTTACAAAAGAACTATATGCAAGTGTATATCTAAAATAAAGAAGTTGTTCTCCCAACCTTTTTTTAATTTTTAGGCAAATAACATATTAAAAGTTGGCAGTTGATGATTAAAATGGTGTATAAAGTTTCATTCAGTAATAGAAACATTTAATTATTTTCATGATATGTCTTCAACTTAGAATTCTGCACCATCTCCAAATATGGAGTGATCACATAGATCCAGCATGGCTGAATCAAAAATTAGTTGAAAAGGGCTTAACTCATCAGATCGTTACAAAGCAGAATAAAAAGTATCAAAAACACAGACCGGACGTGGCAGGGTATTTATACATTCCTACAACAAAAAAGACACTAAGTACAGATCTGAGAGTATTCCCAGTTACTGACAGCTAGTTCAAAGCCAAAAACAATAATAATAAATAAATCATGTATCTAAGTATCAATCAGTACTCAACCAACATCCAATGTATTTAGTAACAGTCATTAACAGTCAGAGAAAATATGACCTTGTGCAATGAGCATTTGCTGAGTAAAAATAGCTTTGCAACAAATAGTTTTAATTTCATATCTTATATTTCAAAAATAAACTATTACTTCTATATGTTATAATAAATAATTCATTGTAACAAAGAAAATTAACCATAAGATGCTTATTTTACTTGACAAAAACTTGATTATAACAATTTGAACTTTGGAATGTTTTATATTATAGTTTTTGAATAAAAATATATGTTGCTAAATTTTTTTTACTCAGTATATTTTTTTTTACAGTTTGCTTTTTACCTTATCATTTTTTTCTTGTCTTTTCTGACTTTTTCTTGGAGCTGCTGAAACAGTATTCTCTGTTCTTCTTCATATTGTCTAAAATACAAAATTTACATAATAATTTACTTTCCTATTTATATTCCATTCCTCTTATTTCTATTAATAAAATTGAGAATGGAAATGGGGAATGTGTCAAAGAGACAACAACCCGACCATAGAACAGACAACAGCAGAAGGTCACCAACAGGTCTTCAATGCAGCGAGAAATTCCCGCACCCGGAGGCGTCCTTCAGCTGGCCCCTAAACAAATATATATACTAGTTCAGTGATAATGAACGCCATACTAAACTCCAAATTGTACACAAGAAACTAAAATTAAAAATAATACAAGACTAACAAAGGCTAGAGGCTCCTGACTTGGGACAGGCGCAAAAATGCGGGGGGGGTTAAACATGTTTATGAGGTCTCAACCCTCCCCCTATACCTCTAGCCAATGTAGAAAAGTAAACGCATAACAATACGCACATTAAAATTCAGTTCAAGAGAAGTCCGAGTCTGATGTCAGAAGATGTAACCAAAGAAAATAAACAAAATGACAATAATACATAAATAACAACAGACTACTAGCAGTTAACTGACATGCCAGCTCCAGACTTCAATTAAACTGATTGAAAGATTATGTCTTCATCATATGAATATCAGGCACAATCCTTCCCGTTAGGGGTTTAGTATCATACCATCATAACATATATGAGAAGAACATAACCCGTGTCATGCCAACAACTGGTTTTTAGATAAATGTGTTTAGTGCCGATGCAAAGACCCTATAAGTGAATCAATATTAACGCCAAAATATGCAATCTTTAATGACCTGACAACAGTATCGTAACTATATCCCTTCTTAATAAGTCTATTTAAAGGTTTTGTTAGCTTCAGAGGTGAATACTGACATTTTTGTGCTTTATAAAGAATATTTCCATAAAAAATTGGATGTGAAATACCTGAACGTATAAGAAGTCTGCATGTTGAGCTATATTTACGAATGATGTCCTTATACCGATGATAAAATTTAGTAAATGTTTTGACTAGTTTGTGATATCGAAAACCCTGGTGTAATAATTTTTCAGTAATACATAAATTTCTCTCGTTAAAATCTAAAACATTGTTACATACACGAGCGAATCGTACAAGTTGAGATATATAAACACCGTAAGATGGTGACAAGGGAACGTCACCATCTAAAAATGGATAATTAACGATAGGAAATGAAAAATCATCTCTTTTATCATATATTTTAGTATTAAGCTTTCCGTTAATGATATAGATATCAAGATCGAGGAAAGGGCAGTGGTCATTGTTAGTATTAGCTTTATTTAAAGTAAGTTCAACAAGATAAATTTCTTTAGTATACATACTGAAGTCGTCATTATTGAGAGCTAAAATATCATCCAAATATCAAAAAGTATTATTAAATTTGTGTATCAGATGTTGTTTCGATGGGTCTTTGCTGATTTTTGTCATAAATTGTAACTCATAGCAATACAAAAAAAGGTCCGCAATAAGTGGTGCACAGTTAGTCCCCATTGGAATTCCGATAACCTGACGATATACGGAATCTCCAAAGCGAACAAAAATGTTATCTAGTAAAAATTCAAGGGCATATATAGTATCAAAGCATGTCCAATTGACATAGTTTTTTTGTTTATTGCTACTAAAAAATGACCTAAAAGAGTTTGAACATATATATTCACATTCTGACTTTTTAAATGCCCATTTAATTAGGTGTGTGAATTTTTTCTTAATGAGAATATGAGGCAATGTGGTATATAGGGTAGAAAAATCAAAACTTTGAACAGATTCAAAATCACCAATATATGCATGCAATTTATCAAGTACTTCCAACGAGTTCTTGACACTCCAATAGTATTTTTCTTTATTTTCTGAAAATGAACATTGAAGTTTGAGAATGTACAATTTCTCTCAATAAATCATTTTTTTAATGCACAATAGCGAGCAATCTTTTTATACCAAAACCTAGGTGTTGCTATATGGTATACTGCTTATAAGTTTTAAGGTCTGATAATTTTACATATGCATTGGCAAAATTTCAAAACTGTTTGGCCCAATTTAGGCATGGTAATGACAACTTTTATGTTTATTAAAGGTGTAGTGTAAAGTTTCGTGTGCAAGACATGACTCTCTGGATTTACAATATTCAATTTTGTCAACCAAACTAACTGAGCATGATTTAGAATCATTTTAGAAAAAAACAGGTATACAAATTCAAAAAAATATACTTAATGCTCCTGTACAAGACAGTACATCTTTGACAATTTCAGTTGACATGATTCTTGATCTGGAGAAGCCATAATGAGAAATATTGTCCCAATTTACAGAAAAAGTGTCAATATGTTTGGTTCATTTGTAATGTATGTTTCTCATACTTATATAGTGAAATTTTAAGTTCGTATATAGTGAACTTCTTTATAATTCAGTAGAAAGATTGGTAAGTAAAGGTAACTGGTCCTAGTATTCATAAAATAATTCTTCAAAATCAGCATACTTTAATAGTTACCTACTTTTTGTTAATAAATTTGAGCATTTTACAACATAGACCAAGATTATGAACTGATTTTCAACCTTGACTTACAAGAAAATATTTCCAGACCAGTATTATATAAGATAAATAGTCACAAAAAACTGTGAATTTTTCACTGTTACTGGTCTATCTACGATCAATAAAAAAGTATTTCTGGTCTTTTTAAATTCTTTTACTTGATTCTATTTTCCATCTCAGTTTCCTCTTGCATTATGTAGTTCGTCAACTGTTCCTGGACCATATTTATTTCACCCTGTAGAGATTCAAATTGTCCTGATGATCGATCTAAAATAAAGATGAAATATAACTGTTGCAGAAAAATAACACATATTTTTTATTATTATGCCAGAAAAAGCAACTTGAGACTAAAGACATTTGTTTAATACTTTCTTACAGATACCAAACATGAATGTTATCTGTTCATTGATTCCATTACTCATCTTAAAAAAAAAAGAATTGAAATCTTTAAAATCTCACTCTTAAATCACTGTCCTATCACACATACTGTGTTTCCACATTAAAAAACTTCAAACCTCCAAATGTGTTGATGGGTCTTACAGCAAATTGAAGGTCAGTAAAGTGAACAAAAATAATGACCAACAATTGTTGACTTTTATATGCATGAATGCAATGAACTCCCCTTAATCATCTTTGGGTTAAATCTAACTAAACTTTATTTCTACCTTTCAATTTAAATGCCTTACCAGGTATAGTCTGAAATGGGGTATCTTTTTCTGGTAGCACAAGCTCAAATACATTAGAATAATTTGGGTGGTGATGTAATCTATCTATAACTGCAGGATCATACTGTAAAATAAAAAGTATCTATTGAGGATCTTGTGTAATCATCATTCTTTGTATAAAAAGATAACGCAATATGTTACTATTTATTGAAAATTTGAAATATTACATTTTAAAATTTTACACTTAATTGATTTAGAATTTCCCATCACTGTATCATGACACTTCAATAATGTCCACTATTTGTCATGGTGACAGGCTCTGATATTTTGAAGGGGAAGGTCCTTAATGTCATGTTTGAATAAACATGATGTTACAATGTAAACTGACTTCCCACGCCACTACAAAAAAGTATGATAGTTTGTTTGGCCACAACAACTATATATATATGCAAGTTATATGTCTGTACAAATCCCTTACTTGCATTAAAAGTCATGCTTCTTTGGACATTTTTTATCTTAAAAGATGTGTTACAAACATTTGCAGATTTGTGTTTTTAATTTCTGAAATTGAATGGATATCCAACACCATGAAACTTGATTACACATTATCTGCAATGTTGAGTTGATAAGTAATTTACACATACCTGCACTTTTTGATTAATAAGTAATCTTGAAGATCTTGGTTTTGTTGCATAGACATCTAGTCCACAGTTCAAGCAGCTGTGAACAAGCCATTCTCCAATCTGCTGTCGATGAACAAGGTAATCTTGCTCCTTGGAAAAAAATAATCATGATATTTAGAAAAAATTTCAGTGTTCTTTCCCCAAATATTGAAATACTACCCTGATAAAGGGACAGCACATGGATAGCCTACATTATTGAAAGATGATTCATGCAACAGACCATTTTTGGTTATTAAACTTGAATGCATGCAAAATAGGATAACTTGCAAGTCAGAGGTAACAACTGTATTTTCCAGTAACTTTTCTGAATGAACATATTTCATTAAAAAATTTGGAGGAAAGTTTTACAATTATATGCAGCTCAAATAATACTTTCTCAGCAGGCTTCCTATTACTGAATTCGATCTTGTATGGTCTAAAATTAAAATTGCCAGGAAGGTGTGCCGATTATAGAGAACTATAAGCAAGAAATAAGAGAAAAACTTGATTTTGCAATATTTGTTTATGTTCTGCCATGTTTGTTATTGAAATTGTCATGATTGTAGAGGGCGCCCTTATTTCCTAAAACCTTTCAAAACTAATAATTTACCTTATCCAAATTAATATGCGATTTAAATACATGTATAGAAATCCAACAAGAGTGCACACGCTGAAATGTCTCGCCTTCTTTACTAATCATTGATATTATGTTGATAGTCCTAAATATAAAGCTTTATTACAACTGTCACATAAACTTAACATTAACCAAGTAAACTAAACATTGACCAATGAACCATGAAAATGAGGTCAAGGTCAGATGAACCATGCTAGGCAGGCATGTACAGCTAACAATTCTTCCATACAACAAATATAGTTGACCTATTGCTTATAGTATAAGAAAAATAGACGAAAACACAAAAACTTAACACTGAGCAATGAACCTTGAAAATGAGGTCAAGGTCAAATAAAACCTGCGTGACTGCCAAATAGATCATAAAATATTTCCATACACCAAATATAGTTGAACTATTGCATATAGTATAAGAAAAACAGACCAAAACACAAAAACTTAACTATAACCACTGAACCATGAAAATGAGGTCAAGGTCAGATGACACCTGCCAGTTGGACATGTACACCTTACAGTCCTTCCATACACCAAATATACTAGACCTATTGCTTATAGTATCTGAGATATGGACTTGACCACCAAAACTTAACCTTGTTCATTGATCCATGAAATGAGGTCGAGGTCAAGTGAAAACTGTCTGACGGGCATGAGGACCTTGCAAGGTACGCACATACCAAATATAGTTGAACTATTGCACATAGTATTAGAAAAAAAGACCAAAACTCAAAAACTTAACTTTGACCACTGAACCATGAAAATAAGGTCAAGGTCAGATGACACCTGCCCGCTAGACATGTACACCTTACAATCATTCCATACACCAAATATAGTAGACCTATGGCATACAGTATAAGAAAAACAGACCAAAACACAAAAACTTAACTATAACCACTGAACCATGAAAATGAGGTCAAGGTCAGATGACACCTGCCAGTTGGACATGTACACCTTACAGTCCTTCCATACACCAAATATACTAGACCTATTGCTTATAGTATCTGAGATATGGACTTGACCACCAAAACTTAACCTTGTTCATTGATCCATGAAATGAGGTCGAGGTCAAGTGAAAACTGTCTGACGGGCATGAGGACCTTGCAAGGTAAGCACATACCAAATATAGTTGAACTATTGCACATAGTATTAGAAAAAAAACCAAAACTCAAAAACTTAACTTTGACCACTGAACCATGAAAATAAGGTCAAGGTCAGATGACACCTGCCCGCTAGACATGTACACCTTACAATCATTCCATACACCAAATATAGTAGACCTATGGCATACAGTATAAGAAAAACAGACCAAAACACAAAAACTTAACTATAACCACTGAACCATGAAAATGAGGTCAAGGTCAGATGACACCTGCCAGTTGGACATGTACACCTTACAGTCCTTCCATACACCGAATATACTAGACCTATTGCTTATAGTATCAGAGATATGGACTTGACCACCAAACCTTAACCTTGTTCACTGATCCATGAAATGAGGTCGAGGTCAAGTGAAAACTGTCTGACGGGCATGAGGACCTTGCAAGGTACGCACATACCAAATATAGTTATCTTATTACTTATAATAAGAGAGAATCTAACATTACAAAAAATCTGAACTTTTTTTTCAAGTAGTCACTGAACCATGAAAATGAGGTCAAGGACATTGGACATGTGACTGACGGAAACTTCGTAACATGAGGCATCCATATACAAAGTATGAAGCATCCAGACCTTCCACCTTCTAAAATATAAAGCTTTTAAGAAGTTAGCTAACGCCGCCGCCGCCGCCGTAGCCGCCGCCGCCGCCGGATCGCTATCCCTATGTCGAGCTTTCTGCGACAAAAGTCGCAGGCTCGACAATAAAAACTGATAAATATCAAAATTAAATGCTTCATTTCAAATTTCTCATTTCTTTCCATAGTATTGCATAACTTTAACAGGAATTCACATGTTACTGTATATAATCTAACGATATTAAAAAAGTGTAACACTTTTACACCACAATAAAATTACAAAAAGAAGCATTCATATCTTAAATGTGATGAACATATTTAACAGTATTTTACTAAACATGCTAAAGGATGGAACGGTTTCACTTTCAAATTCGTATTCTTCAGTGTATCTACTGGTTCATAGAAAAGTTATAATTCTGGTACATATTTCCCTAAGACAGATAGAGGAATATATTATTCTACTTGTCAGTGTGTTCATATGTATGCAAAATATTTTGAATGAGTCTCTTTTTCCAATGGCAATGTAGTTCTTCATCCTGAATCTGTATTTAATTACAATAGGCAGATTGGAGAGAGGGAATTGTTTGCATCTTATTACTATGAGAAGATGGAGGAAGAAGGAATCATATGTATTACAGATTCTCTTGGTCAATATAAATTGTGCATGTTGTGATTACATTGTAATTAAAATTGTTTGATAATCTTACATTGTATAAGACCTAAAGCACTTTGTCAATTTAACATTATACAATTGGTGACAAGTGAATAGCTTGAGATCCTTTTAAACTGTTTTAGTTCTGAAGAAAACTGGTAATTTTCATATTTTACTTTACAGTCAACATGGTGTTTAAAAAAATTTAAATCAACTTTTTTTCTGATTTCATAGTTCAAGCTTTTCATAAAAAGGAAGTTTCCTAGACATTTCCTCCTCAAAATCAAAACAATTATCACAGAGAACAATTATTATTTAAAATATTTCTATACTCTCACAATATTTTATCATAGTGCTGTGTACTTATATTGATCAATGATGATCATGATGATACAAATTAATAGACTATAAGATTGAACAAGTCTATACACATGATACACTTACAATAGTAATTCCAGGATCAATAACTTCCACTAGTAAAACTTTATTTGGGTAAAATGGTGTGTTTTCTGATCCACTATCTGTAACAAATACATACAAATTTGATTAAAATGGCACTAATTCCCTAAACACAGAAAATAAACTAAATATGAAATACTGCATAATTTCCATAAAATGTGTAAGGTAATAATTCTATCTAAATGTAAACTGTTTTTTTAACACCTAACAGAATAAATTTAGAATTTGAAACTGTACCGTCATTTACCAGCTTTCTATACAATACATGTAAAGTAAAACCTGTATAAACCAGCCGGCTATGGGACTATGAAAAAAAGCTGGTTTGGGCAGTGGGTCGGTTTATGCAGGTTTCCATTTTGACAGGAAGATATTAACTTGTGACGTCTGATATTTTGCATGTAAAAGTTCTGTTTCACTGTAAATTAAATGAATACAAATACCGTAATAATCTATTTATTAAAAGTTATGTCATGATTTGTGTGAAAATATTGTGACATTAACATTACAAGTGTTCCTTGCCTTTTCACCATTTAACTATGCCAATCATTGTTTAGAGTCTCCGTATTCATTGGCTTTAGATTTAGAAATTGGTTGTTCCCCATATTCAAAAAATTATATTTTAACTTTTTTTTAGATATCCTCGTATGTCAAATCGACCTCAGTTGTATCAGTCTCCTACTTGTCAGTTTTACTTTCACTTTGAGTTCATTTGCATCAGAATCTTTGCATTGTTTAATTGTTCAACAAAAGGTTTGTTTTACTTCCATCGTTCATTTTAAATGTGACATGCTTAGTGGAGAAGCAACAATGACTAAATTTTCAAATCTTTTTTACCAAGCTGTGAATTGAACTTGACAAAAGCACACTACACCAAGACCAATGTGGATGATTCTAAAAGTTACCTGTCAAGAAATCAAATACAGCTGTGTTTGGGTTTTGTTTGCTGCTCAGTTTTACATTCAGACAGTTACATGTAATCACAACCATCTAAAATAAATGTAAAAGAATAAAATATTGCTGCGAAGCAGTTTCTGCTATACTACTGTGAAAGTTCATATATTCGTGAGGTACCAATTTTCATGATTTTTGTGGATGGCTTTATCCATCAATTTAAGTGTACAACAAAATAAAAATTATGTTGTCCGAATCAAGGCATGGAAAGATCCCCATGTAGGTTTGTCTACATGGATACGGACATATAATCTAGAGAAACATCAAATATCAGGAAATACGCCATGAACTATACATACAACTGCAGACAGGATTTTATCAATTTAATCTTTATCATGTTTATAAAAAACCCTAAACTGTACAACTTTTAAAACTTTTAATTTTCATGAAAAATTAGTTTTGATCAATGACAGTCGGACTTCCTGTGATGATATGCGATAATGAAGTGTTAATTTTATCGCCTCATAATTCTCATACGAAAACAAAAATAATAATTCTATATTTGGCTTGCTTTTTTTATTTCATAAAAATTAATTCTACAATTCAAAGTACATTTGTAGCATTTTGTTATGAAACCATTTCTTTAAGTGACATGTTTATGAACCACTTAACACCTTTAATGATCGTTAAACTGTTGATCATTCTATTTTGGGTTAATTAGAGTCATCACTTCTGATTACACGTGTGCAACAATTAAAATGTTTACTTTGCAATTTCCTTCAATCAAAACAATTGGTAAGCTTATTTCCGAAATTATTATCTAATTCAAAATTTGACGAATGTTGTCCATTATGAAAGACAAACAAGTAAGTGAAAATGAAAACCTTATTTTGCAATGTCCCACAAATCATTTTATGATTATTTTCAAGAATCTTCGTTTCTGATGGCTTCAATTTCTTTACTTGATTTTTTTCTTCAGAAAACTAAAATCCACGAATTTAAGAATCCACGAACATGAAACTTTTGCTCAAACCACAAAATTGATACCTACGAATAAAAGTACTTTCACAGTATATTCAAAAAATTAAAATATATATATATATATTAGTTTTATATTATATCAAAAGACTAAAAGTTTGTGTAGAACTGTCACCTGAACATTTCGATAAACAATGTCAAACAGTCACAAGATGTCTTTGTCATGTTTGTTGAACAAAACAAATAAATGGGGAATGTGTCCATGGGACACAGATGATGCCCCTGCTTGCATATCATATAAAGTTATAAAGGGACATAACTGAAGAACAGTAAAAGTGACACTAGCCAAATTTGTACTTGATCTTAGTTTTGTGGTAACAAGTATTGTGTATAAGTTTCATAACATTTGGTTGAGGCTAACTAAAGTTTGAGAACGGAAACGAAAAATTCAGCAATTTTTCTGTTTGTAAAGGGGCATAACTCTAGAACGGTTAAAGTGACGCCACCAAAATTCAAACTTGATCTGTGTTTTGTGATAATAAGCATTGTGTATAAGTTTCATAACATTTCGTTGAGGCAAACTAAAGTTAGAGAACAGAAACAAAAAATTCAGCAATTTTTCCATTTGTAAAGGGGCATAACTCTAGAACAGTAAAAGTGACACCACCAAAATTCAAATCTGTTTTTTGTGGTTATAAGCATTGTGTATAAGTTTCATAACATTTGGTTGAGGCAAACTAAAGTTAGAGAACGGAAAACAACTTTGGGACGTACGGACAAGGGTAAAACTTAATGCCCCCTCCACTACGGTGGGGGCATAAAAATGGTCAAAGTCATATAGCACCTACAAAAATTGTCAAAACAAAATAATTGTATAGTATGGCATGTATTGTGATGAGAATATGAAGACATAATCCTACCCAAGTGTAAAAGCTTTTGGACATTCTTTCTCTTGAGTATTGGTCTGCAACATACATAACATATAGACAGAGGGGCAGACAGATGAGGAATAGTTCTATCAGTATATCCCCAGGCCAAATCACCTACTGCAGAGAGTGCAGGGGCCAATAAATGAATTTAAAAACAAAACAATATTGGTATAAATTAAAGCCCAATATGAGCTAGACAAAGTTAATTGCCTAGAGGTATGTTTAACATGATGAATTATTTGAGTTTCGCAAATATATTTAAATAAATGGGGAATGTGTCCATGGGACACAGATGATGCCCCTGCTTGCATATCATATAAAGTTATAAAGAGACATAACTGAAGAACGGTAAAAGTGACGCTACCCAAATTTGTACTTGATCTGAGTTTTGTGGTAATAAGTATTGTGCATAAGTTTCATAACATTTGGTTGAGGCAAACTTAAGAGAACGGAAACAAAAAATTAAGCAATGTTTCCATTTGTAAACAGTTATAGCTCTAGAACAGTTACAGTATCACCACCAAAATTCAAACTTGATCTGTGTTTTGTGGTCATAAGCATTGTGTACAAGTTTTATAACATTTGGTTGAGGCAAACTAAAGTTAGAGAACGGAAACCAACTTTGGGACATACGTACGGACGGACTTACAGACGGACAAGGGTATAAAAATATGGTAAACAGTGATGTTGAAGTACAACTTGAAAGAGTTGGCTTGGAAAGACTTATTTGATACCCCCACTATAATTATGTTTTATTTCATAATGTAGTACCATCTGTAAGAGAAGTTAGCTAGACGGCCCTTGTATCCTGGATGTGCAATTTCAACTGATATTCGACAAAGTCAACACTTTACATGTTTTGGGAAAATTTAAATAAAATCAAAATTTTGGCAATTTCCACTATATACATGCATGTTAACAACATGAACAACCTGCATAATATAAGTTATTGCTTCAAAACTGATGGAGAGAGGAATAAGCTGGGCAAACCAAGTACTCTGCTAGTATAATTTCATTAAAAGATACAAGTAATAATTATATTGACCCTGGGGTTAAACCGGTTTAATAATCTATTATGTGTTTAAATCATCACAGGATTAAATTAAGGTGATGCCAGTCATTTATTATTGCATTATTAGGTTTTTTTACCAAAAAAGTTAAGTACATGTAGGTAAAGAACCATAAAATAACAAAAGACATTATCTTTTTCCTGGAATTAAAAATAAGCCTTGGGCTTTGAGATTTTTTTTATATTAAAGTGAACATCTTCATCAGAAGCTCTCTTTCAAGTGACATCCTTAACATCTGTCTTTATGATAATTGTTTTCCTTTACAACTTGCTAAGACAAATTCAGAGAGGGTTGCTAGCCACCTGAAATCCTCAAATTATCATTTCTTTAGCAAAAGACATGTTAACAAAATTTTAGTCCGACTAGGCTTTGCTCATTGTTAGGATAACACCCTCATCAACCTAAATCCTGAGTTCTAACATGTTCTGGTAAGTACAAATGTAGGTAAAGTAAGTAAGCATGGTAATTAAGTAATGGCTTTATTTTTAGAGTGTAACACAGATAGCTTAAAACTAATCTTCCCTGAGGCAATTAGACAAATCAACAAGAATGTGTCCATAGTACATGGATGGCCCACTCGCACTATCATTTTCTTTGTTCAGTGGACCGTGAAATTGGGGTCAAAATTTGGCATTAAAATTAGAAAGTTCATATCATAGGGAACATGTGTACTAAATTTCAAGTTGATTGGACTTCAACTTCATCAAAAACTACCTTGAAAAAAAACTTTAACCTGAAGCGGGACAGACAGACAAACGAACGGACGCACAGACCGAAAAACATAATGCCCCTAGGTGGTGCATAAAAACAAAATACAGTCTATATATTGTTTTATACATCACAGTATGTTCATTGTTCAAGTTGTTATAATGACACATGAATGAAATAGAAATATATAAAACACACAATGTATAAATACAATATTGTTAACCCATCATGATCATCATGCTAAATTTGAAATTGATGAAAATATTTAATAAACTTTAGGTTTCTTTAATATAATGTCTTGCTTGCATTTCAATACATATACATAACATTATTTTATTATTTTTATTTTAAGTTATACTTAAGTCTTATAAAGGATAAGCAAATATATAACAAAGGAACAAAAACATACTAAAATTGAAGGAAGGTGATGGGGAAAAATGTCTGTGATATCATAACAGGCATGTCCCAAAATAGTTTCTTCAAAATGTCTCAAAATAACCTACTTGAAGGTCTGGACAAAATGCTGGATCCGTTACTAGGAACTCAATAGGTGAATCCATAAACAGAACAAATATCTCAAATTGACACATTAGAACTGTATCTTTAAAAACTTCAGATTGCAATATGTACATTATACCAAGGCGCTAAAAGTGGCCCTGTACACTGGTCAAACAGTATATTTTAGCATCATATTATGGTTCTTGCCAGAACTAAAAGCAGGACCATATATAAATTCATGACAATGGTCATAGAACTACATGTGGTACCATATAAATGCAAATGTAGGGCCAGAAACTAAATGTTTTGCCACTAAAAATATTTAAGGACCAACAGACAAAAGAAAAAAGCCTGAAAGGCCAGCTATACAACATGTACAATGTAGATTCAATTTCTTAAATCAAACCGTGAATGAAATAACTTACTGTGAAAAGAAGTCCTCCACATAATCAATTCTGAAAATTATGATCATTCTCATAACTCAGACATCAACAGTTTGCAGTAGAAATAATATCATGTAAATCATACTAAATGTCTATATCCCGAGGTCAGTTTCTAAGTTAAGGACTCTTACAGAATTATATAACATGTACATATCTATATATAAGTGCAATCGTAATATGATGATCATTAACACAAACCTTTTTATGCATCAATTCGAATATCAGCTGATATAAAGTACATGTTTATGTATTTATATTTTGTGTACGCGATAAAATAACTATTTTGTTTGTTGCCCTACTTTTTATTTGTGTGCCTGTTGTCACATATCAAAATAATCTGTGTAAAATTTCGTCATTCTCAACTGTTCACTTACTATTTGGCTAAATTGCCGATAGAAGAAGAATCTAAAACCTTCAAATCGTTCCTATTTTGATTCGATGTCGTTTGACATGATCTAAAAAATCTCGGTTAAGTCATCAATCAACTGCGGTCAGGTCAAAGCACATGACCCCTTTCGGAACTTTTCCAAACAGGTACTCGATAGTTTCGAATTTCATTCATTATGAATTTTGTAGTAAATATGACAACGAGATAGACAGATAAAAAGATATAATTTAAAAAATATAAATCTTAAAATATAAATTTCAAAGATGGATAAAAATCTTAATAGTTTCTTAACATTCGAAAACAATCCGTCTGCTCTCACAGTCGCAGGGTCAACAGGCCGGGGTCAACACTGGGTAGGGTTAGCTTGTCCCGTACGCTGATGGGATCTTTATGTAAGAGGCTGTTGTCGATTGATGCTGTCTTTGGAGGCGTAAGAAATTTAGGTTTTGGGAAAGAAGAACTCTTAAGGTCAAAGTTCAAGGTCAAGACAGCAGCTGAACTGAAATTTTGGGTAGGACAACCTTTTTAATAACCATGTTCATATGTTAGTACATGTATGCAGGGCTGCCAAGTCTCGCGCATTTTCATGCTTATTTGGCGGCATTTTCCTTTGATCTATTGTTTTTTCTCTTTGATCTTTACGATTTTGGCCAAATCTCACGCATTTGCATTATTAAAAGTTGGCAGAACTGTGTATGTATGTCATGTGTATGTTCCACCTTCACCAAACATTGTTTGAACATGCCATTTGGAAAAAGACCATATACATGTATATGATATAGAAATATTCCTATATTATTTCATGATTTAGTCCAATCTAATACACCTTATCGCTATTTGGAAATCTGTCCCGGTTGACCCGAGAATCTGCCCCGCTTGAACTATTGACGTCATACAACAATAACTTTTCCATTGTGGCGTCAGATATTTTGTGTTATGACGTCAAAATTTTACGGGAACCTTTGTGATGTCCAGTAATGGCTGACAAATAGCGATAAGCCCCCTGTATTCTTAGTCCAAATAATTATGAGGTCTTGAAATCATTTGGACTAGTCCAATTTGGGACACTATTCCCAAGTCCAATCAGAAAAAAAAAATAGTTACTTGTAAATAACTTCCTGTTGGGGTCAAGTAGTGTCAAAATATTGCCATCACTAATGAGCTGAAGGTAGAAAAAGTTTAGAAAAGGGAATGTTTTGAAATTTTGATAGTTTTATATGAACAAATTTCTTTAATTCACTAGATTACATTAATTTGATTTTATGAATGAACTGTCTGTTTGAACAGTCTCGAGTTGATTTGGGGGGAAATGCATAATAGGACATTGTGGCATAAAGGTATTAATGCTGAGTAAGACTGTGAGGTCAAATTTTTACAGAAAAAGTATCAATTGGAAGATCATGAATTTCAAATTAAAGTCATATTAACGGGATAAATGCTTTTTAAAGTGTTTTATATGATTGTTAAACATGTCTCTTAGAAAAGTTTTATGAACAATACATTGTTGAAACAGGGCCTTTAAGTAAGCTTCGACTGGTTTTTGAAGTCTTGAAAAAGTTGCGTAATTTTTAACTTAAACAATGTTCTTCTTCTTTCGTTACAGAAAACCATCAACGTACTGATGTTTATACTTTCCGGCGTGTTAAATGTTAAATGCATTTCAAAAACCACGATAAGATCTATAAGAAGACACCATTTGAGTTTTCTGTCAATACGACAATAGATCAAATTAAGGTCAAGGTCACAATGCCTACAAAAATTCTGTTGTTTGAAGCTTTTGTTGTTTTTTAGAAATAACATTCCAGACCATATAGTATTAAGCCATAAATAAGATCTTTAGCAATCTTTGGAAGATTATCAGTCAGGGAAATGCAGTGGAATTACTGAAATAAGTGATTTTTAAATCACTCATTTTAGTAGCAAATTAGAAATTCTGTGATTTTGTAGTTTTACCAAAATTTTAAACATAGTGACGGGTACAGGTTTAAATTATATTTAATTATTAGTAAAATTGGAAAAAAATAACCTTTTTCTTCTTTTAACAGTGTTTAAGTAGCAAGGTTTATGTCTTTGATGCAATCATTCATCTGTAAATTCTAAATTTGTTGAAAAACTGCTATAATGAAGGCTTTGCATACAATGTAATGATCTAATACTTTCATAACAGATTTTTCCCAGTAGTGGAAGTATTTTTCCTGTAAAATTCAAGGTTTCAGCTTACAGATTATGTAATAAAATTCTAGTGTTTGCCACCAAAATCCATTGACATTGAACCAGCATCATCTCAAATGAATTTTAAAATGTTGGCTCATTGGAGTTTAATAAAATTTATGTCAAAATTACATCAGCATTATCTTAAAACAAAATCCAATGACATTGAACCAGCAACATCTCAAATGAATTTTAAAATGTTGGCTCATCGGAGTTTAATAAAATTTATGTCAAAATTACATCAGCATTATCTTAAAACAAAATCCAATGACATTGAACCAGCATCATCTCAAATGAATTTTAAAATGTTGGCTCATCGGAGTTTAATAAAATTTATGTCAAAATTACATCAGCATTATCTTAAAACAAATGAAAGTGATAAGGAAAATTCCAGTATATTGACCAGGAGTTACTTGATGGCATTGTCTTGTTCTTGATTTGGAAATTTTAAGGTTAAAAGCTAAAGCTGATCCAATTTTCAAAATACTAACTACTTAGATATAATGTATTTGAATTATCTTAATAGGTGATTTTTTTAGATAGGACAGTTAATTAATTAAATTTTTTAAAAGTTTGTTTTTATAGTGTTGACTGCAAGTTAATACTGCAAATAGAGATGCAGGGGCGGATCCAGCCATTTATAAAAGGGGGGTTCCTAACCCAGGTTAAAGGGGGGGTTCCAACTATATGTCCCCATTCAAATGCATTGATCGTCAAAAAAAAGGGGGGGTTCCAACCCCCGGAACCCCCCCCCTGGATCCGCCACTGAGATGAGTATTTGAATTGTCATTAATAAGATACATTATAGTATATTTTTTCTTCTTAATGGATTAAATCTCAGTCTATCTTTATATCTTTTGATTATTTATTAGTCCCTGGTAAAATACAAAACCAAAGATTTTTTAAACATTAGATGATTGAATAGAATATTTTGAAAAGTCATGAAAGTCGGAGACTCTGTCACTGGTTGAAAGTATAAGTTAACTTTATTTTTAAAATTGATATGCTGAACTGTTAAATTCAAGGTTGCAAAATTTAAACAGCAAATGCATTACCTTTGTTTTGTTGCATATATCATGTTCCTTTGCAGAATCTGGCTATATACCATATAGAACATTCATGTAGTCTATGTTAAAGATATTTTGTAAATGAGCACTTTTTTATCAATTATTTATGGAACTTCTGTGACAGTATGTCACATGATACATCAATTTAATCAGTAATACCTTGTTTACTTAGAAATTAAATTTGTCTAAATGAAATCATAATCATGATTATGTTATTCTAAATGAGATCAAAAGGGAACAATATAGTGTTTGGTAAACAATTATAAACATGATAAACCTTTTACTCGATTTGCAAAAAAGAAATTCAGCAGTTTACCTGCAGGCATGTCATTCAATTCACAATTTAATTTAATAAGATTTTTAACATTAACCCACTAATTGCTTACTTTAAATCTTTGAATTATGTAGTTCATGTAGTTGTACATGTATAAACAATAGACATTAGGATGTGAAGCGATTTTTTAAATTGAATGACAAAACAATAATTTTGTGGTTGAGATTTTTATGTATGAAAGGAAAGAAAAAGTATTGGTGGAGGTAGTTGTTTAAATCAAGCATAACAGTTGCAATAGAAATTGAATGTTTGTAACATATATACATCCAAATGATTTATTTAGGCAGGAGTAAAAATCTCCTGATTTTTAAGTCCTCTTCTGTCCCTTCTGTTAAAAATTCAAACCCCCCTTTTTTTTTGATAATTTCAACCCCCAAAAATTTGTCAGTCTCCATCTCCTTCGGAACGGTGAGCTTTTGCCATCAATTGGCGTCTGTCGCCGTCAGTCCGGTGTAAACTATTTCAAAGATCTTCTCCTCTGAAACTACTGAACCAATTCCAACCAAACTAAAGCTGAATGATCCTTAGGGTATCTAGAATTAAGTTTGTGTCTTATTTTCTGTTCGTCAAAAAACATGGCCGCCATGGCTAAATTTAGAACATAGGGGTAAAATGCAGTTTTTGGCTTATATTTCAAAAACTAAAGCATTTAGAGCAGATCTGACTTGGGTAAAAATATTCATTAGGTCAAGTTCTATTAGCCCTGAAAGTTTCAGATGAATCTAACAACCCATTGTTGGGTTGCTGCCACTAAATTGGTAATTATAAATCAACATATGATTAAGGCCAAAAAATAAATCAATAAGAAGCATATATGATCTGCAAATGTTCATGTTTTTAACTGAATTTTTAGGGTTTCTATCTCACTGACATACATGTACCCCATGATGCTATTCCTATCATAATTTCTAGAGGTGTACTATGATTATTCATAATATGTTCTACTGTAAAAGTGTATTTGGATTTAAGGTGGTATCAAACACCTCGACTAAATTTAATTGGCTCTTTTAATTTTCTTTAAATTTTGACAAAATATTAAATTTGACCCTTTGACAAAAATGTAAAGATTTCAAAAAACATTTAAATGGCATTTTTAAGCCACTCATTAATATATATTGAAAAGCAAAAATAATCAGTGATGAAAGATTTAAGCAAAAAATTAAATGTGAGCGATTCAGGCTCATGAGAGCCTCTTGTTTATTACACCATTGATGTCAATCTCTAATATAATAAATTTTGTGTAAATGATGTTCAAATATTTGACCTGTAAAATCATCAAAGTTGGATAATTATGTGGCTTCACAAGAAATTTCAAGTACTTCCCTTTTTAGCTCACCTGGCCAATAGGCATGATAGGGCCAAGTGAGCTTTTCTCATCACTTGGATCCGTCGTTGACATCCATTAATTCTTACAAAAATTCTTCTCCGAAGAAACTACTGGACCAAATTTAACCAAACTTGGACATAATCATCATTGGGGTTTATAGTTGAAAAAATGTGTCCAATGACCCGGCCTGCCAACCAAGATGGTTGCCATGGCTAAAAATACCACAGTTTTGTCTATTATTTTGAAAACTGTTATAAATAGGGGAAATCTGACAGGGGAAAAATGTTCAGAAAGTTAAGCTCTACCAATTGTGCATATACGTCAAAAGACTTCTTATCGGAGTTATTGCCATTAAATGACAAATCTTACCATTTTTTTTGTGTTTTTGCCTTATATCTTAAAAATAATAATAGATAGAAACTGCAATAAGCAAAAATTATCAGCAAGACAACCCCTACAATTAAGACAAAATGGGGGAAATAGTCTGACGATTTCTAATTGGAGTTATTGCCCTGAATGACAATTTTAACCATTTTTTTTGCTTTTTGCCTTTTATGATAAAAACTATAATAGATAAATAGACAATTTAAATCAGAAAAATGATCAGCAAGGCAAGATCTACTATCAAGTCAAATTTTGCCGATATAGTTAGTAGACTGTCACTCTTTATAGGAATGATTGCCCTTAAATGAGGATTTGTTTTAACCCTCTATTGTGTTTTGAGCAAATGCTAAATAAAATAGAGAGAAACTAAACAGACTAAATGATCAGCAATACAAGATCAAAAGACAGAGATTTCTGAATTGTCATGAATTCAGGCTGTTTTCTGTACTTTGGTCGGGTTGTTGTCTCTTTGACACATTCCCCATTTCCATTCTCAATTTTATTCTGGTCTACAATGTTGGAGGGTGTCCTTTGTTGAATATGCATGCATATAGACCAAGGTGAGCGACACAGGCTCTTTAGAGCCTCTAGTTTTACCATGTTTTTCAAATTACTGTGCTCCTTAAAATAATGATAATTCGTAAAAAAAATAATAATGAAATACAAATTAGATAGAGAATTACACAAGAATTGTAGTTAAGTGATTTTAACTTTCTCAGGAAAATAAGAAAGTAATATATTAAAAATTATTTGATCTATACTCTTGATACTTTTTTCAACATGTTCAATACTTAAATTGAAATAAGTAAGAAATTTATTTACATAAATATTGCTATGAAATTATCTGTGAACATGCAAGATCTGGCTAATTATAGAATTAATACTTTAGAAAAAGTAAAACAAAACTGACTTTAACAATTAAGGAACCATTAATGAATGACAGAAAAGAATACAAATTAAACAGATCAAATGCAAATAGTAAATAGATATAAGAAGATGTGGTATGAGTAAAGCTTATTATGGAGGGGATATGATAGTGAAATCTATCCAATACACATAAATTGTATTGTTGTTTACATGTGAAAAAAATTATAACTGATTTATGAATAGATGCTTAAAAACTATTTTTTATGCCCCCGCATCTAAAAGTTGGGGGGCATATTGTTTTACCCCTGTCCGTCTGTCCCATTATGGGTATATAGTTATTCCAGATAACTCCTCCTACAGTTTGAATTCTAGGAAGTTTTCACTTTGCTGGCTTTTTGTACATGTATTGAAGGGGTGCATGTGGTCAGGGTTTTGATTTTTATTAATATTTGCTCTTTGGGAGATATATAGTTGAACTTTGTCATTTTTGGAGTATATACTTGCATAAGAGTACTGAGGTGCAAAGCGTTTCTGGATAACTCCTCCTACAGTTTGAATGCTAGGAAGATTTCACTTTGCTGGCTGTTTGTACATATATTGAAGGGGTGCATGTGGTCAGGGTTTTGATTGTTATTAATATTTGCTCTTTTGGGAGATAGTTGAACTTTGTCATTTTTGGAGTATATACTTGCATAAGAGGATTGAGGTGCATAGCGTTTCTGGATAACTCCTCCTACAGTTTGAATGCTAGGAAGATTTCACTTTGCAAAATTTTTATAAATAACACTTTGCATCTGTAGGGGCATCATTTGTGTCTCCCAGACACAATAATATCTCAAAGAAAGTCTTACATTGACTTTGTCTAGTTTCTTTATTAAGTCAAAAAGGAGTTAAAAGCAGTTTTCAACGTGACAAAGGTAAAATCTCCAGTTGTGACTTGGCAACTCTGTAATATGTCTGCATATATATCATGTATATAACAGCAAAAATAGTGCTATAGATAAGTAATACACAAAGTTGTTAATTAGTTCTTCTTCCATGTCCATGTGTATGGCCCAAAGTGTTAGGGCTGTTAAAAAATAATTATTACTTATAAAAGGAAAAAAAAATTATGTTAAAAAGCTATGAGCCTATGTCCTATGTACAGCTATTCATAAAAAGGCTGTCAGATGTCAGCGCAATCTCAGGCTTATATGTATATTCACCTGATATTTTACAGCCAATACCTGAATACTTTTGAGAAAATGGCTTACAAATCTATTTTCATTCAGTGCAATGTTTCATCACCAGAAAAACTGAAAAAAGAGTCTTAATAAATGTACTTATAATAATTACCTTAAATATTACATGATTTTGTAGTATAATAAGAGACAGGTCTTTACTTATATGAATTATACATATATATGTGCATTTTTTAATAGGAGAGCTAGTGTTTCTCAAAATAACCTTTCTTCAAACTAGTTGATAATAAACAAATTGACTGTTAGTTTTGACACTGAAAAAATTAGGAATTATTCATATTTTATTTACCTTTTTCAGAATGCTGAAAGATGCAGTGCATCAGTATTGCCAGTAAAAGTCATCATATTTACTTTAAATGTGAACTAACAAGACAGTTCAGGAGTCATATGAAATTTCAATATAGAAACCTATTAACTTCAAGCAGACTTGAGAACCAACAGTTAACAGCTGATAAACTGCCTCATCAGCCAGAAAATATTGTTCATAATAATCTTACACTTCCTGTGAAATTTAAGTCAACAGATCCACAAAAAGCAGAAGATATTGCCGTTAAATTAAATTTACGTACCACATACAGACATGATACTTCACCAAGTGATCCCGTAGTCTTAGCGTTACATGGTATGCCAGGAGACGGTGGTGACTTTCACAACCTGTCATTACAGTTAGCTAAACATGGCATGAAATGTATTGCACCAGATTTTCCAGGTAAGTTTGCAAATTTGAAAAGAATTTTATGTAGCGCCATGATAGAGTGGCATTATGTGATCATGTTTGTCTGTTAGTCTATCTGTATGGGTTTAAATTTGTTTACCATTAAGTTGTGGTCACATCTGAATTCACATGTTCATAATTAACTTAACGAAAATAAAAGTCGATGAAAGTTGTTGGTTGTTGGTTTTCTTGTTTGAATTTTTTACAATTTTTCATATAAGAGTCTTTCATAGAATGCATAGCTACAATGTATATAGTATGGATTCTGCTCATTGTTGAAGGCTGTATGGTGGCCTATAGATACCTATCTCATTTGGTCTCCAGTTGATAGTTGTCTCAAATGTTGGAAATGAATCAGGTTAAATTTGGTTAAAAGTAGTTTACCATGAAAGAAATTATGGTTACATCAACATGAGAGTTAGTACACATGTTCCTTATGATGTGACATTTTAGAGTTTGACCCAGTTTTTGTGTTTTTTTAAACATGGAAATTAAAGGGAGCATTTTGTCCTAAGGACACATTCTTGATTTTTGTCGAGCCTTCGACTTTTGTCGAAAAAGCAAGACATAGCCATCCTACATTCTGTCGGTATCGTCAACGGCGTCCACAAATATTCACTCTGTGGTTAAAGTTTTTGAAATTTTAATAACTTTCTTAAACTATCCTGGATTTCTACCAAACTTGGACAGAAGCTTGTTTATCATCATAAGATAGTATCCAGAAGTAAATTTTGTAAAAAAAAAATTCCATTTTTTCCGTATTTTACTTATAGATGGACTTAGTTTTTCTGCCAGTTTACATTACATTCACTCTGTGGTTAAAGTTTTTGAAATTTTAATAACTTTCTTAAACTATCCTGGATTTGTACCAAACTTGGACAGAAGCTTGTTTATCATCATAAGATAGTATCTAGAAGTAAAATCTGTGAAAAAAATCCAGTTTATCCGTATTTAACTTATAAATGGACTTAGTTTTTCTGCCAGTTTACATTACATTCACTCTGTAGTTAAAGTTTTTTTTAAATTTTAACAACTTTCTTAAACTATCCTGGATTTGTACCAAACTTGGACAGAAGCTTGTTTATGATTTAAAGCTAGTATCTAGAAGGAAATTTTGTTAAAATTTTGTTCCATTTTTTCCGTATTTTACTTATAAATGGACTTAGTTTTTCTTCCAGTTAACATTACATACAGTCTGCAGTTTAAGTTTTTAAAACATTTATTAGATTCATAAACTATCCTGGATTTTTACCAAACTTGGACAGAAGCTACTTACAATCAAAAGATAGTATAGAGAGGAATATTTTTATTAATTTTTTTCCTCATTTTTGTTGAGCCTGCGATTAACAGCAAAAGTAGGCGAGACACTGGGTTCCGCAGAACGCTTACAAATTTTTACTTTCTATTCTTCATTTTTATACCACTGGTTAGGGTAACATATCTTCCTGTACAAAGCAGGGTTAACTTTTTACACATTGTGACTTGGATGGAGTGTTGTCTCATTGGCACTCATACCACATCTTCTTATTTCTATTAATAATCCTATCACATAAAAATCCTCATCTTGATATGCAATTGCAATATTTGCCATCAGATGTTAAACATGGTCACATCCATCCATTTTCTAAAATGTCAATAACCCTTTCATATATTTTTAGTTTTCTCTCAATAGGTTGTGGTGAAAGTAGACTACCAGCAAATGAAGTGTATAGTATTGATTATAGTCCGACAGGAAAAGCAGACATGTTAAATAGGATTTTAGATGAATTAAAGCTTGAAAGGTTTGTACGCATATTATTTAATTTTGTCAAATTATTTTTTTTTTACTTCATTTTAACTCATGTAATGTTTGTACTACTGGTAATTATTAAAGAGGCATTAGCTGTCAAATTCATGTTAACAGTTAAGACCCAAATTCATATTTGCTTTATAACATTTTGAATATAAATAAGAAGATGTGGTGTGAGTGCCAATGAGACAACTCTTCATCCAAGTCACAATGTATAAAAAGTTAACAATTATAGGTCAAAGAACGGCCAAAAACAAGGAGTCTTGGCTCACACCAAACAGTAAGCTTTAAAGGGCCCCAAAACGACTATTGTAAAACAATTCAAACAGGAAAACCAACGGTCTAATCTATATAAAACCTATATTCAAAATACAAAAATTCCATAAGAAACAATAAACGATACACATGATACATGGACTCATTATAATGAATCAGCATTTCGGGCTTATTTAGACTAAACACCATCTAATTATCCGAAGACTGCCTATGGTCATAATAACCAAATATAAATATGAATAGACATAGACAGGCAAGCATGTGCATTCCTATCATGACAATTTTTCTAGGTGTGTTTGATTTCAAGTCATCATTTTACCTATATAAGAATGATTTTTTGTGGGCATGTCATTCAACATAATGGTTATTCCTGATGTCCCCTTGTTTCAGATTTCAATGTTGACATCCTTTTCTTTTTAATGATTGAACTTCATGCTGAACACATGCACAACCCATCTCCACTGAAGGTCAAATTAAAGTTTGCATGAATAAAGATTCAAATGAGGTTGAATTATTGGCTTGCAAGCTACTAATACATGATCAATTATTTTTTATCTGACCGCAAAAAAATTTTCATTGTCGTATATTGATATGACGTTGGAGTCGTCCTCGTCTGTCGTCGTCGTCCCAAGACACATTAGTTTTCGCACTCTAACTTTAGTTTAAGTGAATGGATCTCAATGAAATTTTACCATAAGGTTCAATACCACAAAAGGAAGGTTGGGATTGATTTTGGGGGTTATGGTACTAACAGTTAAGGAATTAGGGACCAAAAAGGGGCCACAAATAAGCATTTTTGTAACTTCCAGATATAACTTGTGTGTAAGTGTATGGATCTCTCTGACATTGTACCACAAGGTTCCATATCACAAAGGGAATGCTGGGATTGATTTTGGGGGTAATTGCCTCCAAATTTTAGGAATTAGGGGCCAAAAAGGGGCAAAAAACAAGCATTTTTCTAGTTTCATGACAATAACTTGTGTGTAAGTGTATGGATCTCTCTGACATTGTATCACAAGGTTCCATATCGCAAAGGGAATGCTGGGATTGATTTTGGGGGTAATTGCCTCCAAATTTTAGGAATTAGGGGCAAAAAAGGGGCAAAAAACAAGCATTTTTCTAGTTTCATGACAATAACTTGTGTGTAAGTGTATGGATCTTTATGAAATTATACTACAAGGTTCCATATCATAAAGGGAAAGATGGAATTGAGTTTGGGGGTAATTGCCCAAAAAGTTTAGGAAAAAGGGGCCAAAAATAAGCATTTTTCTTGTTTCCAGACAATAACTTGTGTTCAAGTGTATGGATCTCTCTGAAATTGTACTGCAAGGTACCATACCACAAAGGGAAGGCTGGGATTGATTTTGGGGGTATTCACTCAAAATTTTAGTATTTAGGGGTCATAAAAGGGCCAAAAAACAAGCATTTTTCTAGTTTCAGGACAATAACTTGTGTGTAAATGTATGGATCTTTATGAAATTGTACTGCAAGGTTCCATATCACATAGGGAAAGCTGGGTTTGAGTTTTGGGGGTAATTGCCCTAAAAGTTTAGGAATTTGGGGCCAAAAAGGGGCCAAAAAACAAGCATTTTTCTAGTTTCCAGACAATAACTTGTGTTCAAGTGTATGGATCTCTCTGAAATTGTACTGCAAGGTACCATACCACAAAGGGAAAGCTGGGATTGAGGTTGGGGGTGATGAATCATAAAGGGGTTCAAAAAGTTTGGGGGGGATTATTTTTTCCTTTTTTTTTCTTTTAAATTTTCCATTTTAAATTGGTTATTTCTGATTTATATATAAAAGCAAATAATAATGATATGGTTTGAATAGGTAAATTAAAATTTTTTAAGTTCTTAGACCACTTTCATTCTGTGTCAGAAACCTATGCTGTGTCAAATATTTAATTATAATCCAAATTCAGTGCTGTATCAAGCTTGAATGTTGTGTCCATACTTGCCCCAACTGTTCAGGGTTCGACCTCTGCGGTCGTATCAAGCTGCGCCCCAGCGGAGCATTTTATTTAGTGTATTTTGACAAAAATGAACCAAAATGACTGCTAATAACGAAATATCATTTCTTTAGTCCACTTTTAAAAGTGTTTGAAATAAAAACATATTTTAATTTTTGTCTAATTTGTAGCTAATGCCCCTTTAAAGGAGTAAGCCAGGCAATGACAATCACTCATGAACAGCTGATATGTACATTGTTGCACTGCTGCACATAATATGTACATGTGCTGCATATGCATATTATTTTTTGTGACAATCGACAAATTAGTTTTTATGCCCCCGCCGTAGTGGAGGGGGCATTAAGTTTTACCCTTGTCCTTCCGTTCGTACGTACGTACGTCCCAAAGTTGGTTTCCATTCTCTAACTTTAGTTTGTCTCAACCAAATGTTATGAAACTTATACAAAATGCTTATTACCACAAAACACAGATCAAGTTTGAATTTTGGTGCTTCACTTTAACCGTTCTTGAGTTATGCCCCTTTACAAATGGAAAAATTGCTGAATTTTCTGTTTCCGTTCTCTAACTTTAGTTTGCCTCAACCAAATGTTATGAAACTTATACACAATGCTTATTACCACAAAACACAGATCAAGTTTGAATTTTGGTGGCGTCACTTTAACCCTTCTAGAGTTATGCCTTTACAAATGAAATAAATTGCTTCACAGAGCGCAGCTGGATACGACCGTAGAGGTCGAACCCTGAACAGTTGGGGCAAAAATGGGCACAATATTCGCGCTTGATACTGGTCTGAATTTGGATTATAATTAAATATTTGACACAGCATAGGTTTCTGACACAGAATGAAAGTGGTCTAAGAACTTAGAATTTTTTCTTTTGTGCAATACACTATGCTGTTGCGAATTGCCCCCCCCCCCCCAAAAAAAAACACAAAAAATTTTTTTTACCCTCCCACCTTTAAAAAAAAAGAAGAAAAGAAAAGAAATTTTCTTTTTAATTTCTGAAATCTGAAATTCGAAAAAATTGTCCCCCTAACAATTTCTTTTTAACCCCCCCTCCAATTTTTTTTCACCTCCCCCCCCCCCCTTTTTAAAAAAATTGTTTCCCTCAAGATATGGTCATAATCTCAGTTCAATTTTCCAATGGAGTTTGCAACCATAATTACCCATTTAAATACATCATAAAAGTCTTAAAATAGAAAATGACATACATAATCATGGCTAAAATTAATATATTAAATATTCCTTAATCAGCATTTTTAAATAGTAACTTCTAAAAATAAATTGACAGCTAATCACCTCAAGACAATACAACATTTCTTTATACATAATTTAAAAGCAGTGTAAGGGAGGTAATCAAAACTTAACATTGTACTTTTTTTTTAATTGTCCATTTACCAGGAAACTCTTGTTTTTCCCCTTTTTTGCCCCTAATTCCTAAACGGTTTGAGCCATAACCCCTGAAAGCCAATCCTAACCATCCCTTTGTGGTATGGAAACTTGTGGTCTAATTTCAGAGAGATCCATACACCTCTCCACAAGTTATTGTCTGGTAACTAGAAAAATGCTTATTTGGGCCCCATTTTGGCCCCTAATTCCTAAACTGTTAGGACTATAACCCCCAAAATCAATCCCAACCTTCCTTTTGTGGTTATAAACCTTGTGTTCAAATTTCATAGATTTCTATTTACATTTACTAAAGTTATTGTCTGGAAACAAAATGTATTTGGAGGACGCTGACGAAGACGATGATGACGTGATACCAATATATGACTGCAAAATTTTATGCGGTCGTATAAAAATTGCTGAATTTTTGGTTTCCGTTCTCTTACTTAAGTTAGCCTCAACCAAATGTTATGAAACTTATACACAATGCTTATTACCACAAAATACAGATCAAGTTTGAATTTTGGTGGTGTCACTTTTACTGTTCTAGAGTTATGCCCATTTACAAGTGGAAAAATTGCTGAATTTTTCGTTTCCGTTCTCTAACTTAATTTTGCCTCAACCAAATGTTATGAAACTTATACACAATGCTTATTACCACAAAACTCAGATCAAGTACAAATTTTGGTAGCATCACTTTTTCCGTTCTTCAATTATGTCCCTTTATAACTTTATATGATATGCAAGTGGGGGCATCATCTGTGTCCCATGGACACATTCCCCATTTATTTTAATAAAATTTTAAGTGATACTCTTTAGGTCACATAGCTCTATGGTCAGAGTAGGTCCATAAGAGCTATAACAATCACTTAACGTCCAACATTGGTGTTGTAGACTTTTTAAAAAATCTTCTCCTTTGAAACTTAAGGACCAAGTTTAACTAAATTTGGCCTGAAAGATCCTAAGGATCAGTAAACAGCAAAAATGTTGAGCAATAGAAGAATAAGATATACAAATATTGTCAAAATAATTGAAACCATCAGACAACTCCGTATAGGAGTTATTGCCCTTAAATAAATCTACAACAGTTAGAGAAGTTCAACAATGATCCCCTTTTCAACATGCAGTGTAAATGTACAACTCAGATAGAAAACAAATATTTCTCTTGTAATTCATTGTAGATGGACAATTATTTCTTTTGTAACTTATCAGATGGAAAATTTAATTGCTCTAATTTTCATTTCCTCTTGTATTATATTCCCTAATTTTGATGTCATCATGAACAAAACTGAATACAACAGAACATTGACTGTTTGTCTTTGCTTCAAATATTGTCTCCCCTGAAAACCTTATTCCAATTCCGAATTTTACAAACTGATTCTGTAATTTTTAATTTAAAAAATCGTAGCAAATACAAAGGTATAATTATCATTATACCTAAATTTTATATTTCAGAGTGGACATTCTTATCTCTCACAGTGCTGGATCTTTTCTTGGATTTAGAGCAGCAGCTGAAAATGATAGAATTAAATCTGCAGTATTCTTGAATTTTTTAGGAGGTAAACCACACAGGTATACTATAAAAGGATGAATAAATTTAGATACTTTTATATATTTGAATAAAATAAAAATCTTAAGGCCTTCCTTAATTTATTCTACGAGTAAACAAACATAAAAAAACACCGCATATTTCAATAGGAATAAAGCTAAAAATTTGGCAGAAATTAACTTTTTATTATTAAATTAAAATCAGTGTTTTAATTGAACAGATTGAAAATATATTATTGATATTGAATAAAGACAACATCACATGCAGTTGTGCGAGTTGTATTTTCATCTATTTTGTAGATAATTTTTTTCTTCAGGTAAATTAGTCAATGAGTGATGGATTTCTCTTAGGAGCAATTTAAAGGTCCCAGTGAATAAACCCCACTGAGAACAATACTTATTGTATTCATTCTTTCAACAGGGCAGTTCATTGTCCAAAAATTAAAATAGACACAGGTAAAGCCACTGAAACGGGGGAAATGTTTTATTTTTTTCGCAATAAAGACTGTTTCATAAACATATATAAATAGGCTGGATCTGGCCTCAAGTTTTATGCCCCCGCGGTAGCGGAGGGGGCATTAAGTTTTACCCTTGTCTGTCTGTACGTCCCAATTTGGTTTCCGTTCTCTAACTTAAGTTTGCCTCATTCGAATGTTATGAAACTTATACACAATGCTAATTACCACAAAACACAGATCAAGTTTCAATTTTGGTGGCATCACTATAAGCGTTCTAGAGTTATGCCCCTTTACAAATGGAAAAATTGTTGAATTTTTCGTTTCCGTTCTCTAACTTTAGTTTACCTCAACCAAATGTTATGAAACTTATACACAATGCTTATTACCACAAAACACAGATAAAGTTTGAATTTGGTGTCATCACTTTAATCATTCTAGAGTTATGCCCCTTAACAAATGGAAAAATTGCTGAATTTTTCGTTTCCGTTCCCTTACTTTGGTTTGCCTCAACCAAATGATATGAAACTTAAACACAATGCTTATTACCACAAAACACAGATCAAGTTTGAATTTTGGTGGTGTCACTTTAACCGTTCTAGAGTTATGCCCCTTTACAAATGGAAAAATTGCTGAATTTTTCGTTTCTGTTCTCTAACTTTAGATTGCCTCAACCAAATATTATGAAACTTAAACACAATGCTTATTACCACAAAATACAGATCAAGTTAGAATTTTGGTGGTGTCACTTTAGCTGTTCTAGAGTTATGCTCCTTTACAAATGGAAAAATAGCTGAATTTTTTCGTTTCTGTTCTCTAACTTTAGATTGCCTCAACCAAATGTTATGAAACTTAAACAGGTAAAGCCCCTGAAACGGGGGAAATGTTTTATTTTTTTCGCAATAAAGGCTGTTTCATAAACATATATAAATAGGCTGGATCTGACCTTAAGTTTTATGCCCCCGCCGTAGCGGAGGGGGCATTAAGTTTTACCCTTGTCTGTCCGTACGTCCCAATTTGGTTTCCGTTCTCTAACTTAAGTTTTCCTCATTCAAATGTTATGAAACTTATACACAATGCTAATTACCACAAAACACAGATCAAGTTTTAATTTTGGTGGCATCACTATAACCATTCTAGAGTTATGCTCCTTTACAAAGGGAAAAATTGCTGAATTTTTCGTTTCTGTTCTCTAACTTTAGATTGCCTCAACCAAATATTATGAAACTTAAACACAATGCTTATTACCACAAAATACAGATCAAGTTAGAATTTTGGTGGTTTCACTTTAGCCGTTCTAGAGTTATGCCCCTTTACAAATGGAAAAATTGCTGAATTTTTCGTTTCCGTTCTCTGACTTTAGTTTACCTCAACCAAATGTTATGAAACTTATACACAATGCTTATTACCACAAAACACAGATAAAGTTTGAATTTGGTGTCATCACTTTAATCGTTCTAGAGTTATGCCCCTTTACAAATGGAAAAATTGCTGAATTTTTCGTTTCCATTCCCTTACTTTAGTTTGCCTCAACCAAATGTTATGAAACTTAAACACAATGCTTATTACCACAAAACACAGATCAAGTTTGAATTTTGGTGGTGTCACTTTAGCCGTTCTAGAGTTATGCTCCTTTACAAATGGAAAAATAGCTGAATTTTTTCGTTTCTGTTCTCTAACTTTAGATTGCCTCAACCAAATATTATGAAACTAAAACACAATGCTTATTACCACAAAATAAAGATCAAGTTAGAATTTTGGTGGTGTCACTTTAGCCGTTCTAGAGTTATGCTCCTTTACAAATGGAAAAATAGCTGAATTTTTTCGTTTTTGTTCTGTAACTTAAGTTAGCCTCAGCCAAATGTTATGAAACTTATATATACATAATGCTTATTACCACAAAATACAGATCAAGTTTGAATTTTGGTGGTGTCACTTTTACTGTTCTAGAGTTATGCCCCTTTACAAATGGGAAAAATGCTGAATTTTTCGTTATCATTCTCTAACTGAAGTTTGCCTCAACCAAATGTTATGAAACTTATACACAATATTTATTACCACAAAACTCAGATCAAGTACAAATTTAGGTAGCGTCACTTTTACCGTTCTTCAGTTATGTCCCTTTATAACTTTATATGATATGCAAGCGGGGGCATCACATGTGTGTAGGACACATTCCCCATTTATTGTTTTCTGTGTCAACATCAGAATTTTAACAATTTTTTCAGTAAATTAAACAATATATATAATGAAAATGATGAATGAATAAGCCCATTGAAGCAGTCAGGCTATGAATCATCATAGGCGCTGTTAATTTTATGTTTTGACATTAATTACTTTTTATTAGCTATTGTTTGCTTCTTTCTTTTTTGTAGATATGCCAGACCTCACAATCTTATACTGTTCCTTTCAAAGTTTCTGAAGAATCCTAGGATACAGCCATTTTATACTCCTCTGTTGCCAAAGTTTTATGAATTAATTGGTAAAAAATTTCGTTTATTTCTAGTTACTTTCTATTGTTTAGCATAGTCACATGAGGTAAAAAAGAGGAGGTACTTAAACGACCCAAAATTGGCATAATAATCTAATACCTTGTTCACACTATGAAATCTGCTCTGGGTCGAACCCAGTATAGTTAATCGGAATTAATTACCCCAGTTCACACTTAATAAAAATCAACTCACTTAGGGATTTTCCCTTCCAACAGAAATAGACATGAGTGCGCCAAAATTTTAACTCGCAAAAGTCCACTGCAGTTGTTTGTTTTTTAGCTCACCTGGCCTAAAAGTTGCACCCATTTTGCGCAAAAAATCCTGAAAAAATCAAATGACTGAAATTTGTATTTTCATAATTTTTCATTATACACGTCTTTCAATCGATAGCTAAATACACTTTAATATATATAGTTTACGCAAATCTGTCAATTAAATCAACAGATGAAGTCTTCAGTGAAGAGAATCGCATGCACAAAAAGTCGACTTTTGAAATGAGCAGTTAAAATATGTCACAAGCATTCATCTCTTACAAAAGGGCCAAAAAGCATGGAATTTTGTCAAATTGTTCTAAAAGTGTAAAGAACTTTAAAAAAAAAAAAAAATCAGAAAGTCAATTTTTCGAAAGGGATAACCTTGAGCATGTGTGCAACTCGATACAGATTACAGAATCTAGGCTCATTGGGAGGTCGTTTCAAACCAATTTTTTCATGATTCAGCATTAATTTGAAATTAAATTTGTTAAACTTGATAGTAAATATGCACGGGATAAATCTACAAAATAAACATAGGAAGGAAACTTGCGTCTGTTCCAAAATAAACGAAGGTGAAAAAACTGTCAAAATAGGTGCAATTTGGATACCCTCACATTAGTTGCATTAATTTGAATAGCATGCATATTAGAAGAAAAAAATCACCCAATAGAGATAGCTATTAAGTATTTTCTTCTCTTTGTTTTACGTTAGACCTCAATTTTTGTTGCTAAAAACTGATTCTGGTGTTTCTCCCGTGATGATCCATAATCTGTCTACTGGTTATTCAAATGACATAAGCAAATGTCATGTGTCACCATAGCAACAACCTCACATTAACTCCACTTTACCTTCACATATAGAAGGCAAGGTAATTTTAATCCGGGTTTGCCCCGGGTTAAGGCTTTCACACTTCCTAAATCTAACCTGGGATTAATTAATTCAGGTTGAACCTGGATTAAAAAGGCATAGTGTAAACGGGGTATTAGACTTACAAAATCATGTGACACTTGCATAAAATAATTGATAGGTATATGCAAAGTATAAACAGTAAGGTCTTGTACAATTCATAATATACATCAAGATTTTAAGGCGAAAAGATGTAATAAATGTACTTTTTAGCTTACCTGTACCAAAGGGCCAAGTGGGCTTTCCTCATCACTTGGCGTCTGGGGTTGTCCGTTAACTTTTACACAAAATCACCTTCTCTGAAACTACAGGTCCAAATTTAATCAAACTTGGCCACAATCTTCATTAGGGTGTATTGTTAAAAAAATATGTATGATGACCCTGCTTTCCAACTAACATGGCTAAAAATAGAACATAACGGTAAAACACAAGTTTGGTCTATTTATATCTTGAAAACCGCAATAAATAGAGAAAATCAGACTGGGACTAAAATGTTCAAAATGATGAAGATCTTGCTCTTGTCCATTTACATCAAAACTGTCAGACAACTTATTAGAGCAGTTATTATCCTTAAATAATGAATTTTACCGTATAATTTTCATTTTTTGACCATTATCTTGAAAACTGTAACAGAAACCAAGACACTGTTAAAATAGCAAAAAAGACATTTGCAAGACAAGATCACCAAATAATTGAAATGTCCAAAATTATATGTCAACTTGTTAATGGAGTTATTCCCCTTTAACAATTTTTTGTGTTTTTGCCTAATATCTTGAAAATTATAATTTAGTGAAAATGATCAGTAAGACGAGTTCTTAAAGTCAGTCAACTCCTCATTGGAGTTATTGCTCTTTAATGACAATTTTTACCATTTTTTAAGTTTTTATACACCCGTTTACGGGACGTATTATGGTACAGCGTTGTCCGTCTGTCTTTCCGTCCATCTGCCGTCAACATGTCAAACAATAACTCAAAAACACTTTAACCAATTAACTTGCATGAAACTTTGGTGAATTGTTTATACCTATTGACATGATCTCCCTTTCGATTTTTATAAATTTTGAATTTTACGTCTCTGAGTTATCGGGTTTTATTCATTAAAAAACAGGGATTTTCCAGTTTTCGGACAATAACTCAAAAATGCCTTGAGCAGTATTCATGAAACTTTTGTTAATTGTTTATATCTATTGATGTGAGCTCCCTTTCGATTTTTAAAAAATTTAGATTTTATGTTTCTGAGTTATGGGGTTTTATTCATTAAAAAAGGGTGATTTTCCAGTTTTTGGACAATAACTCCAAAATGCTTTGAGCAGTTTTCATGAAACTTTGGTGAATTGTTTATATCTATTGATGTGAGCTCCCTTTCAATTTTTATAAATTTTAGATTTTACGTTTCTGTGTTATGGGGGTTTTATTCATTAAAAAAGGGGGATTTTCCAGTTTTCTGACAATAACTCAAAAGTTCTTTGAGCAGTTTTCATGAAACTTTGGTGAATTGTTTATATCTATTAAAATAACCTCCCTTTAGTTTTTATAAATTTCTGATATGACATTAAGGAGTTATGAAACTTTATTCTTTGAAAAAGCGACGGGCGTATCATGCGCTCATTGCGCAGCTCTTTGTTGCCTATTACCTTGAAAACTATAATAAATAGATAGACACTATAAATAGCAAAAATAATCAGCAAGACAAAATCAACAAAAAAGAGATTTTAGTCGTGAATTATATTCTAGTCAGAGTTTTCAATGTTGGAGAGTGTCCATTGTTGAAGATAAACATAAACCTAGGTGAACAACACAGGCTCTTTAGAGCCTTCAGTTTCTTAAAATAAAGATTAAGATTATATACAATAATTTTGTCATTAATTTGTAATGGGTATTGCATGCATATCTTCAAAGAGCCTGTGTTGCTCACCTAGGTTTATGTTTAACTTCAACAATGGACACTCTCCAACATTGAAAACTCTGACTAGAATATAATTCACGACTAAAATCTATTTTTTGTTGATTTTGTCTTGCTGATTATTTTTGCTATTTATATACATCCACATCTTCTTATATCTATATAACAAGGTTGATATTTATTTCAAATTAACAAACATTGTAGTAAAATATCTAGTTGGTTTTACCAAGTGCATTTCTTGATCAGAAATTATAGTTAGAAAAAAAAAAGAGTTTGATTATTGTTACTTTTAAGATATAGAGAGTTAATAACAGACAGTCTTAGACAGAAATTTTGTTGGAGGATATGCATTAGAGTAAATATGACAAATTTCCATAACTAATATAGTTGATAATGCGAATAAGTTTAACAAATAACAAAGAACAACAATGGTAATGTTCAGAAAAAGGCTACGATTAATGTGATGTCATAATGAATTATCAACCAATCACATCATTTGAAATGACCAGTTTATTGCAGGAGACAATTTACATCAAACATGGTTTAAATTTAATTATTTTAAAGTACCTGATTGAAAGTTGAATAAAAGCACCCACAAATGGAGAAAAATACTTTGACATTACATTACAATTTACATTATGAAATAACTATTAGGAAAATGCACTGTAACATGTCAGGCCTTTTTGTTTATTTCGTTTCTCCTCATTTTTAGCATTTATCTATTATACAGTATTTGTATGTTATTTCAGGTTTTGCCAGGTATGATGTGCAACCATTACAAGTTGCTGTTGAAAATGTTGCTACAGCTGAGTTTGAGAAGGTGATTAACTTATTGATGCTAAATAGCTAGTAGATACATTTGCCTTTTAAAATACAACTGGCATATAAGGATCATAATGATGATATGTGAATAAATTTATCGGTTTTCAAGAGCTAAATTGACAGCGCGTCATCACTACAATGGCTTCCATTTTTACCATTATAAAAATTAGGTGGCGTAATGGGGAGATAATTTTGACGAAGTAGAATCCTGACTGTAATATTCATGGTAAAGTCCTATTTCAAGACAATTTTCTCATAAAATGTGTTTTTGAGACTCAATCCACTCAGAATATTTCATTTTTGTAATATTTCACTTAAATAGCATGAAATTTTAACAAATGAGAGTTCACACAAGGTCAAAGGTGCATGTGCAGCTTCCCATAATAGGTGTAATACCACCATTGATTTTCCCCTATTAGTCTTTGTTAAATTTGCACTTTTCAAAAAATTTTGCAGAATTTATCTTTGTTTTAAATAAAGAAATACTTGGCATGAGTAAAGTTTTATCTTGTCCAGTACTATAGACAAAATTTCACATAACATTTCATTGCATATAAGAAAATAACCATCACTGGAAGTTAACCAATCAAATTTTCACCCCTTTTTTTCCTGTGTACAAGCTTTAGTAATCATGTAATCTCAAGTTTCCAAAATACTCTATAGAAACACCAAACAAAAAAATAATGGTGCTTTGAAACACCCAAGACATATGTTTATGACTCAGAAATTTTTTTTTACTGCAATGAAATGTAGGATTAATTTCCTACAACTGTCAAATTCAAGAGAATATTTTTTTTCAACCCTTTTTCATATGCAACCTGATGTGACGTACTATGATTTGGTGGTAAAAAAAGATTTTATTAAATAAACAAAATCAAAGTACATACGGGGAAAAAAATAAATATCAAATTCATAAGCATGACGGACACAGAAATCAAATTCAGTAAATCTGTTTAATGTAATGTAATGTGATGTGTTGATTTATTGATTTATTTCTCAGAGAGAGTTTGCTCAGCGAATTTAAACAAGTGTGGTTACTATATTTCAGATACTAGATCATATGGAAACAATTAAAAACAAGAAAAAGCCAGCTATGTTTTGCTTTGCGACAACAGATAAATTAGTTGAACTTGACATTCCATACAACATTCTAAATCATGTTGGCATAAAGGATTCTGACATCATAAAGCTATGCCGAGAAAACAATATTAAAGAACCACCCAGGGAAATAGCTGAAGAAATTAGTATGTAAATATGTAAAAAAAAAAAATAGTAGTACCACACATAAATGTTCCCGCTCATTGCTTACAGTTTTTTTTTAAACAATAAGTTTGAAATGTAAACTTGACTATCAGTCATCATTATACATTCATTAAACAAACAAAAAATCAGCTTCAGATGAACAAGCATTACAAAAAAAAGTCATGACAAGTGTAATTTTTAAAATTTTTAAGTTTAAGTGCCGTAATTTTGCAAAGATGCTGTCAACTCGAATAAAACATGAAATATGATCTGTAAGTCATCATTACACACTTATGACTGCAGGCATACTAAAAATTGCAGTTAACTGTTTGATTTCAGAAGGATGGAAGGGCAAACATGGATAACACTCAATGCCCCTGCCTCTAAGTGGCTGGGCTGTAAAACATGATGATATGATTTCTGTGTCCACAACATGTGTTTCTTGAATAACCTGCACAAGTTATGATTGTGAAGTTTTGAAATAAAAAAATATAAAACATTTAGAGTATAAAAACAAAAAAAATGTTTTTGAAAATGAAGTGTTTGTCCAAACAGTCTTGTGTCAGAACTAACTTTAATTCCTTTAGTTTATTTTCTAACAATTTTCTACAAATTTATAATCAAGCTTGCCCTGTTTAAAAGACTATCTGATCATTGAATCCACCACATTTTTATAAGGGATCAAGGACAACTAAATTGTGTTTGTATATTGTATTGTCTAATTGTATTCTTAAAATACCAAGTTTGAATTTAATGTAACTTACCAAGTAAAAATTTAATGTAACTCTAGCACAAATGCATAACAAATATGTTTGTAGAAATGTCTAAAAATTCTGTTAGAATTAAGAAATTATTGAGGTTTTATTATAAGTGCAAAATGCAAGGGAGTGAATAGAACTCACATTTTTAATTCTAATACATAGCTGCAATGATTTGTGTATGTAGAAATTCCTGAAATGTTTTTGATTTATATCATATCCTTGGCCTTTGTTATACAGTTTCTTATTTTTCTGCACATAATAATTACTCAATGCTCTACATATTTCTATATTGTTTTCTAATTTTACTGTTTTAATTTGGCACTGTGGAGATTATTTCTTAATACACGTTATTGGAAATAATTGCCAAAAAATTTTAGCATGTTGTAAGGCAATTAATTTTAAAGTTAATGTTATCTTTTTCATTTCCTTTTTCTGACTTTTCTTCTTTGTACTATATTTTCCAAAGTTATAAATGGTTTATATATATATCTAAACTTTTTACAGACAAATCATTGACAGAGTGGTACTACAAAGCTGTACAATTTGATAGAGGTGGACATTTGTTACAAAAGACACAGATTCCAGAATTGACAAAACATATAACAGATTTAATCAAATATGTGCCTAGATAATGTTTGTAAAATAAATACATATCTTTAGTACATAACTTATAGAAATTAATTTGAATTCTTAAAATCAACAAGGTCTTTCGAATAAAATCTCCAAGATGATGCAAGACATTTGTCTGTCAGATATGTCAGTTATAACATGTTGGCTTTAACTTCTGTCATTTATTAATTTAAAATTGTAAGAATTGCCAAGTTGCCTCACTTTGAGATTTTTCTATTAATATTTAAACATTATCAACAGCTTTACTCAAAATATGTCATAATGGGAATATGTTATTGCCAATCAAATATTTTTTAAGGAAAGACTGTTGACTGTATTTGGTTTTACAAGACACTATATGTAAAATGATCAATTGGACATCTTTATACATCACGGTGACATTACAATTGATATTTCAGCAGACCAGGCTATATCATCATATTCATTTATCAATAATATATATAAAGATAATTGTGAAAAGATGGACAAATTTTACTACTTTTCAATTTTAAGGTCAGTTATAGGTAATGGCTTTTACAATAATGATGAACATATGTAACCAAACACTGAATACACTGGAAAATTGAATTGTGATATCATATAAATTGTAGTGTTATATCAGTTTCAGTAGAATTTTTTTGTTAAATATTTTTATATCAGAATGTACATCAGCTTTACGATGTGAAATTAGATGTGATTACAATATAAATTAACGGGTAAAAGTGTGGTCATATGATATACAATCTATTTAATGTATTGTGATAGTTGAATCCGTTTGCTTTATATTGAACCATGTTTATATTAGTGATATCCAGGATAGTTAAAATGAAGTAACTTCTTCCATTAATCAAAACTGGCTGCCATGAAATTGCCAAGAGTGCTGAAAGTGGCATTAAACACCAATAACCAATCAAAATAAAGTTAGTGGCTCAATCATCATAGGTAAAGGCAATTTTTGTGGTTTACCTGTATTTACTTTGACTTGATTATATTAAGTCTGTAGTGTAAAAATAGAGTAACAGAATTCAAGTGGAGGCAACCTCATTTTCATTTCTCATTTAATGAATAAGTTCTTAAGGTTTTTCTCCACTTCTATTGCAGAATCTGGTTTGGATAGGCTCTAATCCATATTTCATGTAATCTGCCTCCTCATTGAAAACGTCAACATGAAGATATTCCTACATTTATGATTTTGGAGCCAATTTGAAATCATAGATGGCTGTCAGTGCAGAAAATATTTTACATGATTATTAAGTTTCATGAAAGCCTGCATTACAGTTCAGTTAATTAGTCTCAGGTTTATTGTCAGATATGTATATATGTGTGCTTTTACAATAATATGATATATTCTATCTACCAGTGATATATTCTACTTTAAAAGTAATTTTTAAGGAATCTTATTTTTGCATTTTTGTATTTCTTTCTGAATTAGTGAATATCTTAATACCCTGAAGAATTACTTGTTAAAATAATTATTGGTCATTCAGGTGTTGTCTAATTGTTCTTACTATTTATTTATTTTTTAAGTTATTGATTGTTCAAGTTTTTATGAAGATTATTTATAAATAAAGATTTAACATTCATAATTATATGCTTTTGGTTGTGAAAAAAATTTAAGAAAAATTATGGATAGATGAACGTGAGAAAACAACTCAAGGAATAGTAATACTTGTTACCAAACATATTCAAAAGCAAAGATACCATCATGTTCATGGATATTTTAGTACTGTGTCGATTTAATGGGAGGATTATACACGAGAGATCCATAGTGAACATGTTTGAGGAAGTTGGAACCTTAATTTTTGTAAAATTCAAAAAATTATCACATTAGTTATTTCATCTGTTAAAACATATGAAGGACAACAGGAATTATAAAAAAATATTGGACAGACCATCAACAGACAACACCAACAACCATCCACCATCCACCAAATCCTCTGAAAAAACGCATGTACAAACAAACAAACAACAAACGATATATGGTCCAGATAGCCTTACTTAGTACTGGCACAAAATGTGGTTTGGTTAAACAAACCTGGACCCACTATGCCTGAACTGGGACATATTTTGTAAATTTAAAACACAATTAAAAAACCTGCAGAGTGCAGCTTAGCAAGGAGGATGGCCTGAATAACTTAACAATATGAACAAGGACATAAAGGATGGCACATATTTTGGAATGCAGGGTCAAAATATATAAAATAAGTAGATGTGGTATGCAGGTATGATTGACAATGAGACAGCTATCCAACATAGTTTAAATGAAGTGGATATAAGCAACTATAGGTCACCAAATAGCCTTCAATAATGAGCAAAACACATAACCGTATAGTCAGCTATAAAATAGCCACAGCTAGTATTTGTCAAAATGTCTGTCATAAAATATGGCCTGTGTTGAATGAAGCTGAATATTGAGAGGATTAAACAGTTTACCAGTAATGGTATTAACCCTGTGGTAGTAGATCAATGTACATACCAATTCAGCAAATTTAAAAACCCTTGCTTGAATGTAGTTTCATCAAAATAATGCTTAATTCCAAAAGTTTGAAAAGCCAATGATGCATTCATTAATTTATTTAAAGTTAGATATCCAAAATGGGATCTTAAAGGGATACAAAAATATATCTAAAAGCTGAGCTAATAACTTTAGTTTAAGTGAATGGATCTCTATGAAATTTTTTAGGAAGGTTCAATACCACAAAAGGAAGGTTTGGATTGATTTTGGGGATGATGGTCCCAACCGTTTAGGAATAAGTTGCCCAAAAAGGGGCCCAAAACAAGCATTTTTCTAGTTTCAGGATAATAAGTAATTCAATTGCTCTGAAATTGTACCACAATGTTTAATACCACAAGTAGAAGGTAGGGATTCATTTTAGGGGTTATGGGGGCCAACAGTTTAGGAATTGAGGGCCAAAAAGGGGCCAAAAACAAGCATTTTTCTAGTTTCCAGACAATATGTATGGATCTCTCTGACATTGTACCACAAGGTTCCATATAACAAAGGGAAGGCTGGGATTGAGTTTAGGGTTAATTGTCCCAAACATGTAGGAATTAGAGGCCAAAAACAAGCATTTTTCTAGTTTCCAGACAATAACTTGTAAGTGTATGGATCTCTCTGAAATTGTACTACAAGGTTCCATACTACAAAGGAAAGGCTGGGATTGAGTTTTGGGGTTATTGCTCCAAGGGGAGTTTCAAAAAGTGGGGGGGGGGGGGGGGATTTTTTTCAAAATTTATTAAGGGATTCATATTTTTTTTTCAAAATTTTTAAAATTTCGAATTTTTGAAAAGTTTCAAGAAGAAATCTTCAATTGCACAGTATTGCGCAATGGATTTATCAGATCTTTGACCACATTTATTTTGTGTCAGAAACCTATATTATGTCAAAAATTTGATCACAATCCAAATTCAGACACTATCAAGCTTGAATATTTTGTCCAAATTTGCCCCAACTGTTCAGGGTTCGACTGTGGTCGTATCAGGCTGCGCTCAGCGAAGCATTTTATTGTAAAAAAGTCTGATAATTATATTTGTTTAAAATGTATAGAATATATATTTTACAAATCATTCTGTCATTAATGCTAAAGCACTCACCACTGAGCAGACAAGTTTTCAAAGCTATATAAACATAAGGAATAATTTCCAACAGCCCTCTCTGTTGCCAGAATTATGGTTAATAACTGCAAGAAATGTTACCGAAATATATAGAAAATAAAATATTTGGCAAACAGAAAACAAAAAATAATTCAAAAAAATCCTTTAAGGCAAAATATATAAGTAGATAAAAAATTAACGTGTAATTAAGGTCATTTCGGCCCAAAATCCATCACAAAAAAATTAACTCTCAAAAAATTTTGCAGTATCCAAAGAATTTTGTTTAAAAATTATGTGTTTAACATTTATTCACTTGTTTTCTCTGTTATTGTGTACATATATGCCGGCTTTAAATAAAATTTGCTTACTATTAGTAAATAATTACTTACTTGAACAGCCAAAGAATGCAATTTATTACTGTAATTATGTTCAATTAAAATAATACATATTTTGGTGCTTTTGATATGATATAATGTAGTGTTCAGAATGGTTAATTTCTTTCCTATGTACATGTTTTGTATAATACATTTTTGTTTCCTGTGCATTAAAATAAAGAAAATATTCCATAGGTTAAATCTAAAATAAACTTATTTTGGTTCGTGTTAGTTGATCTACTACAAGCAGTATTTTTGGTTATTAACTGAACTTTTAAATTTTGCAACATACTTAAACTTTTACTATATTTTTGTCAATTAAATATTAAAATTCTCCTGTTAATGTCTTTTTTTTAAGGACAACTTTAATCGAAGGTACTAAAATTTAAAGCTAAAGAAGTTCATAAATCATACATACCACAAACCGGTCTCCTTAGGGATGTAAACAATATGGCGACTAAAGCAAGTGCTTTTACGTTCAGCACGTACAAAAACGGTAAGTTTGTTTATTTTAGCTTTAAATGTGACTTTAGCAGTCTGTTTATATATTTGCAACAATCATATGGCAGACATAAGAAATTATGTTATGCTGTGGAAACGGAAGCATACAGAAAAGGAGGTAGAAGATGCAAAACTTTCAATTTCAAAAGCCAAAAGGGTTTTAAAAAAATAATAAAGAAAACATTTGAAACAGATTATGGTTCATCATAAGAAATTGACAAATATGACAACCCTGTACACCTAGAAAAGTTTTCATGCATGACTTTTCCTAGATGAATAAAAAATGAATGCATTTTATGTAATTCTGAAAATTACCAACTCTTGTATATATATATATATATATATATATATGTGTATTTTTTTCTACAAAAAGGATTTGGGTACACAGGTAAACATTTGTTGGACTCTGTCTGTCAATGCAAGTCGTGTCCAAAACCAAACTTTTGATTAATTAATGGGTATGCAGTTTTGACAAAAAGGTACATGTATTTGATGACTTAATATGATCTTTGGTCTACTTCTTCTTCTTCTTAGTATCAGCCTCCTTTAATTAGGAGCACCTCCAAATATATATGGAGTTTTGCCTTAACATTAAAATTTTAAAAGGATAAAACAAAAATGTTCTTTTTCCAACATATGTACAGCACATATAAATTAAAAATAAAAGTGTCATGCAATGCATATTTACATGGACCTTTTTGTTATAAATTAATCTACCATACAAGTAGATTCACTTACATGTATGTATGTATCTCAGTCTACATAAATAAAATTAAATGCTAATATTTTGAATGAACGGTAATTACAGGCTATGTATACAGAAACACACGCACACCTATATATATATATATATATATATATACAGAAACTGCTTGATAAAAATTTGATTCTTGCATCTTATTTCAGCACATGTACAATTACACTAATTTTGAAATGTACTGATGTCCTGAAAATATATGTATGTATATCAAGGCGAAGGGGGGATTTTTTGAAAATGGTACATAATTTTGTCTTCCACAATCTAAATTTAATGTAGTTTAATATGATTTAAATTGTATATTTTTACTTCTTCACATACAAAGGAGATCCACAAGATGATGATGACAACAGACCAAATGCTATGGGTAAATCACCACTTGGCTTAGCATGTACATATGGACAGTTAGAAGAAGCTGAAAAACAACTAAAGGTAAATGTTTTACGTCATGTGGATACTAAAAAAGCAGTTTTATCTGTAAATCAAAAAATTAAGGCCAATATCATTGACAAAAGAAAAAAACACAAGTTACTGTTAAATAACCTACATGTACATATAGCATCCAGAGCAATTTATATAGAAAACAAAAAGTTTATGTTGAATAACCTGTATCCTAATCACAATGGAATATAACTCTTTTACTCTTTTTTAGTCAGACTTACATATATATATCGTTAAGAAACATATTTTAAATTTCCTTCAGAAAAGGTAATTCTTCCTCTTTTTTTCTTTTATTAAATGCCAACCTGGTGATATTTCTGGGTTAGAAAGTGTACTAATTGATTGAATTTGTTAAGCTTTTACAAGCATCAAACCATTTAAGGGCCAACCTTTAAATGATATATGAACTTAGGTACTTGTTATTTTCTGATACTACATGTAGCTACTAGTGACCTGCTGACATGACTGTATCAAATAAATACCTACATGGTAAAGTTCACCAAATCTTATGTCAACCATTAGATGTTATAGAGTCAAATATCTGGTATGTAAACTATCATGTTTTACTGTGGATTTATTATTATTCGTGGGACACCAACTTTTGTGGATTTCGTGGCTAAAGGTGAACCACATATTCAAATGTTAAACAAAGTACAAATTTTCTATGCTTGTATGCAGACTTTTCCACATAATCATGAGAATGAAATCAAATTTCCTCTAGAATACAATTTTTCCTCAATCCATGGAGATTGGTATCCGGAAAAGAAATGAATCCACAGGATGTCTAATATACATGAATGATCTACCAACCTGAAATATATTAAATATCCGATTATTTCAGGCAGGAGCTAATCCTTTAGATAAGAGTGTAAATGGTAGAACAGCTCTACATGATGTTGTTGTTGGAGGATATAAAGACTGCTTAAAACTCTTGTTAGACTACACAGCAGAGGTCAATATTAGGGACAGGGATGGAATGACACCAGGGCATGTGGCAGCTTTTAATGGAGAGCTTGGATGTATCAAAATTTTACAGGACAGAGGTAAAAATATAAGCTATTGTTGAAAAATATCGAGTTATGAAATTGTACAATACATGTAACAGTGTTCCAGCTAGGATTTCAAAAAGGCATGGTGCCAATTATCCTGAAAAAGGGCATTTAAAGCGTGATATGATAATATGAAAAGGGCATGTTTTAATAAAGATATTAATCAAACATTGTCTTTATTCATTGAATCACTGGTTATATACCGGTATATACAAGTACAACATGAATACAAATTATAAACGTACATTACTGAATGATTAGCCCAGATAAAACTCTTTCTACTTTTTATGCTGAAAACTTGTCAAGCACCTTGTCACACAAGTTTTCAAAGCATTGCTTGTCACAGTTTAGCTTTATATGCAGTATGTTTTTCAAGGTGTCCTACTTCATTCTGTTTCTATGGTCACACTTTACAAGTTTTACCTTGGAAAAGACCCTTTCTACCTCTGCTGTGCTTATAATGGTTAAAAAAATTCTCAAAGTTTTTCTTCAATTATCAAATATTCAAATTAAAATAGGAACTGTCAAAATTGAAAATATATAACATAGGAGACTCACGTAGTACTAAAAAAGTCGACCAAACTTCTGTTCGTCTCTTTAGATTTTTCTAATTTCCTCTTGTAAACATCTTTCACGCTTGGGCATTGTGATTGGAATAAGAATAAGACAAGAAACTGTAAAAAGGGCACAGGGCGCCACTCTAAAAAGGGCGGGCTACGCGTCCTCTGAAAATAGCCTAGCTGCAACACTGTGTAAAGGACGATATTCTTGGGAAGAGGGAGGAAGGGCAAATTTATTCCAGATTGATCTGTTGCTATGCTTGTTTATTTTTTTCCACCACTTTGCTGCATGAAATTCATTTTCACTTTTGATTCCTGCATTTTGTGTTGCAGAATATTCATTTTCATCCTGTCTAATGTGCCATGTTATTTGTTTTCAGTTCTTAACAGGCCAAGTTAATCATTTTTAAAATCCTCTTGCCCCCTCCCCCAGAAAACAATGGTAATTTCCTTGATTAGTCACTCAGGTTATAAAACATTTATATTATGTTCATCAAGATTAAGATTTATACTAAATACATGTATTCCAATGATTACAATTCCATAGAAATAAGAAGATGTGGTATGAGTGCCAATGAGACAACACTCCATCCAAATCACAATGTGTATTAAAAGTTGACAATTATAGGTCAAAGTACGGCCTTCAACACGGAGCCTTGGCTCACACCGAACAGCATGCTATAAACGGTCTCAAAATGACTAGTGTAAAACAAAATCAAACAGGAAAATCTGTTTGAAAATATAAGTACTTTAAATATATTTTGTAGGTGGCAGTTTAGTATCAGAAGATAGGAAGGGTAGACAAATAGCCCACTATGCTTCCATGAGAAACCATAAAAAGATTCTACAGTATTTATTTGATCAGCGAGTAGACTTAGATTGTCGTTGTCATCTAGATAAAACTCCAGTTCATTATGCTGCCCAACATGGTTGTATGTATTAATTGACATTTCATATATTTTATAAAAAAAATCATGCCATATGCTTTAGAACAATTTTATATATACAGTGAACGTGTATATAAGGGTTGCCCTAGGGACCATGGAAAACTAATTAAATAAGAGAAATAAAGGTTCAAAATGCATTGGTATTACTACAGTGGAAAAGGAGGAGGTCGACCTGATAAGACAGGTTTTTTGGCTTTATAGAAGTGACTTTACAACAGGTTTGACTGCATGTAACTCATTGGAAGACTGAATGACATATCAACTTGTCTGTTGTTCCATCTGTTTAATTTAAACATAGCACATTTTATCTTAAAGTATATCAGATTTCCTTTAACTTTCTTAGATAATTAATAATAGCAAGTCTGATGATCCATATACGTTTTGATATTTATTTTATTGTTACAAAGATTTTGGGCTGAGATTGACCAAAAAGTGACAGTTGTAAACATGTTATGCCCTTACTCTAACAAGACTTAGTACTCCTTTGAAGTGTCATAGATGATAAGAATAGGTTATTTGAAAATCTCTAAACTTTTTGAAGGGTTTTACTGTTGTCCTTTGAGATTTATTGGACTTGAATTTAACTTTGACCTCTATTTTATTTTAAGAATGAAAAGGGAAAGGCTTACCTATTTTCTTGTATCTCTTTTTTATTATTTATAAGCTTTGAGAGTTTCTTTAATTTGGGAATGATTGATCATATGTTGGTAAGAACCCTAAAATTAAGGGAAATTTATTTCTTATTTCAATGCATTTTGACTCAATTATATGTATGGCTAGATTTTAAACTTTTTGAAATTAAATTAGTAATATAATCTGATAAAACTATTAAAAAGTCTGTGACCTGCTATACATAAAATGTTATTATAAAAGTCATACACAAATCATAATAATAAGAAATGAACAAATAATTTAGTCATAGAAATTTTCTTTTTGTTTCATGTTTTAGCTTTGGAATCAGTGATTTTATTAGTACAGAGAGATTGTGATATCACTATAGCAGATAATAATGGATACTTGCCAGCACACCATGCAGCTAAGCATAATAAAGTAGACTGTTTACGGTTCTTAGTCAAACAGGGAACACCACTAGAGGCTACACAATCTGATGGAAAAAGTCTTGCACATGTAGTAAGTCAATAAATAAAGATTAACAGAGAACACTACTAGAGGCAAAAGTCCTGCACATGTGGTTAGTGGAACTGTCAGATAAACACTAATACTAGAAAAAATCATATGATAAAAGTCTGGCATATCTGAATCAGTCAGATAAACAGAGAACAGCTGGTTTACACACAAGCAAATGTCTGGCACATGTAACATAACAAAATCAGATAAACAGTTAATATTGACAAAAGATGCACAATCTGATGGGAAAAGTATGGCACATATATGTTAAGTCAAACAGCCTTATAAAAAGGGAACACTGTTAGATGACACATAATCTGAGTGAAAAAGAGTGGCACATGTGGTATTAACTTTTGGTCTTCCTCTTATAAGGTTATCTATACATTGGTTGTTTATAGTCTCAAAGATTTTTGCATATTCTACCAAGGGTAAAAACTAGTTATACAATACAGTTAGATTTTGAAAGTTTGTTGGAGGCTGGAAGGCATCCTCCATTCTCCCAGCACAGGATCAGATTCTCATTTCCCTAAATTTGACCAGATATCTTTTTCAGTTGAGGGACTATTGTCAGCATTCTTTTACTTTAGGTATCTTAGTATTTTTTGGATTATGGTCCATTTTAAGGTTAAGATTTTATAAAGGTTATCCTTGGGTGAGAGAAAGGTTTAGGGTTATGTTAGATTGAATTGAGTTAATATAGGATCTAACTTTTATGCAATTCAATTTCCATTTACATTATATGAAGTGAGTTCAAACTGCATATATACATCCACATTTCATTATAGCTAAATTAAGTTAAAGTTCCTGTACAATAAATTTAAAGTGATATTGTATCTTTTACAGGCAGCCCAGTTTGGAGCATTAGATGTTGTACACTGGTTATTTGATAAAGGAGCAAACCCAAATCAGCAAGATCGTTAGTATTCATAGCTATCATTTATTGCCGTCCTTTATTTTTAGTGCATAAAAAAAGGTCACAAAATTTTATCAAATAATAGTAACTTTTATCAATTGAAATGGATTTTTCCTAAATCTTATCTCACTTTCATTTTAAGCATGCATGAAAATTACATTATGTAAAGGATGTATGATGTATTATGTCATTTCTGTCAGCTGAGAACTTTAAAAGATAGTAAATAATATAACATTATAATTAAAATTACTTTATAAAGTCAATTTGATCAAATGTTTTAAGTGTGCCGAAATTACAAATAACCTTATTTTGTTAATTTCATTTTTTTTTCCTTATAGATTTTGGTAATACACCTGGTCACTATGCCTGTGAAGGAGGAAAACCTGAATGTTTAAGTTGTTACATATTTCATGGAGGTGAAATAGACATACAGAACATAAAAGGAGACACACCCCTAGATTCTGCTAAAAAGTCTGGTCATCCGTTACTAATGGAGAAAGCATGTAAGTTATAATTAATATTCATTAATTTGATATAAATAATGGTCCAAAATAGGTTTCAGACTCTAAATGTCTATAGTCTACACTACTAATTTTGTGATTCTGTAATTAAAAAAGTGTCATTCTATTTCTAAATATCCATTTTGTTGGATAATTTTGTCCTAATATAAAAATAAGGAATTAGGTATGATTGCCAATGTGACAACTAGTCAACAGAGTTTAAATGATGTGAATGAAAGCAACTATACCACATTTCATGTACGCTTTTGATACACAAAATCTAGTACATGTAGAAGGGAAATTGGATAATACATGAATTTCAGTATAATATGAAACAAAAGCTTGAATAATGTTCAAAAAAATGTCTAAAATTGTCTTTGACCAATAATTAAGGCCTTTGAAAGTGACATGGAAATGACATAGCATTTTAACACCCTCCCAAAAAAACATGGTGGAAAAAATCCCAAATAGAAATTAGACACAATGAACTCTTGATAATAAAAAGTTACTGATATAAACATTAATCAAGACAGAGTTGAAAATGACAGTGATATAGTTTTATATTTCTAAGTAATCAATAATAGGTCCTGTATAAAATCTACAGATGTTCTTCCATATACAAACAAACAGATAATGTTTGCTGTAATTTTATCTTTTTTTTCCAGTAACAAGAGAGAAGCCCTGTGATACATGTTACAAGAAACATAAGAAAGTAGAATGGGATAGATCACATCCTCTGGCTCCAGTAGAGAGACAACTGACCACAGCAAAATCTACAGCATATAAAAATCCTGTTCCAAACCAAGAGTAAGTGTTAAAATACATAACTGTGGATTCATTTATTTTCATGGGTATCAATTTTCGTGGATTGAGGAAAACTTGTATTTTTGTGGATATTTGATTTCGTGGTTTTGCCAATCTCTGCATACAAAGCCTATAGAAAATTTGTAATTCGTTGAACATTTGAATTCGTGGTTTTCCTGTATCCATGAAACCCACGAAAATTGGTATCCCACGAGTAATAATGAATCCGCATTATACTTAATGTCCTCTTGGGTATAGTTAAACCATGAATTCAAATCTTTAACATAGTTTAAAAGTTTTTCTATAGGCTTGTAAGCAGAATTTGGCAAAATCCAAGAATTTAAAAAATATCCACAGAAATACATTTTTTCTGCAATCCTCAAAAAATTGGTACCCAGAAAAATAAATGAATCCACAGTATTGATATCAGTTTTTTCCTTAAGAGAATGAGATACAGACAAGATTCACCAGTGCTTTTGTTATCTTCTGTTGTTTGCCAGACGTGAATTGTGCTGTAGATTAAAGCATTGTACATTCAATAGAAGCAAAATAGAAAACCTACAATATAGAGGATGTAATATCAATCAACTCTTTATCTTTGAAAAGTGAATTGAACACTCACTGAAGGCACTTGTCACAATATCTTCATTTGTACTTAATATAGTCAAAATATTACATTTAATGACAATTTTAAATTTTGAATTTAGTTATGGATATTGAGTTCAGTAGTCCTATTTTGTTTAAAAGTGATAAGGTTGCAGGATTGCCTTAATTTTATTCAGGAAGGTTCATTACATTGAAAAATATCCTCTCTGTTTTCATTACCCAAGAACCACTAAGATTGATTTAAATCCCAATGTTTAAAAATTTCTAGGTCTGTGCCTATTAATCTTACTCAATACAAATACTTTAGTTAATGTTAGTTTTTAATGGTGAAAAGCATCCAATATATGGGCTTTAATGGTATTTTGTTATTTGTAATCTTTTTAGGATTGAAGGAAAATTGCACAATAATTTTATGATTTTTAAACAGATATAAGAGCCAATGAGACAACTCTCCATCCAAGAAGAGCTATTTTGTCAAATGTTCCTATATAAGTTCCTTTATTTATTATTTCACATTAAAATTTATATCTTCTATCAATCAGGAGAGAACCTACACAGCTACAGATCAACTTAAAGAAAAGAGAGAAAAGATTAGAGAAGTTATTACCTAAAAAGACAGGTCCAGAACGTGATGTGGGAGCAAAGTATTTTGGAGAATTTTTAGATCCACTTGATGTGTTCGCTTACAAATCAACAGAAGATGCTATTAGATTTTAACCTTTGATTCATACTGATTGATCTTTCCACATGCTCCAAAACTACATCTTTAGTCTTTTTTTATAGCTCATGCATGTTTCAAACCTTAACTATAAAAATAAATTTGATATGTAAGTGGCATATTGCAAGTGATTATGGGTTAAGGAAATTATATATAATAAATCCTATTCAAAATCAAAATTTGACTGAAATCAATTCATTTCTGTTATCTGTACCTATAATTTATGAAGAGCTTATCATTGATAGTATAGTGATTGTCACAGTTGTTTTTGTGTACATTTTGCATGTAAATGAGTGATCACAATGTGTTGTGAATGTTCACAGTAGAATTAATATTGTAAATTGTTTAACTTCATGGAGAAATCTTACTATTTGTCATAAAAAAAAATTTACATTGTCCAGATAATTTCATTATTATTTTATAACTTTATTATCAAGATTTATATTCATTATCAATTGTTATTTTACATAAATGTGATAGTTTTATTACTTTATTGTCAAGATTATTTATTATCCATTGTTACTTGTTATAATTAACCAATGAAATTTTATATTTTTTATACAGCTGCTGAACTTTTTATTTATCTTAATTAAAGCTTTTTCAGAAATAACTGGCTCGAAGACACTTTTATTAAAATTTGATGGGTGGTGGTTATTCTTGACAAATAGCCTTAATATGAAATAATCAATTATTATATGATATAATCAATTAAAATTTTATGCATAGTGGGGTTTAAAAAAAAGTGCCTTTCGATCCCCCTCTCATATATTTATTTCTGAAAAAGCCCTTGCTAGCAAGTAAATATAAAAGTAGCTTAAATCCACATCATTTGGACTCTGGTCAATCATACCACATCTATATTTTTATTTAAATAATCAACTTTAGATTAAATTAATTTTTGAAGTTGATAAATAAAGCATGTCTTTATTAGTATGAATAAAAGGAGATATAGGATATATTATGTATTGGCAGCTTTATGCCATGGCAGTTTGTTTTCCACTTATGAGTTTGAATGTCCCTTTGGTATCTTTCGACTCTTTTTTATCCTATTAAGTAATTTGGTAAGTAATGGATATGTTAAAATACAAGTCTTAATTAATTTAAAATTCAAAACTTAATCTTTTGAGAGGGTTTTGGAAAATTACAAAAACATCACTGAGTTCTCTGTATCCTGCTGAGCAAAACATTGTTGAGATATTCTTTCAAATCATTGCCTATGAAGTTAAACTTAAAGTTGACTATGCATATTTTTGTATCCATATATAATTCTCATAAATATTTTGTTTTGTTGATCACTTTGTTGTTGTATTTTGAATAAATTATTTTTAAAACATGTACTTTATATTTGCTTATTTATATGAACATCAGATGTTGATGGAATATTGTATAAATAAAGAAGAAGAAATTGCATAGTTTGAGCTGGGTGATAGATAGGCTTGTCTTTTGTGACTGAATCTTTATATTTTCCACACTAATAACAAGTTGAAGAAGCAAACATTGATTATACTTTTGATCAAAAGAGCACCAGAGATACTAGATACTTTATTCAAGCTCTGCTGAAAAATTAAGTCTGAGTAACACAATTTTCCTGAAAACTTCTGTTTTAGGATATTACTTCTTAAATGGAAAGTACCTTTTACTTCCAGAAATTATTATAAAAATAATAAGTAGATGTGGTATGATTGCCAATGAGACAACTATCCACCAAAGATCACATGAGGTAGATGCAAGCAACTATTAGGTTCTTGTACAGCCGTCATCTATGAGCAAAATCCATACTGTATAGTAGACTATATAATGGTCCAGACATGACAAAATGTTAGACAATTAGAACAAGAAAAACCAATGGCCTGATTTATGTACCAAGTTATAAACAAAAGCAGTACGATAGACAGATACCAACCAATGAATTACAAGCTCTTCACTTCAATTTGGAATTCCTTTCAGTTCTTCTAAGAGATTATCATTTCATTAAAGAATTGGTATGATTGTAGGAGTACATGTATATTGGATGTGTCCTTGCAAATGTTCAAATGAATTTGATAAATTTGACATGTGGGCATGTTGACCTGAAATTTTTCATTTGTGACTTTAAAAACTACCATTTGTCCTAAACAACTGCCAATGACTGATTGTCGATTTTGATACAAGTTTCTTAGAAATAAGTGCTTCAGCACTGACATGACTTTGTTCTTTTTTTTTGTGTCATGGATGGATACCCCATATCCTTTGTTTTTCTATTATGAAATATTTGCCATTCAAGATTAGGTAACCAAAAATTTAACTAGACTTTATTATAAGTGTTTTCTCCATCATTGCAGTTCCTTCAAAATTCTGACCCAATTGCATTTGTTTTATCAAATCAAACTGTTCAACTTGTCAAACAAACTGCTGTAGAGAACCACAGCCAAGTCATCAAAGTGCAAAATGATAAAATAGAGCATACTTACAATCCTACAAGACTTGAACTCCTCTTCATGGCTACTATGAAAGTATTGCCTAAATATTTTACAGACATAGATTATCATTGTCTTTGTCATATTGTTTGGGAATTGCGCTGTTTTCATGTTTGACTTTAGTTTAGCACTAAGTCAACTATTAAAGTCAAACTGTGAATTTTGTTTAAATACATCAAACCAACCTAACAAAAGGGAAACATAATTAATCATAATTGTAATTCAGTCAAACCTCAATAAATTGAAGGGACCTGCCAAAACTGTTAAATTTGTCTGAGTTTGCTTATTACATTTGACATTTCCTATTTCAATATAGTGTAATTCATATTGCCAACCTGGTATGTTAAGGCGGTAGATATATTTTTTTCCCCTATCCATCAGCATTGACAATAAATGTTGTATTGAAAATGTTTCATATAAAAACAAGATGGAATAAAGAACACAGTGTTTACAAATTTAAGGAAATATAAAATATAAAAGTACCTACAGAATAAAACAAATTGTTGTAGATGTATGTTTTAAACTCTTTGTTGTCGCTATCTGTTAAGTTGAAGTCTGAATCTTTTTATATAGTCACACTTTCATCAGTTTATTATAATTTCAATGATTCTTTCATCTTTTATTGATTTTTCTCAGCTTTGGTCTAGTAATTTCGTTCCAAGGTAAAATGTGTTCTACAACCATAACTTTCCACATGGTCAACCATCAAAGGCCTCACAAACAAAAGGTTTGATACAATTTTTTGATTGTTATACAGACTTATAAGTAGACCAAGAACTAATTCAGGAAATTCAATTTGGTGCACAATAAGATTACATAATTTCAATATTTTGAATAAGTATTTCAAACTTTATAATGGTGTCTTTTACTTCAAACTTCTTTATGATCATTTTTCTTCATGGGGTTTTTGAAATATACTTGAGTTAACAAAGATTTTGAATCAACCAAGTTTGACTCATCAGAGGTAGAATGCATTCAACAAAATGGAATTTTACCAGGACTGACAAAATGCCTCAACTTAGAGTTTTTGACACAACAAGGTTTGACTGTACATGTATATACAGGCATGATTTGACAAGGGGTATCCTATGTAAAATCCTTGACTGGCCTCTATAGAGAACAATAAATCAACTTCTATATTTTCTTAGTTTAATCTTTTTTTTTCAAAATGCTTTATATTTAAATCTGATCAAAACAATGAAAATAACAATACAATAAATAAATAAATAAATACATAAATTCATTACAATTTCAACAAAATACATAATGTAAATTCTTTAATAAAAACTATGGCCTGTGACTAAAATAAAATGATAATTGTGACAGAAACATTTATTTAATGTTGAAAATACCTGTTATATTTAAATGATTTTCCTATAATTTAATGAGATCTGATTTTTGGAAATTTGTTATATATCTTTTCTTGTTATCATAACTTTGTACAATAACCTTTTTCAAACTATTACTGTAAATTCAGAAATTATTGTGTGCATTTATTATTGCGATTTTGTCATTTCAGACTAAAATGCAATTTTAATTTTTGCTATATTGAGAAAAATCCTGTTTAATTCATATAAAAAATTTCAAAATGCGAGTTTAAATTATTGCGATTATAACCCTTTCTCATTTTTCGCAAAAATAAAAACATCACAATAATTTCTGAATTTACAGTATACATGTATACGACTAGCGCATGCAGTTACATACACTTCTGTTTATACAATGTAAACTGTTATCAAGCCAAAATGAGAGAAGGTAATGTCTGTAGTCTTTTAGAGTATTAGAATATATGTGTACTGTTGTTTAAGTACAGTTTATGTTCTTCACAACACAATGAATATTTTAGAAGCACTAAGAAAAGGATATGAAAGTGGAAACTAATGTAATAAATTGCTTCGCTGAGCACAGCTGGATACGAAATGAGAAAAATTGTCCCCCCCCTCCAATTTTTTTCACCTCTCCCTTTCCCTTATTCCCAAAAAACTAGAGGCTCTAAAGAGCCTGTGTCGCTCACCTTGGTCTATGTGCATATTAAACAAAGGACACAGATGGATTCATGACAAAATTTACAAAAATTTACAAAATTTATGAAAATTGTAAAAAATTGACTATAAAGGGCAATAACTCCTTAAGGAGTCAATTGACAATTTTGGTCATGTTGACTTATTTGTAGATCTTACTTTGCTGTACATTATTGCTGTTTACAGTTTATCTCTATCTATAATAATATTCAAGATAATAACCAAAAGCTGCAAAATTCAGGGGCAGCAACCCAACAACGTGTTGCCTGATTGGTCTGAAAATTTCAGGGCAGATAGATCTTGACCTAATGAACAATTTTATCCCTGTCAGATTTGCTCTAAATGCTTTGGTTTCAGAGATATGAGCCAAAAACTGCATTTTACCTATGTACTATTTTTTAGCCATGTCGGCCATCTTGGTTTGCAGGCGGGGTCATCAGACACATTTTTTAAACTAGATACCCTAATGATGATTGTGGACAAGTTTGGTTAAATTTGTCTTAGTAGTTTCAGAGGAGAAGATTTTTGTAAAAGATTACAAAAATTTACGAAAAATGGTTAAAAATTGACTATAAAGAGCAATAACTCCTTAAGGAGTCAACTGACCATTTTGGTCATGTTGACTTATTTGTAGATCTTACTTTGCTGAACATTATTGCTGTTTACAGTTTATCTCTATCTATAATAATTTTCAAGATAATAACCAAAAACGGCAAAATTTCCTTAAAATTACCAATTCAGGGGCAGCAACCCAACAACGGGTTGTCAGATTCATCTGAAAATTTCATGGCAGATAGATCTTGACCTGATGAACAATTTTACCCCATGTCAGATTTGCTCTAAATGATTTGGTTTCAGAGATATAAGCCAAAATCTACATTTTACCCCTATGTTTTATTTTTAGCCATGGCAGCCATCTTGGTTGGTTGGCCAGGTCACCGGACACATTTTTAAAACTAGATACCCCAATGATGATTGCGGCCAAGTTTGGTCAAGTTTGGCCCAGTAGTTTCAGAGGAGAAGATTTTTGTAAAAGTTTACGGACGACGGACGCCAAGTGATGAGAAAAGCTCACTTGGCCCTTTGGGCCAGGTGAGCTAAAAATCTTTCCCTCAAGATATGGTCAGTATCTCAATTCAAATTTTTAATGGAGTTTGCAACCATAATTAGCCATTTAAATACATCATAAAAGTTTTAAAATATAAAATGACATACATAGTCATGGCTAAAATTAACATTAATTAATAGTAACTGCTAAAAATAAATTGACAGCTAATCACCTCAAGACAATCACCATTTCTTAATACCGGTACATAATTCACAAGCAGTGTAAGGGAGGTACTCAAACAGTGTTCTTTTAATTGATTTGGATTACCTCCCTTATACTGCTTTTAAATTGTCTCAATTGTCCTTTAACCAGAAAAACCCTTGTTTTTCCCCTTTTTTGCCCCTAATTACTAATTGGTTTGAGCCATAACCCCTCAAAGTCAATCCTAACCATCCCTTTGTATTATGGAAACTTGTGGTATAATTTCAGAGAGATTCATACACTTTAACACAAGTTATTGTCTGGAAACTACAAAATGCTTATTTGGGTCCCTTTTTGGCCCCTAATTCCTAAACAGTTGGGACCATAACCCCAAAAATCAATCCCAACCTTCCTTTAGTGGTTATAAACCTTGTGTTAAAATTTTATTGATTTCTATTTACGGGTACTTATACTAAAGTTATTATCCCTAAACCATCTGTCTTTGGACGACGCTGACGACGACGGACAAAGGTGACGATGACAACGTGATACCAATATATGACCAAAAATTTTTTAATTTTTGCGGTCGTATAAAAAGTGTTTTCAGGTGATAGTTTGTAGATTAAAAAATACACAAAATATGACTTCAATAAAACAAGAACCCTTAAAATATTTTAATTGAAGAAAGTTTAATAAAAAAAAGTTAAATATTCCAATTTCACATAAGTTGCTACTTCAAATTTCAAGAAATTTTTTATCTGAAAAGCACAAAATTTCAAATCATTATGATAATCTGTTTCCATGAACTGTTATTCAACTGCAAATTTGAAACTATTTTAATACGAATAATGTATAATATTAGTAGTTTCTTATTAAAATAATTTTTAGTTTCTGTTTAAAATGTGATAACCTGAATATTTCCTATTGGCCACTTATGCAAATTAAGTCTTCAAGGGCTGAGTGGTTTTAGAGGAAAACATTTTCTTTTTGTGATGTCCAGATGGCAATCTTGGCAGATAATCCATCGTAATTCTTAATTTTGAAAGGCTTTGTAATTTCAAAGAAATAATACTTTTAAACTGTTTTGATACAAGCATTGATGGCTATGTTGATTTGTTTGCAGCACAATAAAACATTATTGAATGAAAATATACATTATACATGTAATTCATTAAGGTCATGTTTAAAAAGAGAAATGGAGTACCTACCAGTTGAACAAAATGAACTATAAAAAAATTGACTTTTACATTGTGCCATTAGGTGCACATAGTAATCAAACATGGAGAAAAATAATATTTTTTCCTGATAAAAAAATATTTTGGCCTAGAACAGTAAATATGTATACAAAAGCCACAAAGGAAAGAAGTTAGTATATTTATATGAAATATTGCATGCAACTAAATCATTTTAAACCAGCATTTAAATATTTGAAATAGGATTAATTGTAACTTTTATTTTTCCAAAGATGTAAAATAGAAATTTCAACCAAAAAATCTTTAATGAGTAAACTTCATGCAAAAATCACAGAAATAATATTAAACATGAATAAGTTCCTTTAAATTTTGATTTTTTAAATTCTTGCTTACAAATCATTGCAATATAAATTATTTCCATGATTTCTATATTTTCCCTCCAAAATTAACATATGAGAATACATCTGCATTTAAAGTTTTCAGGTTTTAAATCCCATTAATTTGAAAAAAAAATTCTGCCTTAACAGTTAGTCTGTATTAACATAATAAGGAAATATTGAAAGGTAACTAAATAATAAATAAATTTCATTAAATCATTGCACTAGATATATTTCAATAGCACCTTCTTCTAATATGCATTAAAACAAAAACTTAAGAAAACATAAATATGTATATAAATCACATTTCAATCAGTAATAACTAATAAAATGCTTTAATCATGTAACAACAAATGGATTTCAGTGAAAAACAAAAAATCACCAATTAAAAAGCCTTACACAAATACAACATTTTAACAAATTCTGGAAAAAAATTACATCCTAAAATATATATCATACATGGTCCCTTATATTTTTAATCAAAAAGTCTTTGTATATATTGTACATAGAAATTATGCGTATTTTAAGAGGAAAGAAAAAAACATGAAAATTTGAATCCTTAAATTCATTGTCATCACTGCTATGAGTGTTTCGTAAGTATAAATCATTATAAAAAAATACACAAAAACATAGTTGCAATTTTGATGTAATATATATATAAAGGTCAAGTGATAAAAAAAAATACTCTCCCTTTTTTTTAAACAACCACTAAACAATGGTTATCACGGAAGTAGAAGAATTTCCCATCACACAGGACATTGGGGCATCATTAGACAAGTGGTACTTAAACTTCAATGAGGAAATCTTCATTAATAAAAGTTAAGTTGATAAAGAGGCAAAACTCTTAATTAATGAATTTCAAATCTACCAAAAACTTAACTCAACATGTAGTGAATTTGTACAAGTAAAAAATATGGTCAAGAGGTAAAACATTATCGTCCACAATCCTGAAAAAAAAATCCAATTATAATGGACATTAAATCTCTCACTTTGAAATCCAGAAGTATCAATGTGATTGGTGGACAGACAATGAAAAAGAGGATCCCTTACTTCCACAGCTGTGGTAAGCAGTGATATAATTAAAAACACAATTTTACTTCATTGCAACACAAGACAAATTAGTTTGGATTAATTTTCATATGTTTTCACCTCTTCTTGATCTTATACTCAACAAAGTTTGAGAACTCTTTTCTTTTATCTTTTTTAATTTATTAGGCAACTTTTGGTGATCAAATTGTTTAGGATGAATGAAGATAATACAGAAAATTGTATTTATACAAGTACATCAATACTTATTTACACCTACCACTTTAACCTAAACAATTCTCTCAAAGAATTTAAAAATCACTGAAATAAAATCTTTTGATATAAACAACTTTTCAAACCTTTTACTCAAAGTCATATTTTTCTCTTTTAAAACTCCCATCAAAAATTTGATTGTTCATTTATAAAAAAAATCTGTTACACTGCTAACCATAAAGCTGCCATTTCAATTTTTTCGGTCCTATTCTTTCTTCTTTCTTTACCTAATATACACATTTATAATCTTCTACAGGTCACTTTGTTTCACATGCAGTCATGTGGAAAATCCCTGATCATCTGTGATATTTCAAAGACATGGTACCTTCAACTTGAAATTGATAATACATTTTTGTTCCTAAGAGTTAGAACACTAGAACTGGCTGTTGTCTTACATCTAAAACATCTAAAAAAAAATTAAAAGAATTCATGTATAAATATGTATTACTGTTCTAGACCTGGGCAGATTAAGAACTTGACATTGTGCATAGACATTTTACTGTTGAAGACCATCTTTTGACATCTTGGATGTCATTAAATGTTTGTTGAGTTGCTGTGTTATTGAAGAAACCCCCCTCCCCCACATCTCCTTTTATCCATATTTTCTTTCCAAATATTACATCCGAAACCAAATAAATAATAAATTGATTATAAAAGACCTTTTTATCTAAAAGAATGTACTATATTAGGGTGCCAATTGAAAATCATCATTTTTTTTTATAGTATCTTTATTTTCATCGTTTTATTTTTCATATCACAGAAATTGAATATTTTGTCCTGCTACTGATTTGGATGTGTACCACTTCATTATTGACTTACTTACCAGCTATTATTCGATACCAAGGTAAAGTCACGTATGTGAGATATGCATTTAATGCCACACTATTGGCTCTTTTTCTTTCTTTAAATAAATGCCATGCTTGTCCAAATGTTCTTCCTATAAATCCAACACTTTCTTCACCATTTTCTAATTCTGAAATACATCCTTAATCAGTTAAAAGTCCAGCAGTCCTTTTCACAAAAAATCTTAAGAGTAAAAATACTCGTAAGTCATACACATTTCAGTATAACTTACGATCAATTTTAATCGTAAGATTTTTTGTGAAAAGTGTCGCAGGTCTTATACTACAAGTATAATCAAATTTTATTTAACAAGCTTAAGTTCTTAAAGTTATATTTACTTCAAATGAACAAACTTTGTTAAACATTTGCTGATAGACAGGCTAAGTGTTCAATTGTATAAAGTGACAAATACCAAGTTTTAATTTTAATTTGAAGCCATGAGTTATCTCCCCATGGATTTTCCCTTGTTATTTATTTGCTGAATGATTGAATTGTCATCTAACTATAGTTAAGAATGTTTGAATGTTTTTTATTCCATTCTAAATATTTATTCATTCTAAATATCCAACCATTACTTGCTATATAATTCTAAGAAATCCCAACAGAACTGTACTGGTATATACATGTAATATCAATTTTTGATACAATTTTGTCTCTTCTTGATTTACCCTTTACAGTGGCATCTACATATTATTTTCTACATGATCTGACAAGTCAAAGGTTTGTGATGCATCCTTATCACTTCTGTTAATACATTTCTCAGAAAATATAAAGTATTGAATAACACATCATCAAATAATACCTACCATCGTGTACAGAGCTAGCCTCTACTTCATGAAAGCCGTCTGTCATGTCATCGTTTATCCTTTCTGCTTCTGACCTTGACTTTTTCATACTTAATCTTTTTATACCACCTCTGACAAGAGAGCCAAATGAAGCATTTGGATCACTCATTCTTCTCTGTGTATACTGGTTTTCCTGTTAAAGATATTGTAATGTAAAAAGTTAATACTGCCAATGTTAAACTCATAGATACCATGAATTTAACATTATCAAGTAAACCTAGATATTACCGTAATATGTTTCTTTTTTTTAATATATGTGTCAAAATGACAAATTATAATCATTATAATGATAATGAAAATAACTAAAGGAATACTTGCTTTCTAAGTGTATCAAAAGGCATTCAAGTGTTGTATATGAATGAAATCTTACCATATTTTACACTCCTACAATAATTGTAATGAAATCCAATCATTTGTTACCCTCACCTAGCAAAAGCAATATTTAAAGTTCTTTTATCTACAAAAAAGGTTCATATTTTTTAGCCAAAAGAACCAAGAAAATCTTAGTTTTCATGCCTTTTATCCTATATAAAATAAGGTGATGTGGTATGATTGTAAATCACTCCTACATAAAATAAAGAAGATGTGGTATGATTGCCAATGAGACAACTCTCCACCAGTAACCAAATGACGTAGAAGTTAGCAACTAGTTAAATTTTGATGTTGATAGGTTGCTGCCTCATTGACATATACACATCTTCTATTACTTTCCAATACTGCTGTCAGAACATATGGTGCATTCCAGCTAGCATCTGAATAAAATCATTACTGTTTGTCCTTTACCTCTTGTTGATTGTCTAAGTCTTCAAAATCATTGACAGGGAAGTTTTCAATGTCTGGTGTTTCTGGCCCTGACCCTTTAACTCTACTGACTGCCATCTCAGCATGGCCTTTACTGTGTGGACCTCTCATTCTTACAAACTCTACTCTCTTGTGGGACTTTGTCAACCAGCCTAAGGACATTGACTGCACCATTTTTGATGTAAGGCTTGCCTGTAACAATAAATAGTATATATTCAATTAGAAGTTCATTTATATCTATCATTCAATGCAAACAGCCAAATATTTGGTCAATACTGAGATTTCTATAGAAACATAAACATAGGTTTACTCCTGTTCATTCAATTTTTATGTTTTGTGTCTTTGGGTACCTGTCTTACATGTTGTCTTAAGTATGACTTCTATGATTAATTTCGTATTCAGTAGTTCTTGGAAAATTCAAAACCACCAGCAAACAGAAAGTAGCTGAACAACAGACATCACTTAGTACCGTAACACTTAAAAGTATAAAACTCTAGAACATATACGAAATCATTCCTTTCATAAAACCAATGTTACCTGACGAAAAAGTTCATGTACAGTTAGTGTAGCAAAATTTCAATTATCAGCAAACAAGAAGAGGTTTAATGGTAGATTTAAAATTATTTATACAGTTTAACTTGGCTTGGTCTAGCAACCAGCATTCCTTAATAAGGAAGTAGAGTAATTATAACAAGATTTCAATAAAGCATAAATGGTGAATGCCTATTCACTATGTTTGCAAAAAAATACAAAAGCTCCTTGGCAAATAAAATGATTAGACTGATATTCACATGCAAAAACAAAGAATAGAGTATTATTTTTAAAAAATTCCTTTTACAATTCATATTCCTGTAGTAATTTTGTACTGGAATAAGTACAAGTACTCACTCTGGCATCATAAACTTTTTTTAAGGATTCATATCTTATAGAACCAAGAAAGATAACTCCTTGAAACACACCAGTTCTATCAGCAGCTTTTAGTTCTACACAAACCATTTCACTATCTCTTACAATGATATCTGTAAAGGCCTGGAAAATAAAAATAGTCTGACAATAAAACTTTGATAGCTTAAGCAATGGACAGAATCAATAAAACAGGCTAGCTTAACAAGTTTCTTTTTTTTTTTTTTCTTTAAAGTAAATATCTTTTATTACATATCTGCTGTTTTAACAATTTACTCGGATTACAGCGTTAGCCCGAGTATCCCTGTTATTAGTTACTGAATTTCCAGGGAAAAAGTTCAGTAAAAAAAGTAATCAATTATTAAAAGTATTACATATACATTCTTTAAAATACAGTGTATACATATAAAGTATAGAATTCCGTGGTATAAATCACGTGTTTATGGAACATCTATTTGCTTTCCAAAATTGTATTCATTTTTCCATATTTATAATCATTCATTGACAGTTATTTTGTACTTGACCTTTTGTGCTGGATTAGTTAACCTGTTTACTAATTCATTGTCCGAAAACTAGTGCCAAAAAAGCACATGTTTGTAGTTAACAAATTGTTGGATTAGATTAAACTAGTTTGGTAAGTATTATATATTATTCATTAGTAACAAATGTATATAGAATTTAAGTGTTTTTAAAATATCAGGAAGTATAGTAGAAATAAAAAAAAAAATATCAACATGTGATTTGATACCAACACACACAAAATTACTTGAGGATACTTAGTGTAAAACAGTGATGAATTATGTTCATTTTAGCTTCAAAGTATAATAAATAAAGTGTCTTGTTTTGTTTGTTTATACATAGAAAAAGTAGAAAACCAACAACAACAATATAAAGTCTAGCAAAGGTATTTTGACTTCAATGACCTTTATCTACTGAGACATCATTCATACATTTCAATTACATATATTTTTGAATATTTTTTAGCATCTGACTTATTGTTTTATTTCTATATTCCATCAGATAATATCTGTATTTATATTCTTGTTTAAATATTTCATACACATTAACTTGATTTGTCTTATTATTTGAAATGCAATTGCATTTGTGCAGAGTGAATAAAATAACTGTCAAGAGATAATTAATATCATTTAATGAGTCTTCTCCTATTTTATATCCTACCACCAAATGTTTTAAAGTAATTATATGCTTATCAATATGAAGTTTATTTAATAGAATACAGATTTTATTCCAAAAAACTTTAAAATAAGTACATTCCATGAAATTGTGTTGATAAGTATCTGGTACCCCACACACTGAACACAAATTGGTGTTCTTAATTTTCCAGGTGAAAAGATGTGTACCTACAGGTAATATATAGTGTAATAATTTCCATCGAATCATTTTTAATTTATTGTCTTCTAAATAATTGAAAATAAAATTTAATGTGTATTTGATATTTGGTGGATTTTGATCTATATTTAGTTCTTTCTGCCATCTTGTAAACCCTATAGGTATACCTTTACTAACATTTGATAGAATTATATGAATATCTTTATTATTGATTTTTTGTAAATCGTATATAATTGCGTCTTGTTTTAAAGAGAGTTGTTTTTCACACTTAACAATAGTTTTTGATGAATCTTCTTTTTGTAATATATATTTCCAGTGATTTGGTATACTCTTTCTTATTTGTACTATTTCAGCAATCCAATTTCTTTTACATTTTAACTTATTGAGGATTTTTTCTTTTGATATTCTACCTTTGTCATCAATTATGTCATTTACATAGATTATATTGTCTTTTATCCAATGATTAAATATTAAACTGTGCCCGTTTAACTTTATATATTTATTACCCCATATTATTTGTTGTCTAATGGTTCTAAAGTTTTCTGGTTTGTTAGTTTGACCGCCGCCATATCCTACCCACGTTTTTAGTATTTCAAAGTAGAAATAAGGGATTTTGCTCTTTTGGTAATTAATGGATTATAAATTATCGAGATTCATGTGAAATATTAGAAAATTTGATCCATACTGATTTAAGTAAAATGTTGGAATAATTTTCCAATTTGACTGTTCACCTTCCATTAATCTTTTCACCCATTTAATTTTTATTGCATCAATAAACTTGTCAATATCTATCATTCCAAGACCTCCATTTTTTTTCATATTAATTGTATTTCTTTTAATTTTTTCTTGTTTATGGTCCCAAATGAAGTCATAAATCATTTTTTTAAACTTATATATTGAATCTTTGTCGATGTTAGAAACTGAAGCTAAATATGTAATATTGGGTATAACTAGAGATTTCACAACTGCTATTTTTCCGATCATTGTTAACTTTCTTTTCTTCCATGAGTTAAGAATTTTTTCAGATTTTTGAAGTTGTTTTTCTATATTTAAATTCATACATTGAGATTTATTATGTCCAAAGTAAATACCTAAGCTTTTAATAGTCTCTTTGCTCCAGTTAATTTTTTCAAAATTGTCTGAAATGTGTTTTAATTTACCGAAAGCTAATCCTTCAGTTTTAGTTCGATTTAAACAAGTTTCAATAAACTAAATAACTGGTACTCAGTCAGGCCTAATTGCAAACTTATTAGAACAAACAATAGTTTTGAAATTGCAATATGGTATAGATAACACTGATATCTAATGTACATTACCTCATGTAAATTTATCGACAGTATATTACTAGTTCTGATTACATTTAAATGCTAGTTTTCCCCACTATTTGATTTATTATCATTATGCAGATTTTTTTCATAAAATTTACCACTGTCAATCCGTGAATCATTTAAAAAAAAATTTACAGAAAAAACTGTTGGGTCATGAACATTTCAGTATTACTTACAATAAATTTTAGTTATAAGAGTTTTGGTGAAAAGAGTAAACTAAGAGTACATGATATTTATAAGTAATTCATGGATAAGAACATAAGGTCATGTTTTTTCTGACTGTTTATGACGCCTTTACATTAAATCTGTTGGATGTTGGATGTGTACTGATTGATATCTAAGTCTTAAGACACATGACTTTTTTTAATAGTTGTTATTGGCTTTTAACTAGCTGTCAGTCACTGCAAGTACTCTCAGATCTGTACTTAGTGTCTTTTTTGTTGTGGGGATGTATATATACCCTGCCACGTCCAGTCTGTGTTTTTGTTAAATGTGTTTCTGCTTTGTATCGATCTGATGAGATAAGCCCTTTTCAACTGATTTTGATAGTTTATTCTTATGTTGTACTTTTACACCACTTTCCCAGGTTAGGGGAAGGGTTTGGCACCAAACACACTAGTTAGACCCTGCCACATTCTGTATGTGCCTGTCCCAAGTCAGGAGCCTGTAATTCAGTGGTTGTCGTTTGTTGCTGTATATCATATTTGTTTTTTGTTCATTTTTTTGTCCATAGATCAGGTTGTTACTTTTCTTGTTTGAATTGTTTTACATTTGTCATTTTGGGGCCTGTTATAGCTGACTATACAGTATGGGTTTTGCTCATTGTTCAAGACAGTGACCTAAATGTGTAATTTTTTATGTAATTTTAGTCTCTGGTGGAGAGTTGTCTCATTGGCAACCATACCACATCTTCTTTTTTTTATGGAGGACACCACCATTTTTTTTCTCAATCAGTGACAATCACATCAAAAATTTTGTTTGACAAATATTTTAAATACTTACATCATCAAAATTATCAACAGTAAAATATATATTAGGATAGGCAATTTCTTCATGTGTTCCTTTACTGTCCATCTGTCGTTTACTTGGAGAAGGATATACTCGCTGCAATAATAATATTGCAAAAAATAACTCATTATCTTTTCCTTTGGTATTCAAGTATAAGATTTTCATTTGTGAAGTGTAAAATAAATGCAGAGATAGATTACATGTATATGTATCACATAAACAAGGATTTAAGTAATTATGACAGATCTTTCAAGGAACATTACTTTACTATACAAGAGGATTGCAGCAATTAAACATTACTGACATACAAGCATGATTCCTAGTCACTTAAATATGAAATGTATGTTATAGTGACCTAATTTTTACAGGAATGCATTGCACTGTGTATGATGCTTAATACAAAAATTTTCCAAGCTATATTGTAAGCAGGTCATGTTAAAAAATGGACAATGTGTCCCCATAGACACAGATGATGCCCCCGCTTGCATACAACATTATAAAGGGACATAACTCAAGAACGATAAAAGTGATGCTACCCAAATTTGTACTTGAGTTTTAAGGTAATAAGTATTGTGTATAGGTTTCATAATGTTTGGTTGGGGCAAACTTAAGTTACAGAACGGAAACTAAAAATTTTGCAATTTTTCAATTTATAAAGGGGCATAACTCGATAATGATTAAAGTGTTGCTACCAAAATTCAACTTGATCTGTGTTTTGTGGTAATAAGCATTGTGTATAAGTTTCATAACATTTGGTTGAGGCAACTTAAGTTAGAGAACGGAAACTAAAAATTTTTCATTTTTTTTCCATTTATTAAGGGGCATAACTCTAGAACGGTTAGAGTGACGCTACAAAAATTCAATCTTGATCTATATTTTGTGGTAATAAGCATTGTGTATAAGTTTCATAACATTTGGTTGAGGCAAACTTAAGTTAGAGAACGGAAACTCAAAATTTTGCAATTTTTCCATTTATAAAGGGGCATAACTCTAGAACGGTTAAAGTGACGACACCAAAATTCAAATTTGATCTGTGTTTTGTGGTAATAAGCATTGTGTATAAGTTTCATAACATTTGATTGAGGTAAACTTGAGTAAGATAACGAAAAACTAAAATTTTTGTAATTTTTCCATTTATAAAGGGGCATAACTCTAGAATGGTTAATGTGACGCCACCAAAATTCAAATTTGATCTGTGTTTTGTGGTAATAAGCATTGTGTATAAGTTTAATAACATTTGGTTGAGGCAAACTTAAGTAGAGAACGGAAACTAATATTTTTTCCATTTTTCCATTTATAAAGTGGCATAACTCTAGAACGGTTAAGGTGACGCCACCAAAATTCAAACTTGATCTGTGTTTTGTGGTAATTAGCATTGTGTATAAGTTTCATAACATTCGGTTGAGGCAAACTCAAGTTAGAGAATGGAAACCCAATTTTGGGACGTATGGACGTACGTACGTACAGACGGACAAGGGTAAAACTTAATGCTCCCTCCGCTACATCAGGGGCATAAAAATGTTTTTGGACAATAACCATGCAAGAGGATGGCAAGGAAGAAATTGTTACAATCCATATTTATAGCAGGGCATAACAAAATCTTAACTACAGATTCTCAGTACTTCATAATGACCTTTGTGGTGTATTGATAGCATGCTTGAAAAATAGACTGCTGTACTTTAAACTACCATCCATCAACCGCACTTATAACAATCTGGTATAGTATCCTAAACCATTGTTATGATCATCTGGTTATTTGAAATAAAAACATACCTGTGAAAATTTCTTTAAAATCTGCAACTCTTTGTTACTAGTTCTTGTACACACTGCACATGTAATTGTGTACTCAAACTGAAATTTAAATGAAACTTAAAATTTCATTATCATTTTTTTGTTGCAGCAAAGTTAATTTTTCTGATATGCCATAATTTCAAATTATTGGGAAAAAAATCTTTTACAAACTATGATAAAGTCATACTCTTGCAGATGAAGACATTTAAATGTATTTCACCTAACAGTGCATTACATGTAGGTATCTCTGTTTAAGGCATTTACTTTACAATTAGTTATGATTTCAAATGCAAAGAAAGGATATAATGTATTTTTTCATGACACAAAATCACTTCATGCACTTGTAACAACAAAAGGCAAAAGAACGGTTCATTTTTTTGCTGTTCTCCATCTCCAAAATACAGTGACGTCTTTAACTTGCAGCACAAACATTCACCTCAACAACATATTGCAGGGTACCGTAATAGAGATAAAAGATAGATTATATCTGGCAAAAAATTATAACAAATTTGTTCATAAATGGCCTGTATCTGATTTGGCCCTTTTCAGAAATGTTTTGGTCAGAACTAGGTCACTATTTAAATTTTGGGGTAATCATTCTAAGAGATCAGACATAATCAGAAAGGAAGCAAAACAAAGACCATGGCAAAACCTACATTTTTGTACTACATTTATTATCAAAAAAATTCAAATACTTATTAAAGAAAAAAAAACAGCCAAAAAATTAAACCATACGATGCTGATAATTATTGTTTTTTGTAAAACATTTCTCTGTTTACAAAAAGATCATGCTTTCCTATACTCTAGTGATTAAAAAAAAAAGGTTACAACTAGTGTACATGTACATTAAACTGTTGCATTCTTTTACATGCCTCTGTGAAGCATTTTACACTAAAAATAATATACAGCTTCTTATTTGTTCTCTTGATCTAAATTTAATGGTACATGTATTAACATATGTTGTTTTGTTTTGTGAAGAGTGATGTACTGAAAATATACTGTACATTAGAATGCAATATCTTTAAGTAAAGGTTCAGAAATTCTGTCTTTTGTGGATGAGTGGAAAAAGCAAAATCTACATGTAAACAAATAATTTAAATTTATGTTATACCTGGTGCAAAATGATATTGAGGTAAACTGTTTCTTCCCAGTCTACACTTTCATCTTGTAAAGATGGCTTCAACTTAGAATCTTTTCTGTACACTTCAATTTCTGGCTGCAACAATGATCATGATAATATAACTTTTTTAATCAAATTTGATAAAGTGGCTTAACATCACCTGCTAACAAGAAATGATTGTAACAGAATGCTGTAACGAAGCCTCCCAAAAAAAGTCCCCATAAGTATAAACCCATAAGGACTCCCCTATTATTCATTTAATTCGTTATCAATTTGCTTCATTAAGTAGAACATTTTCAATTATAAAGATTCTCCAATTTTTAAAATATTTTGTGAAAATTGAAAAAAAAATGGTCAAGGTCAAAGGTCAAGGTTATAAGTGACCATCGAACATTAGACCTGAAAGTAGGCCATATGTTCCCATGGTCATTTCTGAAGACCCTATGTGTTTATCACTAACTGTTTTCAAGTTATTATCATTTGCATATTCAGGCAATTGAAAAAAATATGATAAAGTGTTTCAAAATATTTGTAATGTGTCAACATTTTTTTTAGCTTTTCATACATGTATCCATGAAAATAATTTGAAAGTTTGTCTTCAAACTTAAAAATAAAGACTTAAATACCTTTAAGAATGACTTGTTTTTCAAGTCTGGTGACTTTCTTATATAAAATAACATATCATCTCTACCATCATCACTTCCAAGGGAACTTTTCAAGAAATATTTAGAAAACAGTTCAGTCCAGAATTTTGATACTTCATTTGAAATCAACTCGAAATCTGGAAAAAAAAATCACAAGTAATAAATGAAAGTATTACAGTCAGCTGCAATTCCTAATGATTAATTTTGGAAGAAGATGCATGCAAAAATCTCTGAAGTACTCACATCAACATTTGAAAATCTACATATGTTTGACAATAAATGAATTACTCAGCTTATAAAAATCACTGGATCTGCTTCCTTGTGCAAATCAAGCTACATATGTTTAAACTTTAATATAAAAGTAAGGAGATGTGGTATTATTACCAATGAGAAACCAAAAAAAAATGTATCAACCAGAGACTAAAGGACGAGGATGTTTACACCTATGGGTTACAAAACTGCCTTCAACAATGAGCAAAACCCACACTCACAGTATAGTAAGCTATGAAAGGCCCCAGCATGACAAAATGGGAATAAATTCAAAAAAAAAACAAACCAACAGCTCAATTTTTTGATATAAATGTAGATTATACACAATTTAAATCCAGTTAAGTCGTGTAAGCATTATTTTTCCGAAACACAGAATTCATTTTAAAATAATATGTCTTGCCATGCCTTAAATTTTTTTTCTAAGTGCACATTTATGTCTACAGCACTTTGATAGAATAAATTTTGTTATGTAAACAGGCCATTGTAGCCGATAGGTTAAAGATGAAACTTACTATCCACAATTTGACAGGACATTGTAAGACATAATAGTGTCCTGTGAAAAAATGTCCACAGTTTTTTATGGAAAGCCTCAGCTGTCATATATTAGAGATTTACAAAACGTTATGCTGAAGCTTAAAATGTAAAGTTAAGACAGCGTGATGTTGAATCGAGTCATCAAAATGCTAACTCTAAATTACAATATGCTAAGTTGAATCTGCGCAATGTTGACTTGCAATGACAAGTGCTTTAGTCGTGATAGTATAATGATAAGTCACGATGTTGTGATGATATGCCAAACACACGTAACGTTGGGTTTAAAGTACATGATGTGAAGTTGACGTTGCATGATGTTAGCTTGCAGATGGATACTGCTCAGTCATCTACATCGACAGCTATGATAACAAATAAAATGAATAGCTAAAATGTATGGTGCTGACTTGTTATTAATTAATGTTGAGCTGAGATAGTACGATGTTATATCATTGTGATATTACGATTGGTCTATCATGCAATCTGTTGATTTAAAACACCATGATGCACAGTTGAAAGTACATGATGTAGAGTTAAGATAACACGATGCTACACCACTATATTGAAACGAAAGGCTTACCATACAATTTGTTGACTTAAAACAACACGATGCAACGTGTTAAGCTAAGATGCTCACTTGAAACGACATGACGTACAGTTGAAATTTTGTAATGTTAAGCTACGATAGCACGATGTTATATCATTATAATGTCACAGTAGGCTTATTATACAATTTGCTCGTTTAAAACTACACACCGTATAGTTGAAAGTACGTGATATTAAGCTAAGATGGCACGTTGTTATATCATTAGAATGTCACGATAGGCTTACCACACGATATGCTCGTTTAAAACTACACGACGTACAGTTGAAAGTACGTGATGTTGAGCTATGATAGCAATATCTTATATCATCATAATATCACGATAGGCTTGCCATACAATATGCTCATTTAAAACTACACGACGTACAGTTGAAAGTACGTGTTGTTCAGCTAAGACAGCACGATGTTATATCATTATAATGTCACGATAGGCTTATTACACAATTTTCTCATTTAAAATTACACCACGTACAGCTGAAAGTACGTGATGTTAAGCTAAGATAGCACGTTGTTATATCATTAGAATGTTACGATAGGCTTACCACACGATATGCTCATTTAAAACTACATAATTTTCAGTTGAAACTGATGATGTTAAGCTAAGATAGCATGTTGTTATATCATTTGAATGTCACGATAGGCTTACCATACAATATGCTTATTTAAAACTACACAACGTACAGTTGAAAGTATGTGATGTTGAGCTATGATAGCACGATGTCATATCATAATAATATCCCGATAGGCTTGCCATACAATATGCTCAGTCAAAACTACACAACGTACAGTTGAAAATACGTGTTGTTGAGCTCAGATAGCACGATGTTATATCACTATGACGTCACGAGAGGCTTATCATACAATGTGTTGACTTGAAACTACACGATGTAAATTTGAAGAAGTTTGGTCTTGACTTGAAACAGTAAAATGTTAAGTTAAAAAAACAGAACGTAAAGTCAAAATAAAACAATGATAGGATGACGTGTACTTGTGCAAAATTGAAGATTTTTGGTGTTGACTTCGAATATAGTACAAATATTAAATCGTTTTATGTTAAATTGAAAGACAATAACGATGCGTAAAACATTACAGAATTATGTGAATTGAAACTGCAATTCTATGGAAAAGAATGAGGGACAAATCCCCAGGATTTTTTCTTCTTCATTTGCAAGTTTGGAGGCAAAATGATATACAAAGAAAGTTTTCCATAAATTCATAAAGAAAAAGAATTATCCTTCGCTATATATTTGTACTTGAATACAGATTTGCCTATATTTTACATGTTTTGTTTGGATTTTTTTTATGATTAAAAACTAGACCGGCTTTTTTTTTTATGAACAATATTTAAGAAAATATTTATCTATGTTGTGTGTTAGTATATACAACATAATATTGCGCTTATAAGACTTCGGTTATGACTGTGAGGGTCAAATTTACTCATATAAAATCACATCTATGTAAGAGTTAGCGGAGAATTTGTATTTACCACTCCCGTTTTCCTCGAAATAAAACATAAGAATCTGGAGTCTTAATCTCAAAAAACAAAGATCAACTGATATGACAAATAATACCATTAGCGTTGGACTGAGATGGTGAGAGATATAACAGAATGTGACCCCCTCCCCCCGGTTTTGTTAGAGGTATCTGAAAATTTGTATTTTCTTTTCCACGAAATAAAACAAAAGAATCTGGACTTAATCAAAAGCGATGCGATTACGATTTCCATAGAATGTCAGAGACAGTTTGTCGACTAGTTCGTTGATAATTCGGCTAGGCAAGTAAAGTATGTCTTGTAACAAAGCAGGGTTTATTCATATTCATATCACACTTACATGTTCTCGTCCTGATATGCAACCCAAATATAAAGTATGGTAGATTCTGTTGTAAACTTTTCGCTTATACATGAAGTCTATATGAAACCTAATGAAATTTGACCTAGAGCCTCCAGTCTAAATCGTCAAATTTCAAAAAAAGAAATACATCATTTACAGCAGTGCCAACCATTTTTTCCAGCACCAAGTAAGATAGTGCCCAGGTTTATGTATATATCCACTCGGAGAATATTTTATTTTTTAAATTGGTAAAGTCGTTGATGGACAATGACCCCTATAACTTATAATAAGAAGCCAATTAATGAATTCCGTCACTTATTTTCTTGTCCATAGTGATTTTCTTGGTTCTTTGCAGCTTCTCTCTATTTATATGTGTTTTCAAAGAAAAAGAAAAAAATCAAAAATCTTTAAAAATTGTTAAAAGTCCATGAATTATTTAGGTATTGCTTTGATTAATTTGTAGATATGTTTTTTTGATGTCAACAGTTTTTCTCTCTCTCTCTCTCTCTCTCTCTCTCTCTCTCTTATAGTTTTCATGAGTGTGGTCTAAATTAAAATAGATAGATTGTTTTTTAATTATTTGCAAAAATGTAGTTTATTCTTTTTGAAAGACACAATAAAAAGTTTGGGCCACAGAGCATTTTGCAAGCTACAGGTTATGCAGTATTGTCAGATTTTGTATAAACTATACATGGAAAACTCAATGTTAGAAAATAAAAATAAAAATTGGGATCACGAGACTCGTTTTCTGTCTACAAAACGAAATAGATAAAGTCCCTACACATTCCATCATTAGAGACGAAATATGCCAAAAGGATTTCAAACTCATAAGTCGAAAACAGACTGGGCTAGGACGAAAAATTGTGTCCTGCCTTTTTTTTAGTTGTAATCTCTGTCCTGCCTTTTTATTTTTCACTCTATTGGTCCTGCATTTTTTTTATTAGTTTATTCTGACTTTTTTTTTTACATAAATTGTCATCCTGCCTTTTTTTTTTGCCAAGTTACTCATCCTGCCTTTTTTTTAACTCAAAACTCCTGTCCTGCCTTTTTCTCAAATTTCATTCTAACCCCCAATAAAAATCAAATGGTAGCTCCCTAAGATGGAGGAAGACACCCGATCTACCCTAAGGACAATATATCTAATGAGGAAGAAAATTACAATTTCGGTCAAGTCGAGTTACTTGTAGATCTTCTTTTGTTGAAAAGGGTCATTTATCTATCTATTATACTGTTCAGGGGGAGGGGAGAATCGAAAAAAAAAATACACAAAAATGGATAAAAGAAGGCGAAAGATACAAAAGGGATAGTAAAAATCTTAACCAAACTGACAATGGCATGACAAAAACTCATCAGCCGAAATAAACGAGAGAAAAAAGATCAAAATCCAAACAAAACTGAGCAGCACGAAACTCTCAAAAAAAAGGGGTGATCTCAGGTGCTCCAGAAGGGTAAGCAGATCCTGTTTCATATGTGGCACCTGTCACTTGGCGATTTTGCAAATAAAGAAGGAATGTGTTATAAAAAAAAACATGAACTACAGGGTGTCAAATCGATGAACATGATGAAAATAGGCTCCTTTTCATAAAAAAGAATTGATGAAAATGTATTTGTATATAGTGTACAGTGGCAAATATTACATGCATATAAGGACGAGAATATGTAAGTGTGATATGAATATGAATAAATCTTTGCTCTGTATAAGACATATTTTGCTTGCTTAGCCGAATTTCTAACAAACTAGTTGACAAACCGTCTCTGACAATCTATGGAAATCCAAATAGCATCGGTTTTGATTAAGTCCAGATTTTTTGGTTTTATTTCGGGGAAAAGGGGTGCGTTTTACGTACAGTGGCAAATATTACATGCATATCAGGACGAGAACATGTAAGTGTGATATGAA